ATTCTTCTTATATTATATGGACGTCGTTTTGTAAAAAACATTTAGCGGAATATATAATGCTTATGAATGAGGCATAATGGAAAATGCGTTAGTAATAAGAAATAAAGCAAAAACCGTTTGGAGACTTTGAGGAAACGACGACTTATCTGCGCATGTTGAAAGCACCCAAACGGTGCTGGTCTCTAACGACAAGATGGAGAAATGTCCTGGCTAAGAGCAAAACCAATTATATAAACATACTCTAAAGCGTACGAATTTCATTACATGGCCTCATACCTGTTTCATATTTTAATACAGACAGCTACAGCATAATTCTTGCTTTAGACAAAAAAAGCAAACAGCGTCATTTAAATGTGTAAAAATAGCGGTTACTCAATTGGAATTTATATAGAACTTAACCGTTACTTACAGACTCTGTATGCAGTACAAACGAGCGGAGCTACTTCTATGTAGCAACTATAAACATAACATATGTCAGTGAGGTAATACAACAGGCAATGAGGTACGACGATTGTTGTATTACCATAGTAGATCAGTACAATTTATTTATACGGCGTTCCGTCTAAACCAAAATTTCTCTTATAGGCTATTTCGAAGATACCTTTTTTTTGCATGTGCCTGAATTGTCATCCTTGATGGCTCTGCTTTTTCAATATAAGTGCTGCACTTCGCGACCACTTTCAATTTCGAACTTGAACTGGACCTGATTGGTCATTTTTAAAATACTTATTCCCTATTCTAAGCACAACATTTGCATCACAATTGTCCAACAAACGATATTAGTCAATATCGACTTTAAAATATCGCTCTAGTACGATAGATATAAAAAAATACCTAACGAAATTATGTTTTGGGCCAACAGCAAGCTAAACGCTTCTAATATACAATAGTTTAAAATGGTCAAAAAGTTCAAAAAAAAAAAGCATAAAAACAATTTTTACCACCCAATTAGCAACAGATATTCTTCTTTCTAAAACGGTCGTTCATGTATGGAAAGTTGCAGCTAACAACAAGAACGACTTTGAGACATCTGTATACATTTTCATGCCTTTCCAGTCTAAACCATATTATAGATCTTCTGGTTTACCTCATGAAGATCTTCCTCAGATTTTTTACAAGCTGCATGAAAACTGACAATAATATGCAGCACTGTTTTGCAATTTTGGGCAAGAAAAGAAGTTTGTTATCTTGGCGAAATGGTGATCCTGCGTGATGAGATTGGATAATAGCTGATCTTCCTTCAGTCAGATTGCACTGCTTTCCGTCATGATGGGTTCTTTGTTCGGTTCTAGACAGAACTGGCTTTCTTCCAGCGGCAAAGGTATCGGAGAGACGCATGGTCGCTCCGATAAAGCGTCCGCTGAAGTTTAAGCGGATTCAGACGCAACACCTATCACGCTTACTTGTGACGTAGTCATGATTTTGTAGATATTGGAAGAATGTGATTTCCATTAGAGACATCAAGTTTCGATGGCCAATTACGAAATATTCACGCAGGATAGAGGTCTTTTGTCCGCGTCTAATACATTCTGTTCTGATTCTGTTTTTAATATCAACAATCCCAAGCGTTCTGGGAAGAGGCGGAATCGTCGAAGCAAATCATGATTTGCTCGAAGGCTTTAGAATGTGAAGGCTTGCCAGGTATACGATATAACTCATGAATGCCCCTGACCTATGTGGGTAGCTCTGACGCGAAGTCCTTGAATGGTATGGTTTAGAATAGGACGACTAGAGTATTGGTCCATTCGAAATTATACTGCATGAGGGTGTCTTTTAGAGATAGATGAACCTCTTATTCGCCCCCCGTGTATTTTGGCAACCTAAAGAAATCCCGGTTGCATCGCTCGTTTCGTGCATCTTTCATCTTCGAGTGTCCCACAGTGGGAACCACAAAGGGAAGAAAGTGAGCATATCAGAATATCCAACTGAACTCCCTATTACATACACTTGGAGTTCTTGGGCTCGACACTGATGTTAGGCAAGACTAGATATATAGCTTCTATCGGTGTATGCCAAGCATCACCGGTACACATCGGGAAACACTGCTTTTTGAATCGAAACACATTTTCCATTGCTTATAATTCTCAGTCTCGCAATGCATGTTGGCAGATGCTTATATATATATATATATATATATTACACAGAAAACTGGCTAGAAGCACATTATTCATGGTTACATGTTTCTGTACTTATACGGTGTACCACTGTACGACATTTGTATAGCATTGAGATATGGTGTTTTTTTCCAAAAAAGTAAATCTTCTTTGCGCATGCTAAAATTGCAGCTACGTTCCCTATAATGTATTGTACACACATTCGCGCGCGGTGCAATTAGACAGCGGCAGTGATCCGTTGGACTAACATTAGCCAGACGACATCGCAATACTGTTAGCAATATGTCATCCCCGCCTTGACTGCCTTCATACATATCGCAGAAGGCAACAATAGGATAAGACAGGGTAGGTACCCTGTCTTATCCTATTATTAATAACGTATTGACTGCTTTGGACCAGGTCATTTTCAGGCAACACTGTTTAGAAACTATAATAACAAATAACTTTATAGGCAAAGTCGCAAATACAAGATGGTATCAATTTGCAAATCAGATGATTACTTCGTCTTCTGCTCTCAGTGTTTCGTGAACACGTTTTCAACATTTGAATGATGGCTGAAAGTATGAGACGTCAGAGAACTGGCGCAAAAATGGTTCATAGGTGAAAATCTATTACGCCTATCATTATACGGCTAATATTTTTAGTCCCATATTGTATATGGGTTCGGGGCGTAAAACATACAATATGGAGGCGCTGGATTATATATTAGCTGTGGAAGCGGCATCTGCTGGACTCAAGGCAAAGCATGTTTCTCTCCAGGAGCATACGGATCGTTTATACCTAACCTAGTAATAAGAGCGACCAACTACAAAATGCTTATTGACAAAGAATCTCATAGTTATTACATGTACCTGTACGCGCAACGTCTCCTATGGAGACCGGGCTTACTGGTGAGGTTTCGTATTAACAGTGCAAGAATAATTATTTTGTAATTACCTTTTGGATATGTAAGGCTTAGCCCGGAACGCGTCCACGCCTTGATCCCACTTTTGCAGACACTCAGACCTTGATTGCGCCATCCGCTAGAGTGGGTTTCCCTTTTCGTGCTTGGAGCCTTCCTTCTCTTTAACTTGCTCCCTCTCAGAGAATCAGATACTACATGCTAGGTAAAATGTCGTTATCCATTGCAAAGTCGTTTTAAGATTAGATGCATATTCCTCCTGTAGGGAGCTCTTCGTGAATGAAGCACCCAGTTTACATTAACTTGTGATTATAAATCGTACTAATGACTGCAACCAGCTTCCACCTGGAAAATCGATGGAAAGGGCGTTCAGATATAGAATATATTTAATTCACAGCAAATTTATTAGGACTTGCTTTTTCATGAGCTAATGTAGATGCCATACCGCGCGCGGCGACATCAGGTAAGCAGCTTGAGTTCTGTACATCTTTTAATCAACGCATTATTTTCCGAACGTACATCACATACACGGGAAAGAGTTTCAGTCCTTTGCACACATAGGGGTCAATCGAAATTTCTAGGGGAGAACCTGCTCCTCTAATTACGAAAGGGGGCTAACTATCAACTAGATAATTGCCCCATGTATAACATCTATCTGAGAAGTCTATTTACTGTTGCGATAATCCTATTTGCCTGAGTTGGGTTACAAGGTAGTAACTAATAACTTGTATTCTAGTTAAAGTTGACAGCTTTATAAGAGCTATATCTCTCTGTTAATACAACAAACAGTTCATCCTAACGATGGTCGTACTATGTAGTCCGAAGAAAGTTACCCGTTACACAAACACGTACCTTGTATGTACATTCAATTTTAGTCGTATCTTTATCAGGTAGCTCACGTGTACGTTCAAATTACTTCTCGAATGAATTATATAATAATAGATGGAAAGCTGTGTGTATTTCTTTCCGCCATTTATGGCTGCTTAAATTCCTCATTTTTGCTTTTGCATTTTCGATGCGTGAACATTTTTCCAAAACCTTAGTCAAAGACACAACAAAACAAACGACCTCCATACGGCCTATCAGACAATGTAGTGCTGTTGCTTCCTCGGGAGAGATAACAAGAAATTTTCAGTTTGTCCTCCTTCACTCGAAGTACGCTGGTTTGAGTAAGAACTCTTTGCATTCGGCGCATCAGCATGACTTCACAAAGAATATATCGCAGTACGAGTACTGCACAGAGTTGCTTTATAGCTCAGTAGAGAAGTTCTCGGCTTTTTATCTATAAGCGGGTAGTATTCTAAGCAGAACATTTGTTCTCAAAAGAGAAAATTTCTGTCTCTGCAGAGGAACATTTCAAACTCTATCAGAATGCCTTAGATCTATCTAAGAGAAATCTAATCTCAAAATCGGTCGCGCAAAGTCTGTTTCAACATAAAACTGTCAATGACAGCCTATTTTCGTTTTATGATGAGCTCAGCTGTGCACTCGTAATGCAGCGCGTGAGCCGTTGGAATAATATCCATGGTACGTTACTACAAAGTAGCCTTACGCATTATCAGCTTGCCTATCGGCAAAAGTTTAAATTGACGAGCTTGAGCACCAATGCTTTTTCCAATAGTCCCTATGCAGAGCTGGTTTTCTCAGCGGCTGTTTTATTATCGAAATATATGTTCAGGGCGCATGGCGTCCGAAGCATGACGCACAATAATTCATATTTTAAAATTCACTCAATATAGGTACAAGTCGGTTTTGATCCTCCTTCGACAATTGTTCTTAGAAGCTTGACGACGTGTATTATGTTATGTACGGTATAGACCACAGTGATCGACATAAGTCTCTGGGAACGAATATGGCCGAAGATATGTATATTGTTAAATTTTCGTGTTTTAAATTGTATCACCGTTAGAAGTCTACGGTGATTCGATGTACTTTTGTGACTTGTTAAATTATATCGGCTTGTGAATATTCTCTTCCAATCGCAGGTGAGATGACGCGTTTAAAGCATGATGCCGTATGTAATTTTGAGTTTTTGCAATGCGCCGTTAGGGGAGCCTCCGTTAGTTATGTTCGATCAGTTCTCGAGATGGTGCGTTCACAGCTGCTCGATTGGGAAATTGAGGTCGTCTATAACATGACGAAACAGGCCGTTGATGTGCTAAGTCAGGATCCACAACAGCTGGCAACTGAAATACTTAACTGGCTAACCCCATATGCAGGTAAGTTGATTTTTGCTGTTACAGAAGCGCATTACTAAGCTAAGAATCTCTATGAAGTTATGAAAGGTCAAATTTATCTCCAAGACCACGGAGCCTGGAATTAAGTTACTTCCACCATAAGCTGCTTGAGAGACTACACAACAATCATTATTTACCAGTAGTTGGCCCTCCCACATTAACGCTATTATGAACACGGTCTGCTCAGGTTTATTTGTAGTCACAATTTCTTGCTTATTGCTAAGTAACTGCTTCGAGTTTTTCCTTGAGCTGCCGTCAGTCAGCTCGATACGTATTGTCCCAGCTACTACTATGACTGCACGTAACGCTCCCCCGTAAGTAAAGGGCTGGCCATATACGTACACGGTAGTGTTATTTAAATATTGCATTCTAGATAACATTCACTACTGGTAGGTATATACTATTTAGTTGTTTATTGTTCCACGTGATAGTTAGTCCTCTCAACTATCGGTGGATGATAAGGCTCTTTTGCTTCTGTTGTAATGGACTCCCACTCCTACTAACTACTTTACTCTCCAACTGAAGCGATAGAAAAGCAGAATAAGATCTTTGAAAGATGGATAGTTTTCTGCTATCCAGGCCAGCCCAACAGATATTTGGCGCTTGCTTGTACATAAGCTTTATCCTGGCCAGAGACTAGCAACAGCTACAACCGCAGCAGGCGCCAGGCACAACGTCTTAATCGATATGGGCTTGACGCAGCATGGCCGAAACAGCGCTACCCTACATTATTACCAATAAATGATCTCCCCCCTCGATTCCTATTCATTAGTCTGTTCCCTCGATAAAGATGTCACGCCACATGTTCATAAACGACGTGGGGGTTACACACTTTACGCTAACAAGCATACCTTAGCTTAACTAATGTTGATATTACGCCGTTCGTTTCCACAGCGGTTTTTTCCTTTTCGAAATCTTGTTCCGTAAACTGCATTTTGTAGACGTCTCTTGCGTGATTTTTTGGTTACCATACGCCAATGCTTTCAAACTAATGCAACTATTATTGTTATTTCGCTTCGTATTACTCTTATCGTTCATTGCAGCTGACGGCAACTTAAAGGTCCTCGAGGATTTAGTTAACCAAGCAAATTCGTGGTGTCAGAAGGCCAAGACGCCGCTTCTTGTTCCACAGACGACATGGCTTAATTTGAACCTGCCCCCGCAGGTAACTTCGTTGACGCTGCCATCTGCAGTTCGTTTCATGACTGTGTCCAACGATAGCCAACGTTTGTATGCCGTTCTGGAGGACGACGAATGCAATATACAGGTCTACCGTATAGCTACGCGTCAGAAGACCATGTCAATGACAGGTAACACACCTCATCAATAAAAAAACCTACGAATATAAAAGAAAGGGTAAAAATGATGCGCATTGATAATAGCGATAACATTATCCATTATTGAAAAGAAAAGTTAACAACAACCAGTGTAATTTTTTTGTCGTTATTATTTACTAAGTTACACGGTTTTCAGTCAGTTCAACAATCCGACGGTACTATGCAGTATTAGTGCGTGAGATAGAGGATTTAGATACCTTCTTCACATATTAATTTATATAATGGTAGTACGATAGCTTTAAAGCCCAGCCAAACGACATGAATTTGTGCAGTACGTGCGAAATCGGCAAACAAGTATAGTCCCAAAAACGACAGCTAACAGCGCCATGTTTCAACAGGTTTAGTATCTGAATGGGCAAAAACATGCAATCCATGCTGAATAATTCGTTTAGTTCGACTGGCGGATAATTACGTGCCAAGGATTATCTTCCCCAATGCCTTAAAGTACTGAGAGAACCGGTGACGCTAATTCCCACAGGGTCAGTCAAACCTTGTCAACATCAGGCATTGCCGCCTGTTTCAATTAGAGTCCAGCAAAACACAAAGAGGACCACGTTTCCAATAGGAATTTGGCTTTATATCATTTTCGTTATACCAGTGCTTGCCGATAGTTCCAATGAAAGCCACCGACATGCTGCGTCCCCGGGTAGATGCCAACCTCTGACAGTCTGTTGTGCCAATCTTCCTATGCTACCATCGCTCTTGGATCTAAGAGAAACTTAAACAATAGTGTGAGTGGGAGATTAAAGGCAGAAAAACCTCGTACAGCCTAAAATAGCATTGTAACTATCACACTATTTGGACTGCCTAGAAATAGAATTCATGCTTGTCAAACATCTATAACAGTCGGGCAGTCCGTCACGCTGCTGCTGTTGCTGTCCTCTTCCTGTAAAATATGTAATGGCTGCTTTAATTAGGCAATCGTATATCAATTACTATTAACATAGTGAAATAGAGAATGCAGAAGCCAGAAAGTATGCAAACTCTTCATTCTAATAAATCTATATTGCCCACCGTTCTTTTTCGGTGGATGTCTTTTAGACGTTTTGACTCCCGGACACCTTAGATCGAAAATCAGAGCAACAAAATGTTTACCTCACTTTATTAGTCACTTATGTTCCGTTCCATACAGCCGATGGCCCGTGATCTGCATGGCTCTTCAGTTTGGGAAGTTGCATCTCGGTGCCCCAATAAGTAATTGAAGATGGATCAAAGTGGTGCCAACAATGAGAATTGCAAGAATATTTAAAAACATTCGCTATCACTGCGGAATCTCTATAATTATAATTTTATCAGTTATCACACTATTGTTATTATGCCAGCCGAAACCAATCAGTGCACAATCCTTATATTAATTTTAATCATAATAAAAACACATTTAGGTAATCTTCGTTTAATTTAGAAAAGGACACTTCAAGGCAAAACTGAAGAAGGAACGCTATATTATTTGTCCTTGTTTGTAGGCTCAACGATTTTGAAAGATATATTTGCATTAGGTTGAGCGCTTTTACATAGAAATACAATAGCATTTTATTAAATTAATTATTTTTGAAATTTTAGATTTTATATGACATATTCTCTATTTTGCATCTTGTTCTCGAACTCGCATAGTTATTTCTTCCGTTTTCTTCAGGTCATAAGGCGCCGATCACCTGCGTGCGTCTGACGCACTCGGGCTCGAAGCTGGTGACGGGCTCTGAGGACACGACCGTGATTGTGTTCTGTGCTATAACAGGCCAGTTAATGCGACGGTTGAGCTACCACGTTGCCAGCATCGAGTGCCTAGCGGTGACGCACGCTGAGCACCTTCTCATTAGTGGGTCTTCCATTGGAGTAGTTGTCGTTTCACGCCTAGATTCTGGCCAGATGGTCCAACGGCTTGAGAATCATCGCGGGATGATTAGCGCAGTTGCCGTCAATCGCGGAGATGATGTGTTTGCCACCGGTAGGTACCACGATGTCTCGAAGACGGCTTACTTTCGTTCTTATCTCTTATGAATGGGTCGAATCATTTGTAACAAAAGGAATACGCGGAATTGATCAGAAATAGCATTCGCTTTAATTTAATCAATTCCGCCTTGATAAGCACCCAGCTCAATCTCCGTTCATTGAAACTGATAAGAAACTTGCTGAATCGTTCGTATATCTACCTAGATAGTAGATATTCATAATCGTTTACTAAACTGAACACGATTTAAGTTAATGTGCCATTCACGGAAAACAAATGAGGGGCTCTAGATCCAAAAACATCCAGGCTGGGTCCGCGCGTTAGATAGGAGGACGTTTACGAGGGCGTCTATTCTCTACCTTCGAAACATACATTACGTATGTTCTGCAGGGGCGAAATGACCAGGGATAGGTGTACTATTTACGATCTCGAGGACACCGCCTCGAACTGAGTATATTTGAAACGAAGGCCAGCAGGGTAACATTGCTTGAGAGACAAGTTGTCGTCCTTGACGTCATGGTTGTCCTAGTCCAACATGGAGCTTCCCAGTGACAGCACAGTGAAGGGGTCTCCAAGCAAATTGAATTGGGACTGTATTTTGCCTCTTTTTCTCCCCATTTTTTTATTGCATTACTACAACCCTACTTTCTCTTTTACTTTACTCTTCTGCCCACCTGTCTTTTCTAGCCTAATTAGACCTGTTTAGCGGAGAGTACAGGATTGGTACGTGAGCAGTAAACACAGTCATAATTCCTGCTAACGTACGCAGACAGTATAACGAAATGTTTGTATAGTTCCTAGCTACGTACGCAGTTCTATTTGCCTAAACAGCAATGGAACTAGCTACATAATGAACAAAAGAGAAAGGTAAGTAAAATTGATGGGCGAAACACGGCAAACGCTAACCGCGTACTGGCCACTCGGATTCAATCACGGAGTTGAAACAACGCCCGCTGCGCTCAAACGGATATCGTATATATTGTTAGAACGCATACTTCTCAATTCAATTACAAGTTCTAAACACTATTATTCACATCTAATAAACGTTCTTTATTTGGCATTTATTTGTTATTGCTTAAAATAGCATCATACGACCGCACTGTTTGCATTTGGAGCATTGAGGATTTCACACTATTAAATACGTTTACGTTGTCGGCTGCCATCACGTTAATGCGAATCTCATTCGATTCAACGTTCCTGCTCATGATGTGTGAAGACAACTCTATTCACGTTCGGTCGCTCACCACTGGCTCCGAAGTCCATTGCCTCATAGGGTAAGAAAAAGCGTATCAAAATGCAGTGTTTGTTTTCATTATGCCCTCACATTCCCTGTTCGTTACCTGTACGGAGGGGTGATGCACGTACGTACAGCATTCCATTGATATTGACCGTTGCTTTGCACAGCGCATACATAGTTACAAAGGAACACAGTAGTATTATGAAATTATTTCATCGTGACTAAGCAGAGAAGCGGAGACCCATAGGCGCAGATTTAGCTATAGGCACAGACATAATTTCCCGGCGATAGGCAGTTATGCGGGGAAGAGTTACAACGCCAGCCATCTTACTTGGCTTGCCACCTATTTCTGATGTATTCACTTTAGTCTATTACTAGTACCATGCGATGCTGGAGTCCTACCGAACATCCCATCTATTGCTTCCACCAGCCCTCTAACTCGACAGCCAAAGCGCGTTCCGTATTTGTCGCTGTGAACAAAAAGAGAACAACGTTTTGTTGCATTACTTTCATAAACACTTTATCAGCTTTACGCGAGAATGGCCTGAAGTAATTATTTTGTTGAAGTGAACATTTAAGCTACAAGCACGGACATGTAGCGGTGTAGCACAGCAGAAGATCTTTAGAAGTGTTGCATGATGTTAGATCGGCTAAAGGTTGTGCGGTACGCCTGGAAAACACAGGCACTCTAAGAACCACTCTGTCTCACGACCATCTTGGCAATTCTATCGGCTGTATTTTTGTCACTTTACTGTTCCTTGACGTGGTATTTATTTTCCACGAGGAAAACGCTAGCAGGCACAGCAAACTCTTGGTTTTTCGTTTGGCGCCTGACTACCCTTTTTGGCAGATCGATCCAGAGGCAGGCCTTGAAAGGCCTTGGCAGGCTTGCGCCTGCAAAACTGTCACTTGAGTGGTCCCTACATGGTCGTCAGCCAGGGCGAGCTTCGTAGCGGGTATAAGATGTCGCTTGTTTGACCTTCTCTATGAAGAAGCAAAGTGGCAACGCTATCCTGCAGAAAAGCGTAACAGATATCGAGCACCCCTACCAGCGAGGTGTCGCATCACTCGTCAATCTTGTTAGCTTTACAGTCGTGCAAAAGGGGCGTAATCCCGTACGGCCATTCATAGGTCGTAGTGGATATATGTATAATCACATCTCAGGCACGCTCCAGTGCAATACGATAACGTAAATCGAACTTCAGAGTAAAATACACAACTACTCAGACTAAAAATTATAAGAAAAACATAAGCGTTTATAGCTCACATGGCAAACAATTAACGTTTTGAAGAACGATCGAACATTCTGGTAACAGTAATACTAAAAAGAATAAAACGACATACCGTATATGGCATGGATTTCTTGCGATATTTTCCAAAATAGTTCAGCGAGCATCATCTGGCGATACTGTAATTATGGGAGCATTTCTTGCAGCGAGTGCTTGTGTCTCTTCGCATACTATGTACGAATATAACATGTGTCACCATTACTGCTCGTCTAAACTTCAGAGACGACAATTTGCGATGGTCAGAGTCTGCTAATTGCAGTATTTCTTTTATGTTGTGACTGGTCTGCAATCTACATTTAATTACAGATACACGGGCGTCGCACGGAGTGTAGATTTTGCCCGCGATAACTGTCGCTGCATTGTTGGCACCGACGATGGTAAGGCCTATATCTTTGACGTGCACACAGGCGAGCTGACGGGAACGCTAAGCACAAGTGTCGATAACCAGCCGACGGTTGCGCTGCAAACACAGAAGACCGATTCGTTTCTTTTTACTGCAGCCGGTTCGAAGGTGACGGTGTGGCACTTCTATCTTAAGCGTAGCGAACTCCGCCATCCAGCTAGGCCGAAAAGTAAAAAGCCGGAAGGACATAAAGACATTGTCACCTGTGTCGCAGTTGCTCGAGACGGCAGTGTTGCCGTTACAGGTTGGTCGTATTGTCTAGTTCGATTACATTGAAAAATTCACACAATTTGCGGCTAAGTGACGAATAAAAACAAAAATAACCGCCGTATAAAACCTATTTATACATATAGCGGCTACACTACTTCCACGGATAGGCTCAACTTAATTCAACCTAGATTCTACTACAGTTATCGCACCTACATATTTGCAGAAATACCTTTCAACAAGCGTCTTAAACTACACAATAGAGACACATACATTTGTCAAGAGCTCGATTTCTGTTACATATCAAAAATAATTTTACCTTTATCCTATATTTGATCCAAGTGAGCCTTGCTTAAATTGTTCAGCGGTACAATGTAAGGTAGGTAATAGTATTTCTATCAATTGTCCATAGAAAATGTAACCGGTCAGCTGTACGGGATCTTTGGAAGAGGAGAACTGACAAGAGAACTGAGAGCAGTACAAAGCAAAACGAAATCTTGATATCTGGCTAGGAATGGGTTAATGATTCAGCTTTGGTATCTACTTGGTAGCTAAACGGCCACGTACTTCTCGCTATGGGAAGTTGTCCATAACGAGCTATTTGTTTGTCGCCAGTCAACATAGGTTAAAAATTTTCTTTACGGCTGTATATACTATCATGACGATACGAAATCTTTATTACTTGTCTTTGTAATAACAGAAGTAATCATTATTATTGTTGTTGTTGCTAACAAACATATAACGCGATTGTTACATTGTCGTGTTCATAAAATTTCGCTGCGTACGCGAACGTAATAGCGCACCGCTATACAAAAATATTTCAATTGATGATGACCTAAAGCCGCGACTCACAGACCCGGCAGTCAGAGATCGAGGCTAACGGCGATTGTGCCGTGACTCGTTACAGATGTAGGTAATTTGGCCTGAAGCAGTGTGAGTCCTCTTTGCTCAAAAACACATTTGGATTAATCTATATTAGATGCGATGAGATCCTTTTGCTGTTTTCTTTACGATTGGAGCTACCTAATTACCTAACCTTCCGGCTAGGTTTCGTTTCCTAAAAGGAAAGTTGTCGTGTGATCGATCCTAGCCTAGGAATAAAGCCGACTAGCGACGCCTGCGATGTAATTGACCGGTCTTGTGTAATAGGCAGTGCCGTAGCCTCTCTGATATGATCCGGTGAAGCCATGGTCATATTCCGTATTTAGAACATTCCTGCAAACAGCACGAATTAGACAAGTGTTCGTTTTTATTTCTAAAAATGAAAAAGCGCGTATCTCTCGATAGTGATGCTTTGACCAAGACGAATGCAACTAATATAAGGTAATTATAGGCAAAGCTAACAAGAAATTGAAGATGCCAATATCTAAACACTATTAAAAACACCAATCTACGGATTGTTGTCGGAAAATGCGGAGAAGATAGACCAAAAAGCCTCGATTAGTATATACCATTCATTCACTTGTTCATTTTCAGAAGGCTCAAACGCAGACTAACAATTCTATTAAAAGAAAGCAATATGACTGAGAAGAAAAGAGACCACTGTACATACAGCTAACAAAGGCCGGTTAGGAAATTGAAGAATTCCTGCTAATCTAAGCTCATGAGTAACGCGCGTTCCTGAGAAGCTCGTTACAATGTGTTATATTCACCTCGAATTTTGGAACCTAAATATTACTTATACTCTATACGCTAACGCACAATCTTCGGATTATTATAATTAACGTACCGTCCGTTTCCAAGTTTCCATCCATAATTGCGAACTTCGTATCCCTCAATCCGTCCAGTTATTGGCCTGCCGTATCCCCGATCATAGCGGCCCTCTGAAACCAAATATGCGAAGGTGGAGAGGCCAAGCAGAGGGCGTAAAAATTATTTGGATATCTGCAGAGATCGATAAGCACGCACTACTCCGTTACGAGCGATGCATAGATTGATGCTAATACATTGTACGTACGGCGGGTTGCAGGACCTCTACTAATGCCCACGTATCTAACACTCCTCGTTACAACACAGTTAGTCATGGAAAAGCACCACAAAACCGCCGGGGTCGTCTGATCTCCAATTATTGGTCTTGCAGTGCTAACATACCATATATATGAAAGCTAAGGTGATAATATGATTTTCTGATTTAAGATTCTCGTAAATATCTCAAATCGCCATGAGTTGGCAGAGTCATGACAACACAAGATATTTAAGGCTAATTTATTGCAAAAAAAAAAAGTTACAACCATGCTTTAGTTAGTTAGTTCTATTGGTGATTATGTTATACCGAAGCTTATGGCAAACGTAGCCATCCAAGGGGAAATAAAGGAGGCGGCAAATCTGAGCAATACTGAGAAGCTTCCTGAAGCTTCAAGCGCAAAATGTATTTGGACAAATGCCTATAGATAGGTACGCATTTTTTCGATAATAGGAAGTTTAAAGTAGTAAGATTAACTGCAAATAATAAATCTGAAGTAGTCGTGTTCGAAAGAATCAGTAAGACAAAGAAAATTAAGTTCTCTCTAGCTGAGTATTTCTGTTTAAGTTCGTTTCTGAATTTTCGTCTATAATTGATTCTACGCAATACGCGCATATATTCTAACTAGGGCAAAAGTAAACTGACAACAGAACGACGGAAGGCTTGACTCACAAGCTGAGTGTGAGCAAATGGTTATGGCTAGTTCAGCGTTTGAATAACATTTGGCGACACACTATATATCATTCACTTGGCCTCAATCTGGCTGGCTGTCCAGGAAGGACACTAGTCGACCCTGATTCATTACCAACACAAATTGAATATTGTCATGATCTATATTTTTAGCATGTGCAAATTGGACGTAGAACGAAGGTGACTGCTGTCATGGGATTTGGCGTTTTAATTTAACGTCCGAGTCAGGACGAAGAGGGAACGCGGCGGAATGAGAAACGTTAATACGATCTTTGTAGCAGTTTCGCACAATAAGTTCATCCGAGGGATATCTCGTATTTTCTTACCTGCCGGATATCTTGTTTGCCCGAAGAACGTGCCAGGCCCATTTCGAGGATAATGGTCATTGTAATAACCGCGTGGTTGGTATCTATCAACAAGTGGAACATTGTCCTAGGTCGTTAGTGTCTCAGTGTCCGATCGTTATCAAAATTATAGTCATTAGTATGCGACAGCAATGAGAAAGGTATCCTAACCGCTAATTAGTATAATTCTTTATTTGCAAACGAGACTTTAAACGTTCATAAACTGATCGTCGAAATATCTTTCAAAGAATAAAGTTTACACTTCCTTTATAAAGATCATTCAGATATCAAGGCTTTTATTCCTATTATATTTATCCCCATTGAAAAGCTGTTGGACCCGTGATTTTGTTTCATTATGTGTTTTTCCTAAAAACCGCATTAGCGTACGGAAAATGTACGTATGTCAACCTATCGTATGCAGCGTAGCGATCGTATATGTCATAGAGGCGGTCAGGGACTCGATTGACGTCTGCTAGGCGTGCCACGCTCTGCCGGTCTTTGGTGAAATCTCGTTGAAAGTCTCGAAGATAATAATCCCGACCTGTAAATTGTGTCAAAGGATTACCGCTACTATCAATTATGGCTGTAACGGCAACTGACATATAAAAAGAATCAGATAGAAGAGTATTCGTAGGGTACTGGATTTCTAGTTAACAATGATGCAGGTAACGGGATATTCTGTTACGGAATCCGAGTAGAGATCAACTAGGGGAAAGCTGTCAAAGAATAGTTATGACAATATTTTCATGCACACATAAGCATTACATTATAAAAACAAAAAATGGGTCTTAGATATAAGTAGAAAATTTTGCGGAAAAAACTATCTAATTAGCTTGGACCTTAGCAGGAAGTATAAACGCACCACATACTAGGTCGACGATATCGAACCATATCAAATAAACCACAATAATATAAAGATGACCATGATAGAATAATTGTAATGAAAAGATACAGGTAACCTGCACTCAGGAAATGAAAAGCAATAATTGAAATAGCCAACGAAGGCAGGTACAAACGGTGCAGGAACTTGAGAAGGATTCCGTACGCATATCTAGAATTCCTGGTCCACATAAGCAATTCCAATGGCGTATTACTCAAAGCAAAAATAGCTGCCGCAATAAGTGCTGGAATAGAGGATTATCAACGATCTAACGGAAAAAATATAACTTGTTGGAGGAGTATCGACCAGCGCTTAGCGGAAGAATGGGGAAACATTATAGGCACAATATGAGAAATAGCAATTTTCCGAGGCTGCAAGAAGAAAAATAAGACACAAAGCAAAAATAAAAAGCAATTTATGATAAAACACAGAAGAAGTGAGAAATGGAGGTTTCTTATAGGTTCGTTAAGCAACAAAATGAAATTCAAAAAAGAATACGTAGTAAACAATAGAATGTATACAATCGAATAAATCAGTGAAACGAAGGTGCAATAAAAGAGACAATAAAAGCGATTCCTGCGGAACCGCAAAAAAAGCATTTAAATGAAAAAGTCCGCCCGTGACGACGACAATAACGTGCCCATACTGAGACACAAGGGAAAATCAAGACATCGACTCTTGGGCAAGGAATCGCTGGCAAAAAATTCGTTAGGAGCTTACAAACAGTGATCCAAGCAAAGTGCACAGAGGACTTGCAGCACCAGCACCGAAAGAATAGCAAAACTCGATAAACACTTACCGAATCGAGCTAATTTTGAATCGGTCGTCGAACAGAGGTCTGTTCGTTGAAATCAGGTAAGGCTATTAAGTGGGCCAAAAAAATAATTTGATCTTTGCGATAGAAAATAATGGAAAAAAAAAGCGTTTACGTAAAACTTACATAGGCATTTAAACGCCATTTCTTCCAAATATATATGTATAGGCAAAGCTAAAAAAATTTAATCTGGTAATTCCGAAAGAAGCAAAGGTTAAAGAAAAGATGTCTGCATCGTCTATACCTGCCTTTATGCTACATTTTACTTATGTTACCTATACAGGTACTAGAGAGTAGTCGGATTTCAAAGGAGATATAGATGTAGTAGTATTTGAGTTTAGGCCAAATATCGTGTTGTTTGCTGACGACACGCTGATTTTAGCAGAACTAGAGAGGAGTTACAGGGAATGCAAAATATCTGCGGCGAAACTGCGGGGAATGTAGAACAAATTCTCAATAAAAAAGAACACAAGAATATGAGCTTTCCATAAGTTGTAGCTCAAGTGAAGACAATCGAATGCAGAGGTAAAAGGCACAAACATTTGAAAGTACAGGTTGCAAACGAAGGTAATTTCCTTATGGAGAAAGTAGCCACACATGTTTATTTCTAAATACTGCAAATGCATAGCTCTGCTAACGATCACGTGTGTAGATATGGTAGTGCAAATTACTATAGGGGCAGGGATATCTACTCTTTCGCACAGCACAAAAGGTGCGAGACAACGCCAAGAAATGCAACGTATATAAGTACATGTGTGCGCGACCCATTCTCAGATGGTGACGTTGGGTTTTCTTGTTTCCTTATTAACAAGGCCCGCGCAAAAATATTACTTGAAGAGAGAGTGAAGGTATTTTGCACAAAAGGGAAACACACTACTGGGTTTAACGGCCGCGTCTCCTGAAACAATACAGTAAAATGAGCAGTATAGAAGACAGTAAAATGGCTATTTTTAAGTGAAAGAAGTACGTGATAGACATTGAAGGTTATTGCACTATGCATACACCAACGATCCGAAGGTAATGCTAAGGAGAGGTGGAAACAGGACCTGATCCGAAAGAGCTCACTGGTACGTCATAATGCAGATGAGCAAAGCTACTGAGTGGAATATATAGCATGTCCCAACTCAAATGCATCTGACCCTTTTGTTGATTGCAAAGCTTGTATGCTACATTCAAGCACTGTAGAAACACATAAAAGTAAGTCTGGGTAGTCTCTGCCACAACGAAACTCATCGTATTGGAATCATAAGGGAAGCTAGGAAAGGCAACATCATGTATAAAAACATTCTCGAGGTTCTGCAAAGACGGTCAAATGTAATCAACTGGAAAAGGGTAAGAGAGAGTTTGCGAAATGGTCTGTTTGTACATTGCAGGTAGCTCTGTTAATTATGCAACAATACATTATTTCAAGCACGTTTTGAATTTAGGATTCTGCCTTCAACATGTATATTACTAGTATTTTGCTTCTGTGTCCAGGCAACTCTCCCTACGGACCAAGTGTACAATAACTAAGACACGTTCAGATACGCCCACTGTTATTATCTTTAAATAATACGTTATTTAAATTATCTGGAAATGCTAGTTAGCTAATAATTGTGGGTTGTATAGCAGTAGCGTTATGCCAAGCTGAAGGCTTGTGTATGAAATAATATAGGCCAATTTTAACGATAACATTTCATTGAACGTCTTCTATTCGGTCGGTTTTTACAGGATTTCGTCACCTGTAAATACTACAAGTGTTGATTTCGTTGCAAAGAGAATGCTTCATTGCAGATATTTCAATTACACTGGGAGCCTGAAAAGAGCGCCTGTTCAGGCCTACTTAAAGAGCGGCTAGAAATGTACCTAGTGTGTTTACCATCAGACCTATTTGTTTGCCAGCCGCATACTCTAAGCTGTGCAAATTAATCAGCGAACGGGCTGTCTGCTCATCGGACTATCTTATTGAACGTCAGCCAGATACCCTTCTAGCCGTCGTCTGCTGTAGTGTATGTTTAAACAGCAAAGAAAAGCAATTGATAATAGCTTAGACAAGTAGGCATACATGCGACGTACCCGATCCATAATAAGCTACTTACACTAATATGGTACTTTATAATGATGGGTATTATATGGGCTTACCGTATCTGTCGTAGCCATATCCACGGTCAGGTTTATATCCACGATTGTAACGATTATAGTTTCGATTATAACCGTCTTTATTATATCCATCAGGTCTGAGCACACTGTTATGGCACAAAATGAAAAGTATTATATTCAAATATATAACAATATTCAAACAAAACAAAGGACCGAAAGTGCAGTTCATATAGCAGACGTACTATTACAAGATGCCGTCATAATGCTCGAAAGTGTTTGTTTGCGGTCGTTCGACACGAACCTGACAATTCGATCAGGGCGCGATCCATCTCTTCCGTAAACGCGGTCGTAGAACCTGTCGTAGACGCGATCTCTATCATAGCGGTCCGATCGATCTATCCGTGAAGACGATCTACGGCCATAGCGTGCACCTTGGCGGTAGTTCATATGATAATCATTCTCGTACGCAATCCGACCTTGGCGAAAACCGAGAAAGCCCACTATATCAGTCAATTGATGACATGCGCATGTAACTGCTTTCTACTCTGAGAAATAACTTCTTTATTAGACAATTGCTTCAGCCAATATATACACGAAAAAATCTATACACAACCAATATATATATATATACATAAAAAGAAAACGAAAATCGTTAACCGGTGTCCTTCTCGATTTGGCAAAATCAGGAATCTGGCTTTAACCTATGTATCAAACATATTTTAGCCATATACACGTATAGCCCTCATGTATTGTCTGAAAGGCGTGAGAACCAAATCGTTGTTGGTTTGGACGCCGACGACCTCGTCGCTCACCACTTGATGTCTCGTCTTTTATCTTCTATCGAAGCGCTGTGTTGCTAATTAGAATTTATTTTCTGTCCTCTTTTTGCTTTGCGACTTCCTTAGCTATTATTACTATGGAAACAAATTTTCGGGATCAACGCTTATATACAACATCAAGGACCCGCCGTCGCTATTAGGGATTTGACCAGAGTGGGCCTTTTCGGACCTAAGTGAGGCTTTTCAGCAAATCTGTGGAATGATATGCCAACCACATAGTCAACTAATAACGGTTCCATATTTTCCTCAATATATTTTCCCTAATTCCTTATTTTCTTGATGATTGCTTATATAGACGTACAAATAATACTTTTTGCCAAAAAGGAGATTTGGATTGGTGTGACCGCATGCTTGTTACAGAATGGTTAGCTACATTTTTAGAAAAGTACACACTAGCCGCCTAAACTCATATCAACGGTATTTTCGTAGGTGTGCATGCAGATAAGCCTCTTTGGTGTATGAGGTCAGCATTTCAACGAGCCCAATACGCCAAGCTAGTCCATTTGTAAACAATTACAATATAGTTGTTAATATCAACTAGATGCAATATACATTTGCAGGCTGACGCTGAGCGAAATTTACATGCATATACAAACTGCTAGCCTGTGATCAACTCTATAGACCTTAATAAATTAAAGCAAACGGAAATAGATCTAGACGAAAGCAGCCCTGAGCTACGTACCCACCTGTTTCTCACAAGCTTTGCCGGTCAAGAGAAGATCAAGAGAGGACTAAGCTTCAGGCACGTTTGAGGACACCTGACCGAATATTCTAATCAATGAAGGAAGGGGTGACACTCTGCGTTCTAATTGGCCCAAAACGAGCGTTATCGGTTATTACTCATTGTTTGATAGCACCAATGGGCTTTGTTGTACGATATGGAACTATAGGCAGTCTTGCGTTGACTGTTCTCGATAGCCAGGCTTAAACTTAATCAGTTTTAAGCTTCTCAGTGAAGAGAAAGCATCGACCTTGTTAGCTCAAATCTGCGTTCACTCACACTGCGTACACGCGTGCTAACTAATAGTAAATGGATTAATCCATATGCACGGGATTTCTGTGAGTACTAGCTGCAAAATCGTACAGTTTGTGATAATGCAGTGTTTCATATGAGAACCTTTTCCTTCGTCGAGGGAATCGTTCGAAGTCGCTCAAAGCACTGGAAAAACGCCGCCGAAAATGACTAATCAGCTTTGCACTTCATCTGATTGACCTTACTGACACAGAACTATCGTATTTTTTAACACATAAATAAGGCAATGGGGCATTCCGAGCTCAATCGTTGACCTACAAGCAGAGAGGCTTGCAGGTACCTACCTACGGTAGCTCGGATGACCGAATCAAAATTCTGTCCCCATAATCGTGCATTATGTAATTTGAAAAAATGTAGATACTCTATACAGATCATCATTAGTTTGTTCCATTTGCTGTGCGACACTGTACATAGCCGAAGTAGATTCAGGTTTGTATCAATGTTGGTCTAATGGAACACGTAATGGCGGTGTCGGACGTAAAACTCGAAGCATTTAACTTGAGGCACACGTTAATGTAAAGTGAACAGCCTAAATAGGTATCCAACAATCCTAAGTTAACCAAATTAATTCCCGAAAATCAGTAAAAAGACTGTTTTAGGTTGTTACATTATAAGCGATGACATCCTGAAGCACTTTTAATGAATGGGATGTTAACCTGCGAAGGTAGATTTTTCTGACAATTGTTTGACGACAGTATGAAGCAATCGTTAAACGAAAGCCTATATATCACTCCTAGGCCAATGAGCCACCCTTTCAGAAGGCAAATAGGTTAATCGGTCTATTCTGAAAGCGCGAGAGGAAGCCGCTTTCGCGCGATTTCTCAGTCAGCCGGTTCGTAAGTGAAATGCTAAGTAATATATAGATGATAAAAACGAAATTATGTAGATCTTGTACGAACTAGTTATACATTTTAAGATATGAAGTTAACGATCGCGAACGTTTCGTTGGTTGGACACGTCGCGTGCTGTTTTTTTTTTTGGACAATAAACAATTTCGCGTCATATCCGCGAACGTGTGTGATCGCTCTCAACGAGTGCTGTTGCGGGGGTGGCTTCTATTATACCTTTTTTTTTGTTATGAAGTGTAATAATGCTTTCGGAACCCGGGACTTCCCGAAATCCTCAAAATTGACACAATTCGTCGCTATATCTAAAGTCATACAAATTTATCGATATGAGCTACTGGCCCACACCGAGTTCCCTATTATCAAATTATTATGACAACAACGAAGAGGACCCACGACAAATTATGCCAGAAGCAATTCAGTAGTCTTATTATTGCATTTATATCTACATTGTCTCATATTGTCCTAACAGTACGGCCTTTCGCGTTACTCACGCGGGTGCCGTTGGCAGGTTTTATCGAAGTACGTTGCTTTTTTTTGGGCAAGTTCACGGTTCGCAGAAATCGCATTATGTTTTCTCTGTACCTATGTTCCAAATGGCCTCCCTAACCCGACGGTGGCAATGGCGGCATCAATAAGATCATAAAGATGAATTATGTTGTACGTCTTTGGTTCTGTATATTTTGCTTATGTATGGGCCTTTCGGCCCCATTCATTCCTCCGTGTTGACGTCACAGATGACGGTGGAATTCAAGCGTGCCGTTTTGAGTAGCCACTCACATCACGTTGCTCGATCTGTCCAGGCGATAATAACAGCCAGACAGGAGCCGGGTACAGCTGGGTCGAGTCTTGCGATGAAGTGACGCAAGCGAAGCACAAACACTCCTTGTAGCGATAGAAGTTTGAATCTGTGTTGATGGCGCAGACCAACTGCAATTAAAAGCATACAGGTAGAATAAAAGATGACGGTGGAGGATATGCAAGAACCCGCTCGCTGCAGTTGCAGGACGAAGAGCACGACTGTTCCGTTAGCGTTTACGTCTCGTTACGTGAGAAAAAAATGGAAGGTAACCACTGAGGGAGAAGAATGGCGAGACAATGCAATACTAGCTTACAGCGGACGATGGGCGAGCAAAGAGCTGCCGTAGTGAGCAGCTCACATATACTGGCAAAATGTCAACGATACACAAGGCGCCACCCGCTGCAGTGGCGATATGGCAAACGGTGATCCGATAAAAACGGAGTGTTTAGCGGAAAGGAAGAGTTTAGAAGCAACTGCGAGTTGCATCCATCGCCACTCCGTTGTCTCCGGTCTTCACGGACGACGACGAGATTCCTGGGTAGCGCACGGCGAGAATAATATTAGCAACTAAACCAGTTATCAGGCACAGTCACGGCAGGAGTAGCAGTAAAGTAAGTCAAAAGTCGATATATGGCCGTTGCTGCCATCTGTCAACAATACGACGACAACGATTGGCGTTTAGCGTTAGATTCCGTTCCATTCGTACTATGGTTGTTGTTAGCATTATAGAAAGAGCGGGAATGCGAAAGCAAAATCAGGGACTGTTTAAGACTTGCTACCTCTTTTTGCTGGTACCAGCAATTTACTTCGCAATCCTCTCGGTACTGTCGAAATGATGCCGGAGCAATTACTGATACTGCTGCTATTTCTTCATTTCGTTCCTTTATGCTGTTCTTTATGCTATTACTGTTGCTATTGATTGAACGTTGTTGCATCTACCATTGTTTTACATAGTCTCCCGCTTTGTTTTTGTGATGAGACGTGTCACGTCCGCATAAGGTTACAGTAAGTGACTGTGCTCTACGATTATCTCGATTTTCATTATCGGTCCAATAGCTGTCCTATCGCTCATTGTTATTATTTTCATTCCTCTCTCTCTAACTGCATGAAATTGCATTTAGTGAACACAACTACGCTTATGCCGTTCGCACCTCTAACGATCTGTTCCTTTCGCAATATATTTGTGTGTAGCTGCACGACTTCCTATTAGAGTCGGTTGAAGTCGGTGAAACATTTATAAACAGAAAAGAAAACATAAAAACACAAACAAACATATTCGCTGCATATACAAGGTGGGCCTTTTTCCCCCCATTGTCTCAATGCTTGATGTCCGATCGGCTTAGAAGTTAACAGTTCGTCAGCAAGTGAACATTATCAATGATGAGCAGTTACAGGCATCCTAAAAAGTCTACTTTGACGTTCTTGCTTAATAGCGGGTCGAAATTGTCTATAATGTCAGTGATGATACAAATAAAATCGTTCGACGACGGCGAACCATGACAAGCAAATTTGTGACATCGTAGACACGTAAAGGACTATTTTTTCTCTTTTTTTTTTTGAATAAAATTTGAAGAGAACTCCTGCTGAACATTGATCCTATATTAATAATCCGTTGTAATATCCAAATATCAAAAAAGTCTAGTATAGCTAGATACAAGCGCAAAAAATATGGAAAAACGATACCCTATGAAGTGGTATTTCTCCATTTAGAGTAAGTAACCAAAAGATAAATTAACTCGAAAACGGAAAAAAACACGCCGCATGTTTAATTTTATTCAAACTATCTCCGAAAACGGGAAATTCGTGTGCATAACCTGCTATCTAGCTGTTCATATTTGTGAATGCCCAGAACAGATCACCCAAGATAATACTAGCGTTAGTTATCCAGAGCTAGAAAGTTTGTGGAATCGAAACACAATAAGAGTAAATACTGCTCTCCGAACTGAGAGAATATTTTACGTTTACGATTCCTGCGCTGCTCAACCATATTCATTTGTCCTGTCTTCCTTAACTTCCATTTAAAGTCTTCCTTAACTATTTGTTGTACACCGAATAACTGTATTTTTTCATGTGGTCCATACGGCATGAAATCACTTACTAATAATATATCTATTGAACTTTTTTATACTCGCAGAGCCACCACCTGATAAGAAAACTTAATGCACGACGTACAACGACAGCTCAAGTTATTGACATTTTCGGCTGTGCTAACTGCGTGTACTTGCAGGCCTTCTGTTCACTTACTTTCCGTTTCGAAAAAACATTTTAGGTTAGGTTAGGTTATTTATTTATTGTTATTTTATTTATTTTTTAATATATATTTACAATGGCGTTTCCTGGATAGAAATCATTCAATAGGATTCGGGGACACCAGAGATTCAATCCGCGCAACAAATCAATCTAGATGATATTTTGAGAAGTTTGAATTATTCCTGATTTTTAGGTGTCAGTATCTCGTGGAGCAAAAGGATATACAGAAACCTGATACAATGCGTTTTTCTCTTTTGGGCTGCAGAAACGTTTTAGTTTCAGAAAAAAAGAACAACGATGAAAAGCAAACAACAAAATCGACTTTGTTTGTACATTTGTTGTTTGCAACAAATGTTATTGCCTAGGGGATGATTTTGCTTTCTGGGTCACACAGTTTTTTTTTTATAAAATATATGTAACCATATAGTACTCGCGTTTCTCTGACATTAACTAATTATATATCATTGACGTTGAGCAAAACGTACGGGCAGAATTATTTTTGTCGAGTGGTCACAAGCAAGACCCAAGCTGCAAGCGAATAGGTCTCACAGGCAGGACCACAAATGCTGACTTGTTTCTGACCCAAACGAAAGCGTATTACGCAAACAAAGTAGATGATCCCCCTTCCGTCCTAGCGCGCACAAAGGAAACTGTGTGTTTTCGGTAGCAGTGTATTTCAACGTAGACATGCTCTGTGATTTCATCTAGGACATAAAAATTCAAGTTAACATTGTTGATGGACGCTGCCAAATTGAACCGTCGTAGGTCGAACGATTACGGTATAAAGCTTCGCTGAGAATTGCGTATCGAGTAGCGTCTGTCACCAGCTAACTTACCTTAAAATGTTGCCGCGTACCCGATTAGCCTCTGACCCTGCTTGTCAAAATTATTGTCATGTGAATCAGAATATTGCTTTTTCTTACCTCTGCTGTATCCGTAGTCATACTCGTTCCTGCCGTATGGATCGCTTAAGCCTGAACCATGATCTCTCTGATCATGTGGATCTCGGTCGTAAATCCCCACGCCAATGTGGCTGTGACCGGCAAACGTCTCGCGCAGCAGAGCGTATAGGAATAGACACAGAAAAGGGAACATCGCTGCGCAAACGGCTCGTGTAGTTTTCCTAATTAATTAATTAATGCTAGCTATTACCAGAACCACCTGCACGGCAACTATTAGCACGAAACCGTAAACACTTTAACGTCGGCGCAATGTTTGACGCTTTCGGTAGAAGTGAACGTTTTAGCCCTCGTCGGTACTTGCAAATCCGTATATCTCGATAATTAAAACGAGGATGACATCACATTCTCTGTCTACCTTGGCAAACAGAAATTAGCCAACTACAATATTCCCGTACGCGGCACGGGGTTTTTAAAGTTTCTAGTATTCGGTGTTTGGTTCGCCTTGTCGCAATCCTATGATACGAAACAACGGTAGCTGTCTATGGGAGAGTCTCTGCTTCTCCTTACTGATCTAGAGAAGCGAGAGATATCCGGCGAGAAGGAGTCCATCGTCCTTGCCATATTTTCTGTCCTTATCATTGTTATCCCCGTTATCACCATCATCATCATTTGATTTGACGAGGGAGATCTTGCGAATTACGTAAAGCTGGGCAATAGTAACTTCATCAACAGTAACAACTATAGCAATCTACAGTATCTATGTGGATGCTGTCCAGCGGAAACGAAAGAGCAAATGACGGGCAGATAATAGTAATAATAATATGTGGATATATAATAATTATGAGATATATAAGATAATAAGTTATGAACAAACCCGCAATGCAGTTTAACATATGTATGTGTATAAAGGAATTCGCTCGTCTATACTTCTGCTATTGCTATTTCTGCAGCTATTGCAACTGCTATATCGGCTACTAGAGCTGCTGCTTCCACCAATATCGTGCCCCCAAGTGAACCGCCTGTGGCCTGTGTGGAAGGGACAGTGGCCTTGAACGACACAGAAATTCGCTTAAGGATGAATGTCTTTTCAGGAAGTTTAGGAGGACTGTGGAGAGGGTGACGGAAATGGTCTTGGACTTGGGGCATGGAGGTAAAGGACATAGCGGAAGAGGAGATGACAGATGCGACAAATGTCGCGGCTACTACAGTACGGCTGCAACAGCCAACGAGCCGCCGATTATAGCCGCTGGGAAAAGCTGAGGACAAAAGGAAGATAAAGAGGGAATAGGTGAAAGAAAATAGAGATTGACGCACACACACTCTTCACACAGAATCGTCCTAATAAGCTGACGTAGAGATACTGGGCGAGTGTCTTCTGCATTTGAAGATTCGACAATAGTACAAATAGCTATGAAAATAAGAACATATTTTTTAATTATGAAATTTTATGTTTGATAGATATTGGTATATGTATTATCAGGAAGGTACGAAGGGGAGCGAGAGGGCAAAATGTAATGCAAAAGAAAACAGCTGCTGTAACAAAATTCTCGCCTTTATGGGAGAAAGGCAATATTTCAGACGATGCACACAGGACAGGAACAGCGGCAGTGGCAAAGCACCCTACTGCTCAAAATACTTCTCTATACCCATAAGTGAGATTTGTCTTGGAAGCCTCTCCCTATATGTCATAAGCATCATAACGGAGAATGGAGTATCTCCAACTCACTACATTAACGATTCTGTCATCCATTGCCGGTGGCTGCTGCTGAGCAGATGGTAAAGTATCAGGTGGTTTCACCTGATAAAAATCCAGATTTATCTTTGTTTTTTACTATGTGAAATAGCACTTGTTTGTCACAGCTTGTTTTATTCGTCGTACTTGAAAATATGTTTTACCCATATCCACTTTTCCTATACGTAAATATGAGATCTTTTCCGTTCGATCAGTTATCGTCTTTTCCTTGCATTACGATGTTATGGTACAGAAATACTGTGCGAATCAGAAAATGTGTTAAAATAGCTATTTTGGAAGAATAATAGTAATAAACATTATTATTATAGTCATCATGATCACGAGGATGAGGTAAGTTAGGTGTTACCTTGAAATTAAAGGGATGAATACTTACTCAACTCGCACGAGCATTGACCATTAAGACATACGTCACCCGACAAACACTAGCAAATCCAGCGTATGTGGCGGTATATATATTGTCCGGTTTCGAACGTTTTGAGAGCGCAGAGGAAAAAACCGATCAGACGTTATTTCACGAAGCTATTAGCCCAAGCAGGGCCTTACTGATAATGGTGTTGGGGAAAATGGAAGGATCGAAGGGAAAAAAGACCTTATAAGCAGTTTTGTATTTCCTCGGCGGCGTCTCGTTTTGAATGTCTATCTCCATCATCGTAGACTGAACGATCCGAAGCGAGTATAGTAATGCAGTTTGTTTACATAATTGAGATACATTCGTACGGAAGGAACAATTTAGGCCAGTTCGCAGGCAGAAAAAAGCTTTGCCACTTTTTCCTGCGACCTGATGAGACGGGTACTGCTTGAAAGGAGCCTTTCTGCTTCTTTAAACGATGAACAGTAACATTCACAGTTTAGCCGTTAAGTAAAAGGAAAAGCCTTTATACTTTCATATGCACACGTATTTTCCAGCCCCAGTTCTAACTGTGTTGTGCTTGCTAGCGTCACTTGAAGACAACATCCCAACAAAGAGGTCACCTAACAAAAATATTGATGTACGAAAAATACGTGTACCCGAACTGTGTACGCGCTTAGACAAAACGATCTATCATTGCGATCATGCATTTGTTAGGTTAGAATCAGCTGAATCATAAAAAGGCACTCAAGTTAGAGCGCGATGAGTTCGCTATCGGAACCTGCAGATCTGTAGAATATACAGTAGTTTTTTTGCTTGATAAAATAGATTTGGATTTATTTGTTCGCATCGATAACAATCGAACTAGAACTTTAGCATATCCATAGGACCCGTCTATTCGCTTAAATATCAGGCTGTCCCAAGCCAGCCCCAGAATTTCCTGTGCAAGTTAACTCGTTCTAGTATATTTCCAGTGGGCCTGACTTTTTACGCCTCTCGAATACATCAACTAGCCTTGAATTAATTTAAACCGCCGATTCAGTTATTTTCAATGATAGGCAGCGGCCTGCGAGTATCCACAAGGACATAAAAATGAATGGATTTCCATATTCTCCAAACGAAAAAGCGAATTTGCAATGTCTATAATCGTATTTAGCAGATATATAGCCCAAGATATAAGTGGTCCGGATAACTATCCATGACTGATTATCCCATAAAAAGCAGAAACTCGTACAAAGTTTTCAGACTATTGTCCTGAGCAGGCATTAAACTGCCGTTGATATGGTTGGAGCATCCAATAAGCGCTTCCAGCGAGCAATTTTTCAGTGAGCAATGCTTACTGCTGTAATTTAGGGAGTGAGACGAGGCTAATTAGGTTGGCACAAGGTAGCAACTTCCCATCGTAATTGGCTTTGCCCAGGCAGAGCGAGAGATTACTACCAATACTTGCTGTCCCTCTACTCCATATCAAACTGTCAACCGCTAGCCATAAGGTCAGTTACAACGCCAGCTCAGCTCTCGGCCCCGGTGAGGTGCGGGGAACTACTTGAAGCCAATTTATCTGGCATCAAGATGGAAATCACTATGCCTGGCCCGGCGTCGTTTGCTACGTCAGGGGGCGCAGGTTAGGAAAAGTCGTCTATGCGACTGTTAACCGAGTCTCGTCGTTTTGGGTTCGTTATGGCACAGCTCGATAGCGTGTTATCTTCAAAAAAAACAACGACTACCTTATCGTAACGTTATAAACGAAAACTGCCCAAGTTCTACCAAAGTATGTCTCTGAAACTTCCCGAAAAGTTGAGAGTTTTGTTATAAACTTGGTATTCTTAGCACGTTTATCTGCATATATTCTCGATACGAATCTGCGTCTGCATGATCAGGATCGGTTCCTGTAATAATGAAACAATTTACTGTCCTGCCAAAATGCACAATTTTCCAGCATCGTCTTGCTCTATCTATGACTTACCAAGATGACCAGTTAACGGCGTGATCAGAAAGCCAGAGACCGATTACCTGAGCCGCATGAGTATAATTCTTTTAGAAAATGTTCAGCTTGCTTGTGAAAGGTGTTCAACTAAAACGGTTACCTATGCAATTCAGCCTTCTCTGAATGTAGTTTTTATATCTTCGAATTGCAAAGCATTATAAACATCCTAAGGGCAACATACATAATAGCGCTAACCTCCTTCCCCATACACACATTTATGCAAAAAGCCGTAGTCGGTGCTCAATCATACGACTTCAAAGCTGGCGGATAGGCTATTTTCAAATAGTTTTTATGTTTATCAAAGCGGCGTTGTTTTTTTTTTTTTCACTAGTACATCTATATGTCGATCAAGATATTGACAATGTTAAACTGGCATATCGTGTCCCAGCGATCGCAAGTACTGCAGTTGTATCCAGTTTTCAGCGGACTATTCAGTACCTAGCCGGCGCGTTCTATCTCAGCACTTGAAACGCATATTGTCGACGTTGGCCGATCAGCGTTCAGATCTGGCGCAAATCTTTTTTTTGGTGATGTTGCGTCAACCGTGGAACTGGGAAGAGACGCACATGTCGTTGTGGACCAGAAAACACTGATTAGGAGACAGCTTCATAAAAACAAATGTACACAACGTGGAAGTTCTGAAATATTTTTTCGTGTTTCCTAGCATGCGTTTGGTTGCTAATATTGCTCAAAGGCTGGGGGAACGTCGTATAGAATCGCTAATAAAAACCAAAAAAAAGTTTACGAAGCGGAGGACCGTGTGGTTATTTACAAATTTTAAAACGATAAGTTCATTTCGTGTAATGATTAGGAAATGGTGAACTTGCTGCATCGAATATCACGCTTCGTCGCCAAGTGAAACAGACTGAGTTCGACGACAATAGACTTGTCAAGAAACCTCGGTTGAATCTCCGAATGAAACGAGGCCATCTTCACTGAGCGAACGAAATAAAAAAATAGGACTGTCAAAAATAAGGAAAAGGTCCGCTTTTCAAATGAATCTCATTTTAAAGGCCTTGAAAGAAATGTCCATCTTGTCTTCAGACGATCTTCCAAATTCTGCGAAAGTCGAACATTCACCAAAGGCCGAGATTTGGTCCATGATTTTCGGCAAAGTCACTGGTATGAGATATTTCGCACAGGGAACGCTAGAGTATTAGGAATATTCTATAGTTATCGATAGCTAGACATTGTCTCGGGTACGGGAATGGTTTTTTGGTGGCGATTCAATCTTTAGGTACAATAAGTCACCTTGCCGCATAGCTCGGAGTATCTCTTTAGGCTACCTGCGCCAATGATATTCAGGTGTTGCCTAAGTCTCGTCCGGGAACGCCATAAATTCACGGGTTCGGGAAGGAGAAAGAATAACACATGGTTCAGAGATCCATGAAAAAGTCCACTTAGAGTTAGGAAGGCAAAAAACATACCAGAGACATGCTGTAATGAGTACCGGCAGTGGTCCCTGCAAGGGGCAATACTATAAAGTACTAATGCTTGCATCGTTTGTCAGCAACATAAAAACGCTTTCCGATGTTTTTATCTCTACGCAGGGCACTAGCGTCAAGTGGAATAATGCCGTTTTCAGAGGTTAAAACCGTTTGAAAAATACCCCGCCTTATTGCTGCGCAGTTGACCTCAAACGTTAAAGCCTTTTGATTAAGTTTATTTAAGGATATTTGACTGAGCACTGACTTGTAGTAACGTATAACCTATACATAAAAATTGATCTTGTTAGCGTTCTTTTTTTACGTATGTATATATTGCACATATATTCAGTATAGGGCTGCGACGACTGGTGCAATATGTATCTATGGCAAGAAAATTCATTACTACCTCACAGCATAAAGCGTTGCTGGCAGCATGATGTAAAATTTGCACAACATTATATCATCATTGTTATGCAACATAACCGTAAAAAACAGCTTGTGGAGTTTTTTTTATTGCTACGAATCATTTTAGATATCATCAATATGATAGGATGTTACTCCCTGATTGATAAACGTGACAAATATATATGCATATTAAGATGCTAGTTGCAAGGGGTGCTCACAGCCCTCAGGCGAGGTCGAGTGACACTCGTCGTATAGCGTTATGGGTCAGAATAACGCTGCAACAACAATCCGAAATTCTGCACCCCGTTCACTATATCAAACGTGTGAGCAATACAACGCGTCAGTGTTGATGCCGGTGAAGCCATGGAGCTGCATTCTGACCGTTTCAGAAATTTCAATATTTGCTATTCTCTGTGACAGATTGCCTATTTTCTGCTAGATAAGCATGCACAGCCAAGGTGATGACAAACTGTTTTATTATACAGTATTCATTGTTTTATACATATGTCGTGCATGCATACGTACATCTTCCCTTCGTGGTCTTACTACTTCCCTCTACGAAGTGACCAATTGTTTTTGTGAATTGGTAGTCACCGTATAGCGTAGTGCCATTGTGTAATACACAAATAGAACGAAAGGAGAAAGACGTCGTCTGAAAGCTGCGAAAAAAACAAACTGAAACAAAAGCGGGCTCCGATAATGCCGCATCCTCCTAAACCGTTATATTTAATAATAGCACACACTACAATACAAAGTCCGATGCTGGCTCGTGACAGATGGCGCCGCAACAGTAGAGCTGAACAGCTGTCAGCTACGCCTTTACTTCCTTATAGAGCTCGAGTCTCGTTTATTCCGGGTAGCAAAAAGCAGCAGAACAGTAGGTGGCCTATAAAGCAACTGATAGTGGCTGCTTTTGCACTAAACGCCCCTGTTTCTCTCTCTCTTTCTCTCACACCTAGCGAATCAAGGCCTCACCTACTATAATACTTCACTATAATTGTTCTTAAGCCTCACTCCCCGCTCAAGCTGTAAGCACCTCTTCTTCCGTTGAACCAATGACCTCAGCACGTACGGATTTATCAGAGACAAATGCGCAGAGAAAAACGGCACATGCAAACAAACTGGTTACGAGCCACTAAAAAGCTCATGCCTCATCACGAAGATAATTGGGACCCCCTGCTCTGTCCCCCGCACATGTTAAGAACGCCGCTTCTTGCAGAACGGATACTTGACAGAAGTTGCGGGATCTCGTTCACCGCAGTTATATCGAATTTATGATGACTCGATAACGGCGGGGGAGGCTTCATCACGTCGAACGGACTGCCGAGGATGGTGGAGGAAATCGGTCGGCAGACTAAACGCGTAAGACAAATATGAATAAATCAGTCCTACCTTTTATGTCACACACAGACAATGTATAAATGACATTATGCATTTCGGAGTAATCATACTAAGTCCAACTGTTCTAATCAAACGATGTTAGACAGCCACTTGAACGTGAATGAATGCGACACCATATCGGACTGGCTGTCCATTACCCCATGTTCGCTTTGCTGAATCTAATTAGGCTATCGCTAATATTATATCGTCACTGTGAGCTTCCTGGGAGGAGTCGTTCACACGCCGAACGTAGACGAAGTGCGGCCTTCTTTAATAACAATGATCTTTTCATCGTGTATTACCACTGTCATTGCGGTATGGTCAGCGGAACAGCTTATTCCCTAGCCATTGGACCCACAACGTATTGAGCGTAGCTAGTCAGCGTAGCTAGTTAATTTACTGAATGGCTGGTGCCCTCGCCCCCCATCGGACACCGGAAAAACAGAAAGCTTCGAATAAGTTCACTATCAAGGCTGGATACACACAGGCGGGAGTGTATAAGCCGACATCAGGCATTGCAAATGCTTTTGTTATTCAACATTACTACGCGTATGCTGCGAAATCAGGCGTAATTAAAATCGTAACCTTTACAGAACGTCTTTCAATGTCTATCCGTCGTAAGGTCGTTCCATGATCGTTATCTAATTGAGAAGTGAGCAAACCCGGAAACCAGTCAAGATTTATGAAGTTACGACTAAACAAAGACTCTCTCAAATGTAGGCCATTTCTGTTTTAGCCTAAACGAATTTTTAAAACTTCGATTCATCTTATTGAGCTCTAACCGATACCATTGCCACTCGTAACAACCTACAGAAACGTTAGCAAATATTGTGAATTTGATTAAATCTTATGAACAAATTAGGAAGTTCCCTATAATTCTCTATTTATATAGAGGAAGCTCTTGTCCTTATGGCGTGACGTGTTACTTTTACTATGCTGGGTCGCTGCCTTGCTCTGTCATGCCGCGTCACAGCATTTCCATGATGGTATACAAATGTTCAGTAGTTTTTTTTTCTCGCTCAACGCTAGCTACCTTGTCTTGCTTTCTTTTTTTTTCAATAGGTTCAAAAGGCGGCCTATTAAAATTGTGGGCTCTGAGCACAGGCGAACCCTCACAGGATCTTGAGGGTCACACATCTCCCGTCACAGTTTTACAGTTCGCGCACCATGGGCTTTTTGTTGTGTCAGCGTCCGAAGATGGAATCTGCAATGTGTGGGCTCTTTCGCTTGGACTACCCGTGTGCAGCTTCAAGGTACATTCGAGAAGGTTTTTTCATAATAAAGTAATATGTCGACCTTAAATGATCAACTAAGTAAGCTATACCGCAGTCACGATAGTAACCTTAACAGTAACGCAAATAACATTAACATGAAGCTTCAAAGATCAAATCTTCCTTATGTATACGCAGTATTCAGCACGCAGATACGATGATCTTGTCTACCGCTAGTATTTACCACTAAAGAAATGCAGTGAATATCACGAGCATGATATCTTAACAATATTGAGCCCACAATATTTCTGAAATGAAAGTAGATATTTTAGATAAGATGATCTTTTCTTTTTAGCCCGGTTGAGTTCCTTTTACTATAGACTACCGTTGTAGCGTGTTTATGTGTCACACACTATAGCGAACCGCACAACGCTATAGTATTCCGTGTTATTAACGCCAACACGGAATACTCAATCGATTTTATCCTCTAATATTTCGTCGTTTCGTTGGCCGATGCAGGAGCACCATAGTAAAATAGTGAGCGTGAGCATTACAGCGGATAGTCGCCGCATACTGTCTGTGGATGCATCAGGCGTGCACAAGGTATGGCAGGCCGACTCTGGCAGCACTCTAACTTCGTATAATAAGAAACCTTTCAACCAAGTGACGCTGCACCACAATATCGTTTTCTCTATCGGTGGCAAGAACGACCAACAGGTAAAGTACTGGCCACTTCATGACGTCGACCATGAGAAGACTGTTGGCCATAGCGATGTCATCCTATGCTATACAGTGACATTTGATGGAAAGGTCCTCGTCACAGGCTCGCAGGACAAGTCGCTCAAGGTATACATGTATTAGTCTGCATAGATCGTACAGCCACTGCTCTCTAATGGACCTATATATGGGGAAAATAGACAAAATTTTTAGTTTCAAATTTGACCTGAAATACCTGAAGATAGAATAGAACGAATCGGAACTCTGATAAATTAAGCCTTGCGGTTAATGAAAGACTAAGAACAACCGGAATATAACAGTTCAAATACTGTTACCAATAATAACTGCATGAAATTGTGTAGAACTATCCCTGATGTAGAGAGTTCTAAAGAGTCTGTTGCACAGGGCGAAATTTTAATTCGGGAGAATCTATGAAACAGTTCATTCTTATTAACAAAATGTTTATATGGCATTCTAACATTTGTCAATTTCTTTTCTTAACTACTGTAAATCCAACAAACGTTTGCAATGTTTCTTTTTTCATTTTGTACACGAATAACGAAATATCGCGAATAAAATCAAGATAATAACGCGTCTCGCGCGACAGACTTATCCTATTGTCTGTTCGTTCTGTCTATTGTCTTCTTCGTTTATGAACCCAGGTATGGGAAGTGGCGACGACAAAGATTACCCAAGTTTTAGTAGGACACGAAGCGCCGGTTAATTGCGTGGCCGTCGCGCCACTCAGTAACACGATGGCCGTATCTGGTTCGCTCGACTGTAATCTGATTGTGTGGGACATGACCACTGGGACAGATAACTTTATTCTCCGCGGTCATACCGATGCTATTAAGGACGTCAAACTTACTCTGGACACTAGCGTTGTTATATCCTGTAAGTACAGAAAAGTAACCGCATACTGCATATATTTTTCAAGGGTCATGCAAGGACGATATTATCCTTGTCGTCTGGCACACGGACATTAAATCGCTAAGATATCGATTATAGATTTACTTAGTAGCCTGTTTACCCGGCTCTCAGCTCTTCATCTACCTGCACATGTTTGTATGCATAGCGTAAAATAGGTTCTTGCCAAGCTTCATAGTTGAAAGCTTTTTAGAAGCTTGCGAGCCAAGCTAAGTTATTCACACAAGGTGAGATACAATAGTGAACAAAAACGTCTAAGAGAAAATGTACGTTTATGTTCTAGCAATAGAAAAACATAAAGCAAAAACGAAACATGTTATTATTATTATTACTATTGTTATTATTATGTATCAGCTGTTAATCGGGATTAAAATTAAATTCCAGTTGGTGTTTCTTTATGACTAGTGAGAATCTTGTCGTCATATTTTTTTTACACAGTATGCATCCTTAACCCTGTCTATTCCCTATAAAGTTCAATATGCCTGGTATTTAGATTATTAAATATAGCTTTAGACGGTTATCTAACTCTTGTAAAAGCTTCTATCTAATGCTAAACCACCAATATTCGTCTGGCCTAAGAGTCAATCGCCACATGCTGTATCACAAGTCAGCTAGCTACGATATATAAAGCCAGTAGTACATTATGGCTGCCGAACTAACCATAGACTAGTAATCAAACGAGTACAGCCCCAAAGAACGACGATCGTGTCTGTCAGAGAGAATACTAAAATAATATTTCGACAATATTTCAAGGACCTTACTCGAGGGACGGGGAGGCTCAGCTGGGTCGTGAACTCAGGATCCGTTCGTTGACAGAACAACACCTTTGTCCCATAAGTTGGCATGCTACGTTCGACTTGTTTCCGATTTTATTTGCTAATCAAGAAAATGTTTGCTTGTTCGACTTAGGTTCAGAAGATAACACGGTACAGCTGTGGAACACAACGAACGGGCATAGAGTAGCATCATTCGACCTGCACGTATCAACGTTACGAGTGGCCACCTCTTTACATTGCAGCAACATTGTTGTCCAGCTAGCGTCCAGTAGCTGCGTGCCCCTGCTGCGCCTACTCAATAACCCAGCGCAGGGCCTTTCACTCGAAACCTTCAACGCGTTTAGCCAACAGCAACTGACTAACTACCACGAGGACAAACTGGGTTGGTTCAACTTGCTGCCTTCAGCTGCTCTTACAGTAACGTAGTTGCAAAAACAAAAAGAAACAGACAACGTATATAAGATTTTAGTAAAGCCGTGTCAGGACACAAGCGAAGGTCTTGCATTAATTCACAGCTTTTATGCGCTATACGAGAGACAAATTTATCGTGAGTAGAGTACACCCTTCTCGACTAGAACCGTGTTTGTTATGCGCTTGACAATAATATCTACTGTGCATAATGTGCATATGCACAGTATCTCAAGAAGCTCAAACGTTCAAACGCTATTTTTTCCTCTTGATCGATCTGCCTTTAGCTGCTGGAACGGTCTTTGTGCTCTCATTTGTCCTCGCCGTTTCTTCGTATCCAGTACTAATGCACAGATATGCGGCAGATCATCAATCTTGCGCTCATCTATAAAGAAGTCCCTTGGGGCATTACTATGTTTAGACGCTTCTCGATCCACCCCGGTTCCTTTTCCTCTTTTCCGCATTACCTAGCACTCGTAGAAGGCTCTCGCGCCACCCTACTCTGCATAGTATTAGCATCATCAACACAACTACTGCTTGCTGCTCCAACGTGGGCTCCAGCCCACAGAACTGTCTAGCGGTAGCAGCGGCTAGACGTTGCTAGGAAATGACACTGAGGACAGTTGGGCTCTATCCGTCCGATCTCTTTGTTGGGACACGCATCAGCGTTGGGTAGCTCGCTTGCTGATAGTGGTGGTGGTAATTTGAGCGAACGGTCGATAAACTTATTTGACAGTTGGCTGAGGCGGGAATAGACCCGGACACGCCACAGGAGCTACCGATGTCGGCCGCTGGGATGCAATGTCTATGGATCTACTTTCTTTTAGGACTTGTTTTAGGCATTTGGAGCGGTTCAAAGCTTCCGGGACCGCAGGATCGGTCACTAAACGCAGTTTCTGAAGACAACAGGCAAGTACAACAGCTACTGTCTTCGTTAACGATATCAGACCTCCCTTCAGCGGTCCCACTGCCAATTGTTGTGCGGCATTCATACCTTATTCGCCGCGAAGCAAATACGTGACTGGATGACAACCATCAGATATATTTTTCCGAAAGAAGACACGTCCATAGGAACGATAAAAACAGCAACTTACTAAATCTGAAAACAACTGCTAACGAAAACTTATAACGTAATATACAGGTTTAATAATGTTTAAGGTCATACTATGAATACTGTTGTTTATCACTGAACTGTTCGCAATGTCAAGGCTATATATATGTTAGCCATTTTGACGTGGCATATGAAAGGCTTTCAGGCAAGAAGACCCAAATCCATCGTATAGCTTATGTATATAACACGGCCTCTGCATCGAAGAACCCCATATGCCACACACGCGGCGTTGACAGACTTAGTTCACACGAGTTGGAGGGGTCTCATTTTCTTTGTAGCGCGTTAACTTCAATATTTAAGTCTGGATCAGAAGTATTACGAGTAGCTGGTTCAAGTTGAATAAAGCGATTGCTGACTGATACACCATAGTTAGACTTTATAGTGTCTTAATAGTTACTACAAATCGTAGCTGTAATATCTGCTCATCTGGTTAATGTACTACACATGAAAAAAAGAAGGGGACAAAGTAAAATGTAGATTAAGCTTTGTTTCAGGCTACCTCCTTTAAAGCCGCTTATATATATATGAGCGCTACCGGGTAAGCGCTGATGGAAACTGCTTATACCGGAAAGAAAGAAATAAATAGCGATTTAGCTTTAATGAGCACTTTTTTACATTTATAAACAAATAATAAACAGTGTTCCAGAGCTTGGCTCAGGGATCGCTGACCATAGCTTCGAGATTTTTTGGCCCCTTATTAATTTTACTACAGAAATTTGATTGGTCCATTGTTTCACTGCCGATTTCCTTCGCAAACATGAAACTGATTTTCTGGCCATAAATTATTACGCGCAGGTTTAGGCGTGACAATGCGAGGTGTCGTGCCGAAAAGGACGCTCTTGCGAGGAGAGCTCAAGAGAGAGCAGTCCTTCGACTCTCTCTACTGGGATCATCACCGATCGTCCGCACTCCTAAATATCAACAAACTACAACAGCAGCAAAACATTACTTCACAGGTAAATCATTACTTCCTACTGACGATTTGGAAGGGATAGAACTCAGGCCAAGAGGTGAGAGGTTGGTTCTCATCCTATGTGCGTTTTGTAACGAATAACCTACGGCAGGGCGACTACTATCCTTAAACAAATAAACGGCGTTTCAATTTGTATCGTAACACTAATTATCGTAATATTATACGAATAGTATTTATTAGGCTGGAGAAAAGTTTCTACGCTTTTTACAAGGAAGGTTAATTTCCCAGTGAACAGAAGAGGTGAAAATTCGTGAGTCTCCGGGAAATATGGAAGATGTAACAGAATATCCACTCGAAATGCAAAAGGTAGAGTCGACTATGTCTACCAAGTGTGGCCTTGCGTCGTCATTGAGCAGGATAAGTTTGCCAGGCTTTTTCTCTCGAATAGCCTAATTGACTGGGTGTACCTGTATGTTTCGAGTTTTTACTTCCGGAATCGCCATTAAGCATTCCATTAGACAGACAGACAGACAGAAGGTTGGGTGGCCTTATGTCCGGGCCTTATGTTACGGGCCTATGTCCGAGACAAAACTCTAGGGTTTAAGTCTTGACTAGAACGTGTCCCTAAGATTAGCAGAAAATACATAAGTGACTGTATATATGTAGACTAAACGGACATGTCGATTAATTAATTATCTGATTCTTAGGCAAAAATTTCCAGTGGGTCAGTCCTACACAAAGACCAACTTCTTTATTTGAAGATCTAGTTGCACCCTAAGCCTCGTCTTAAGTTTGGTTCGTGTTAACGTACAGACACCACTTCTCATCGCCGGTTAGAATTCTGGGCAAAGATGGGTCATTCTGGCCGTGTGACGCCCTATATCGGCCGATATGAGATGTAGCGTAACGCCGTAATTCCTTGGTGGGCTTTGAGATTTTGAAACGTATCTAAGCTCCAAGGTTCTGTGTAAATCCAAAGGATTTGAAGTGGTTAATGATGGTCTTGGGTATGGCACTGTTAGCCAATTTTCGAGTTGCTTGTTAATCGTCTGCCTTCAAAAGCGCTTTCGGATGCTGGTGATCAAACTTAGAAAGTCAGCGAGAGCAGACGCCATCCTTTAGGTACCCGACAATGCTTTCAAGCTTGACGAACCGTTTTTAAACAGTCTTTTTAGCGATAGCATTGTTATCGTGTACAAAGCAAATGTTTCGAGATAATTCGGCAGTATCTTAACCTCGACAAAATGCATCGTGTATAAAGTGTCGCAAATGCACCTTTTTTTAGAAGAAACATCTTTCTTTGAAAAGTTCAGATTGAGATAATACTCATAACACAACACCGTTACGGTACACTGACAGAGCGCAAAACATTATCGGACAGCATACAAAAAGTACAAAATAAGTGAGGAAAGTGGAAAACTATGACTTTGTTTTTACGAACCAGACTGCTTAACTATTGATTACTTCAATCGTATTTGCCCAAAAATTCATGCTTTTTAAAACGATATAATCGGTCGTTTATCTCCTACTGATTTGTGTCGGCGACAATTTCAGACATCACAACACGAGGGCGGTATCAGTCATCTAGTTGGAAGTAGCACAAGCCCATTAGAAGAACTAAGGCGAAATTGCGCTTCGCCCTTCGGCAGTCGGGAACAACTCCATCTAGCGGGTGCATGGAACGGCGGTCCCCGGACGCCGGGTCCGCCCGCCCTTCGAGCTCAAGGTTCGCAAGAAGCAATGAAGCCAAAAATGTTGCCCAAACACAAGATTCTCAAGAAACAGCAGTCAATGTTTGCCTGCTTTCCGGAGTTTAGCCAACAGACTCCCCCGCCACTCATATCGCCGGTGGCTACAAAGGTCACAGCAGAACTGGCCGATAAAAAAGCCGAGCTATACAAACCGACATCGCGGTCTTACCTTGCACGTGGCGACAGCCAGGAGGACAAAAATAGTGCCGCATCATGCATCAAAGAAAGCATTCGAGAGGGCGGCGGGGAACACTCCACTGTGTCCGTCTACGATTCGAGTGTGTGCGTGCTGATGTAACAAACTCTAAAAACTACAGCAATAGCAATATTAACTGGTGTCCTAAGTATCCTGGAAGTATTCGATGTTAACAATAAGCGCCATAAGTAATAATAATAACAATATACATAATATTCATCTGTAGTAATATATATATATATATATAATACGTTACCGCACGCATACCGTTAAACTCGATCGGGCGATAATGACAAGATAACGAAAAAAAAAAAGAAGCAGCAGAGAACGAGTGCAATATACCCTATATCCAGAAGCCGATTCTGCCGAATTACTGATTCCTTAACACTAACTTCCTGTGCACGCCATGACAAGCAGCCTTCTCAATAATAGGACGCCACGAGTCGGAGTACTCTGTAAATGGAGCAGCCGTTGGGTCACGACCATAGACATCTGTTCTGACCTTCGCTATTATCGTCTTCTGTAGAATATAGCTAAATTGCTATATTACAATCAAACGGTCTTAAGGCGTAATCCGGTATACGCAGCGGTTCTGTTGCCACCGGAAGTAACCCAGGCTTCGATTATAGCGCAGGTGTTACTTCTTTTTCATCGGAGTTTGTGTGTGATCGATAAAAACAATCTAAGCACGCTGTTAATAGTTATGCATAGGTTATGGTGAAACTGATCGAAGAGCAGGTCAGATGTAAAGTACACACAACTTACACGATGACGTCAACAACACACACAAAAATCGAGGACAGCAGTAATGGAGTGGCGAGATAGATCGAAAACATGCTATGTAGTAATCGTAACACATAAATGTAAACATTTACCACTCTGTTTAGGTAGACATCAAGTACTTTATCAATCGTCCCCTTTGTGTCGGTCCGTTGCTGACCGACAAAAAAGCGACATAAAAAACCGAATAAATAACACGTGTGTGTGCGTGTGTTTGTACAACGAGGATCTACCAGGTAGGTCCTCGCTGTAGAGGGTGGAATGCGCTCATCTCTAACGAATCCTTTCATTATCGACGAAGTGCTTATTTGGTAATAGTGCCAGCAATTATGATATAATTCATAACGCAAACAGAGTTTGCGTTAACGTAACGTAACGTAGGCAACACCCCGTGCTAGATATGGATATTGTTTGTTCTCCTATTACTTATCATAGACAGTAATTGTAATGGTAGACTGTGTGTCAGTGCGGCCTAAACGTACTTCACGGTCGACAGGAGCAACGATAACAGTAACCAAATAAGCAAGTTTCAATTCAATACTCACTGAAAAGAGCTGTCGTTGGCTTGTTGGCCATTATAGGGCCCGCAACGACTAAGAGACACGCACTGTTGGAGTCCTGCCGCTGACAGAGCGCCTAATATGTAATAACATGAGGTAATTGCTATTATATCAGATATTTTACGAAGTCTTATTGTTATGTCTCATCGATTACTATACAATTATATTATCGTCGATAAGTGTGTACGTTACCAACAACAACATATTGTAACTAGAGGAATATAGCTATTACATTGTATATAACGATATGGACGAGTGCGGCTTTCTAACTGTCCATCAAATAGGAATGAATGGTCTTCGTTGTCGTGTGCTGCTAATAATAGACCCCCCCCCCCCCCCCCCTAATACGCTATGTTATTATTCATGTCGGATGCGTAGTACTACTGACGTAGTCAAACTTCGACAATGGGGGATTACTGGGCCCAAATACCGCATACGAAGCCATCAATAGTCCGAACTTCAGTTCACCTAAACAAAATGGCGGCTAAATTAATTAGGTAAACGTGATTTACGTATAACAATAAGAAAATGGGCAATGAGAAGAAAACTGAACGAACTCGTATCAGCTCCGTCGAGTTCGTTTGAACTTGAGGTTGAACCGCATTTTGAGCGAGAACTGTGTCCGTCTCATCCGTTTATCGAGATTCTCATGTGAGATAGACTTCAGCTCGAGCGTACAACAGCTCAAACTAAGAATCAATGGCATCAACAATATTACGAATAGACAGTTGGGGGACGTTTTCAATCGATGGCTCTGTCCACCGCTGCAAGTCAGTAGCGACTAAGCATTACTATGCTTTGGTATCTGGGCCAGGAACGATTTTCGTAGGCTTTCGCGATACACACAAGGGCACAAGGACCTTATTGGAGTATCAGATGAAAAATAAGAGAAAATTTTGAATTAGTGTGTCGGAAGCCCGTTCAATCGCGTCGTCCAACATGCATGTGGGCATTCGAGAGCAGGCATCGAATGATGCATCTCATGTTGGAGACTCTAGTGATGCTGATAAGCCGACCTAACTTTTCTGTGGACCTCAATTTGTCACGTGTAGTAAAATTAAGTTGAAAGCCAACTTTGCTATGTAATAGGCGCATTGTCGGAACTGGAGTGTGATACATGAAAGTATTGATTGACCCTGTTTTACGTTTTTGAAATGTGAACTTTTTTTAAAATTCAACTGTAAGTACTCCTGGAACGTTTATGTCGATTTTCGCCGCACATAGTATTAGTATCCAAATGAATAAACACATTGAAATTTATTGTCATCCGTAAGTATTAAGCTGTTAGTTAGACAATTATACTACTGATCAGCGTTCAGATCAAAATAAAGTGCAAAAATCCAATAACTTTAGAACAAAAAAAATCAGCTGACATGGATAAAAAAAACAAAAGTAAGTGAACAGACACACAACAATACAACGATAAATAGTAGTGATAATAACAATGCGAACAAAAGTCACAATAAGATTGCTATGTTCACACGTATATAGCTATACACAGTATGGATAAAGCAAAAAGAAAAAAGCGTGCTGTGTTATACCGGACAATCCTAGTCCGATCCGCAATGCGGGATAGATAGGTTAAGGCCTGGGGGTCGTTTTTTCAGCGGAAAGTGATGCAGATTTGCCCCTGTTAATTTATGAGTAGGAAAGACAAGCGAGGCACACAGAAAACAAGCCGACAGGCAATGCTATATCGTACTGTAACAGTATTATACCAATCATCATGAAACGATGCGGGACAATACGTTTTCGAAAACAGTTTGAACGTCACATTAATAGCTATTTGTCGTTCTGCTGTGGCGGCTACCCACGAAAATGCTAATCAGCAAACGTTGTTTTAGCTATATCTTTTGTTGTATTTTTTTGTTAATAAAAATCATAGTTACTATTATATAATTCTAAGATGATTTTACGGATCCTGCCTCACGATTTACATGACAAGCCCGACATAAGCCAGATAAATATACCACCAACGCACACATATTGATCAAATATACAAATCAAGTACCCGCTCATTCCAAACCCAGAATGTGTCGACGGCGTAATGGCAGCCGACTAGTGTAATAGCCAGAATACAAACAGTAATAATAAACAGTCTGTATCTTTATGCATAATCGTACACCTATATGTAGAGATGCTGCGGGCATTACGCTTACAGGCCTATTTAGTAGAAGGCACTGGAAAGTACGAGCGAAAAAGAGAACAACCTAACGAAAACAAGTGAAGTCCTGTCTCTGTCTGAAATAGAAGATGTAGGGCCTGGCGCGGACTTTGTGAACGATAGTCCGCTTTTACTAAAGTTTGTTTCCTAATAGTCCTAGCGAAACTGTAGCAACGATGACCACGAAACGTAATTTGGTAATATCGAATGCGTAGAAAATCATTTGTAGGATTAGGACAGTGGGCAATCACGACAAGAATTACCGTAGCTGCTAAAAGTAAACGATAGATCGCTCAGTGTTTTGAGCTGATTCGTAACGTTTCATTCAAAGCCGCTTTTCTGTCACTCTCAATTTTTCTGAGTCACCGTGAACATACGATACTGAACTTCGCAATAAGTTAAGTACATGGCTTGATCAAGCAGTTACGTACGTCGCCGCCGTTCATTGACCCCCTAAGCGACGCATCTTTTTGCTTGCTTGCTTGCTTGCAAATATTGAAATGGTCGGCGTCAGCTCAAAAAATGTACGGCTGCTAAAAGCAGCTATGAGAGAAACCCGTAAGAAGAACATCGTACAAGCTGACAGCCGACCGGAACTTGAGATAAGAGGACAATGAAATCTGAAATGCGTTTATTAGCGAAGTCAAACAAACGACGACACCGACATCCTTAGTTATTAGTCAGAATATAACAACACCTTGGACATTTGTGCCTGGGCGTAAAAGTTGTTGGCCAGCCCCTTCTTCTGGCACTAGAGCTAGAGTTTAAATAGATCATAGAACAGCGTGAAAATTCTGTGCATATATAGAGGGAGCAAGACGAAACAACTGTATCGCACTAGCTAACTCCTAAGTAAAACGGAAAGGTGAAACGGTCGCTAGAGCACGAACTTGCCAAAACGAAAGATAGAATTGGGCGTAATCAACTCAGACCAAACGATAGAACTCAAAGAAGAGAAAAATAAAGAAAAAATCTTGCTCGGACCATTTGAGACCCACTAACATGTGTTAATGTTCAATAAAAATATGCGCAATTAAGTTGAAGTAGTCTGCTAATTTTTCTATTGAATAGTTGTAGCTGGAAATCGAACAGGATACAGGCTTAGAAATTAACATGAATGATAATATCTAATTCTTTACGTATGTACCATCGCTGGTAATATTTGCCTGTTGGCCCGATTACGGGATCTGTTTTTCTGTCGCGCATCTATTGGTCCTCTGCCGAAAGCCGACTGGATTCATCATGTTATTTGAAGCCGGACAACTTATCCAAAACGCCCCTTTACTCAGAAGGCCCCTTTGCATATACATACCAGAATATAACAACTTCTTTTTTTTAATAATAATAATAATTTTTAAGGCCAGGAGGTTTACCCGACGAGCATTAGTTCGAACGCGTTTACTAGCAACTAAAGAGTTTTAAAGTGATAAACACAACGTTGAAAGTTTGCTTGCTTACTTATCTGAAATCTATCAGTCCTTCGCTAACTAAGTAATTTACAGATACCGATACCTATGGAAAATTATATAGACATCATATAAATAAAGCAGAGAAAGGGACAGGTGATTCTTTTTACGTAATATTTAATTCTTTGTTTATTCGAATTTGATTTTATGACAATAAAAATGATAACTATTGTTGTTGGCCTGAATTGCACTGTTTGTAAAGTCATTTAAAAGCGGCTGCTGCCACGGTTTCCTGTTGTTGTTGTTCATCCCCTCTCCTCTCTCTTAATTGGAGTGGTCGTGACGTCCTATTGTCCTAGTTTGTAGAATACAAACAATTGTCATTTTTGTTTTTTCTTCACTTTTTTCCCGCTTTTACATCGGCACTTCGTTGCTTGGTCTGCTATACCCATGTCATTTTTGAGCCGCGCGCACACACACAATTAACACTTAGTGTTTATACTAGTGATAAGCTAGAACTAATAACAATTTTTTATTACTGTAGAACTCGACGTAAAACTATCGACATACGATCAAAACCATTCTTACGATTTGTTTAGGCTTCACTCTCTCATAATAATAATAATAATAACTCGTTCTAGAAACCAGAGTGCATACGAATTCACGGCTTTCATGTCACCATTATACTATTAAGCAATTGAACGCCTTTTTTTTAACTGAACACGGCTCTTCTTCAAGGTTATCTCGTTGCTTTTGCGTGTTACGTTACATTTTGCCGTGTTTGCGTAAGTTAAACGGGTAGCTCCGTTTCTAATCTCTCAATCCAGTTCCTAGCACTCGCTCACAATCTTTCGTCCACTTAAAAACAAGATGAGTCGTAATAATAGTAGAAACTAAACAATAACGATTGGTGTGAAATCTTGTTAAGGTAGTCGAACATGAATCTGTTTCACAGCTTCAAATATAAACATTGAAATAATAGATCTCTCTCTAGTGCACGTACTAAGGAGATGAGGGAGAAGCAATTTTATGCTGTCATCGTGAAGCATATCATCAACCGTTTCATTATCCTCATCTTCGGGTTTAATCATAACACTGGTATTCAGTTTTTCCTTTGTTACAACTCAATCATAAGAAGCACGAATGCTTGATAACAATGAGAATATGGCCACGTACTCGTTCGTTCGTTTGTTTGTTTGTTTGTTTGTCTGTCTGCTTCCTTCTATTTTACTTATATATATATATATATATATATATATATATAAGTAAAGCTAATTATTATTACATATAAGCAAGTTACCGTGTCGCGCGAATCCACTATTTTCGGCCGCATCAATTTTCTGAATTTCAATATTCGACACCTAGCACATGCTAGCCATCTTCTATTATGTGCTATATATCACTGCATCGTTAGCTCTGTTCTTTTTTCATTTATGACTGTTAACTCTCGTACACTTGCTGTACCTGCCGAATTCTTGCCTGTTGTCCTCTCAGCTCAGGTAAGAAGCATTAGCCACTAGTGGGCTTGCACATTTGTCTGACTTTCATATCTATCTTATTTTTAAAAACGCTTAAAGTAGCTAGTTAACCCGTTTGCTTTCGTTTTTGCCTCTCGTATTGTCACGCTCTTGAAGCTTTTTTATCCCGTCCCGTCTGCGGCCATTTATACCAATCGGCTGCTTAATCTCCTCGGTTCTCGATCGTATCCTTAAAAGCGGTCACAGCTGAACTGGCTAGACACATTCAATCGATTATTTTACTCAATATCTGTTAATTTCGTGCAGACAGCAGTTTTACAAGGCTTCAGCAGTCCTTCAGGTTTCTGTTCTCTAAGTCTCCAATGACCATTCCATACCTAAATGGCTAAAAAGCGCCTGACGCTGGAACTATAAGACTAGGCTCCTTAGGTTTTTTTTTCTGTGAACACTAAAGCCGAATCGCAAGAAAAACAGACAAACAGCATGTTTCCAGAGATAGCCGCTACTATGAAGCAAACATCGTGACGGCTCATTGCAATATGTCTGCTTTGTATTCCTTTGAAAACCCCATCAACCGAAGCATACAGACTCAGGCGTCTCAAACTCCCTTCTTCGTTACTCGCCTGCCTTTTGATGAGCACTGCACTTGGGAATCATGCGTCAGTCGGACTGCGTTCCATCTCCAACTCGAAACACCGAAACGAGTCTTATATCGCTCAACTGCTAAAAGCAATACACCCAAGTTCCACACGCAGGCGAGAGCGCTAATCCTTTTGCATTCGTAACCTTGCCAGATTTAAGCCCGCTATAATCTCTTCCCTTCTTAGCGAGGTGTTCGAGTTGGTGAAGGAACTGGGCCGCACCGCCCTCTGCGATGGGCTGACTATCACTATCATACGAGCACCATAATAATTGCACGTTACTCTATTTAGAGTTCCGGACACGAGTTCAGCATTTCACTGTAGTTATTTTTTTTAATACATAACACTTCAAATCACGACCTCTGCCACCTCAAAAATCGGCATCCCACCCTGAGACATCGTCGGGCGGTGGGCCAACTGAATCGGGTGGATATGAGTCGAAATTTCGAGTGTCGGTGATGTGTTGTATTTGAGGAATCAACGGAGCCTGCAAGGTGCGTGTCTTTAGGCCTTCCCAGTTGAAGCCTTCGAACCATTTATGTTTCTGGATGTCAGAAATTCCCCCGCCACCGACGCCCAACCGTTCGTTCGGATTGTCACGGCAAAGTTTCTTGATGAGCGCCTGCGCGTTACGTGAAATGCAGCGCGGGAACTCAATTGCGTCAATACCCTTAAGTATAATGTTGTAAGTCTTCATGAACTCCGAATCAGTAAAAGGCGGTGCGCCTGTGAGTAGTTCAAACATAAGCACACCCAGCGACCAGTAATCGGCTGAAAAGTAAATCGGATTTAAAAAAAAATCAATGACGTGCATGTAGCAGTATACTGGTACTGCCTTGAAAAATCTTATTACTGGCTGTTTAAAATAAACATTATCTTCACTAATACCTTCAGGAAATACGACAATCAAATAAAAAGTATCTCACCTAACTTACTTCACGCTGATCCTAGAGCTAATACGCATAAACATTAGTATGCATTTTTTTTTTTATAAATTCTATATTTTTCTATTTAGAAGAATATTATAAAAGTGTCATAGTACTTTCTAGGTTCAACAACCTACCGGATATATCGTGACCGCGGTTAAGGATCACTTCCGGAGCAACGTATTCCGGTGTTCCGCAGAAGGTCCACGTTTTTCGGCCCGATGTTAGTTTTTTTGCGAAGCCGAAGTCCACCAGCTGCAGAGTAGTAGAAATATGTACAGTTAGATACGGTCATTACTCCTTAAGATCACAGTAACGATAGCTTTTTCAATTCGAAACAACTGAGCATAATCTATTTCCAAGTATACTGTGAACCTAACGTATATATCTCTTCAAATTGCTTTGCTCGTTTGGCCGTAGAAATGCCTACCTTGATGTATCCCCGATGGTCAAGCAGCATATTCTCAGGCTTCAAGTCACGGTATATAATGTTGCGTGAATGAAGGTAATTAAACGCCTCAAGCACGCACGCTGTATAGAATCGTGTTGTTGAATCGTCAAAGTTGCCCCGATCGCGCAGAATCGTCCATAATTCCCCACCAAGACAGGCTTCCAACATCATATACAGGTACTTAGTGTCCTTAAACGTTTTATAGAGTTTGATGACGAAATTGCAGTTGGTCTCCTCAAGAATCTGTTTTTCACTCATGATGTGCTGTTGTTGACGGGTCTCCACAATCTGTGCCTTTTTCATAACCTTCAGTGCGAATGATCTGGTCGGGTCGTTTACGGGCTGAACCAGTTCAACCTGTGTAAAATCGGTTTGAAGATTAGCCCTCGTGTTTTTGACGACTATGATCCTTGGTTTTGTAGACAAAGAGGGTCGGTTCAATTCAAGTGTGCATTGAACCTTTCAGTATTGAATTAAAGGAACGCGTCGACCAGCAGGCATGCAATTCACATTTAATATAACCTAAGGTACGTATAATGGTGAGATGCTTTACGTAAGGCCAAATGTACAATGATTTTGTACATCGGAAACGTTGAATGCACGAATGAAGGCGCAAAAAGAGAGAGCCACCCAAGGGTGCACCTACGTTTAAAAATAGCTATTTGAAAAGACAGCATCGAAGCCTAAGGCACATGAAGCGGTCCTAGTTAGGCAAAAAAGTACGAAACGATAATGTCATACTCAATTACCCGATTCGTCGTTTGCTGATTGCCATTCGAACAATAAATAGAGTATATAGCCATTGATGAATTGTCATGTCGTTTGCGGTAAAAACAATTACAGAACGAAAGCTATTTTGTCTGTGCGCAAACGCGAAACCCTAATGTGCACAACGCTGCCAAGGTATGGCTAATCACAATGAATCTCTACGACGAATGAGACACAAAGTTCCTTCACTACGCCTGGCCATTAGCTCCCTGTTTTCTCCTACTACAGTAATCTTTTAACATCGTCATTGTATATATATATTCACTTTTTTTTTTTTTTGAAACAGTATAATGGTAATGGCGCACTGTGAAATACATACCCTTCCAAAGCCGCCTACGCCAAGAGTAGAAATAACTCGTAGATCGCTAAGTTTAAGGCTTTTGAACTCGTTGTCGATCTTCTGACGAATGCCAGTGCTGGCTTTGTCGACCTCATCGTGGTAAGCATTCGCTCTGATTGCGTCAATGTTGCACATGAGCTGATTGAACGACTCGCGATCAATAATAAGACAGCCAACTTGGTCGGAGTCGGCGATAATTGACGCCGTCCGGACGTCTTCCGACTGCAGAGCTTTCTCGCCTACAATGACGATAAGCTACGACGTTAGTCATATACACAGATGGCATGGGTACAGGCGCTAGAGGATCGCGCTAAAGAGGCGCTAGGAATTGTAATAGTATAGCAATACTCATGTCTTTATACACCCTGGATTGCAGCCTGTTAACTTAAAAACAGAGTTCGTAACCAGTAAAATTTTTAGTGAAGTTTACTAAAATAAACTTGAGAATTACACTGGCAAAATAACTTTTGTCGCGTGTATATAACCTAAAAAGTTCGGTTTACCAATTTTAACTCCGCTCATTCGATGCAAGTAAAGCTAGGTAGGTGCATCCTTTCCTTTTTTTAGTATTATGCGGAATCATTATAGTGTTTATCCTGTGAAAAAGCAGCATTCAATGCACGTGTCTGTCCCTTAACAAACTTCCTTCAAGTTATCAGCGGCTCGCCTCCTCTGGAACGGGAGTCGAGTCAGACAAGATTTTCTCAAGCGGAATAATTCTACATTGCCTATAACACTCTACTACAAGAGAGAAAAGGAATTAAATATGTCCGGAGAAGTTAAATATACGATTGGAAATGATTCACGATCTTCGGGCAGCTCTTGACAAGATATTGCATCACCAAAGCCTGCTGCCTGACTCAGCGAGCACTTCAATCGTGCGCTCGCTTGTATGAAAAATATAATGCACGCTAGGAATGCACGAATATATTTTCCCTCTAGAACGTTAGCATTTTTCGGCCGTAGCAACTTCGTCATTTCCCTTATAGTACAATCATTGTTAACGAAAGGTGCCAAAAATAACGAAACAGCAGAGCAAAAAAAAAGGGTAAGTGTACGCTAATACAGACAGGGTGTACAATGCGAACCGGGGCACTATTTATGTCGCATCGTTACGAACGTTTTCCACGTTTAACGTCCGCTGCTAAAGATGCTAAACGTTACTTCAAACGGCTACTCTCAGCACCAAACGAAGTTTCTATGGCCAAATTCAGATCACGCATCCTTAGATCTAGCAGGCAACCTACTGCGTTATCACTAAAACAGCATGATGAATAAAATTAAATGTTTAGATAAATTTTTTCTACCTGCGGTAGCAAGACTCCGATAGACCTATCTCAGCGTAACCGTATCGTCTTCAACTCTACCTTCGACCCAGGGCATAAACTAAATCATTCCGATACCTATAAACTCGTTACCAGTAAGATAATTCGGTGGAGATCTGACTCGAAAGCCTAAAAAGAAAGTATAGAAGATGCACGAAAGCAAAACAGTGCAGTCGGTTGTGAGGTATACCATTGATTTTATAGCTTTACAATCTGCGTGATCGTTCGTTTAACGCAAACGCTCGCATCAGATGCGCCACTTTAGGAAAACCAGCTGTTTTCTAGCATCAAAAAATGAATGTTAACATTAGTTGATTATAGGTAACAGAGCTCATCTATGGCCGTCTAGCAAAAATATAGGTAAGCGATTTTATACTGCAATACTGCTTGACGCCACACTCGTACTTGAATAAACAACACGCTTTACGTCCGCGTGCCGTGCAATCTAATAGAACGTTCTCCACTTGATTAGCAAAATGCGATCGTGCTTTCTAATCAAATAGCTAGCGGCGGTCCACTGTTCACAAAGCGTCAGTGTATGACTGGAAAAGAGAGACGATACAAGATGAAACTGTATCTGGCTGAAGTTTCTGCTGACCAAGTGACTAGAAGTCCGCTTGATCTGCTGCCGCTAACAGTTTCACCTATAAACAGGGTCAGCAGTATCGTCGCGTACGTGAACATTTTCGCAGTCAGCTTCTCGACACGACATCGCACTTATGGCGGTCCGCAATAGACATCAGGTCAACTATACTGTTTACGGTCGTCGTTATGCCATACTTTCATCACAATGGAAAGTTGAGCCGTTGACCGCTGAATTACAGACACAGGTCTCAGCCGAAGATTTTCGCAGGCCGTTGACGGATGCTAGCCCAAAGTGTGGGAGAGCCTAAGCCAGAAATGCACATATTCGTGCCGCAATACCTTTGCTGGATAATAAAACAACGGCCGACAGATTCAACCGTTAACACAACCTTTCAAAGTAAAATTCTCGAATGGAAGAAATTGGCTACGGGTGAAAGGCAGTCGTTTTTAACGAATATGATTGTTTTCTATCAATGGGGACTTTATCCGAACGATCCCGTTGCTGTTGCTCATACGGACAGCATAGACGTCGAGTTTATATGGCCGTCATTCGTTCTGTTGATGAGTTTTATTGGATTTCCGTAGTTGCTGTCGCGCTCCTAAGTTGGACCGTCAATTGAACTCAATCAGTAAATCTGCCTTCAGTCGTTCGTTTTCAGCCGGCGGTATCGGCAAGTAACATACGAGCTGGTACTCACGAGCACATTCGCAGGTACGCTGACGGCTACACTCAAGTCTGGCGCTGGGCTATCCCAGCTGTCGACTTAACAGCACATGTCGAGATCAACAACATCAATGAAAGGACAATGGCCTATGTATGAGGCCGCTATAGACGAGCAACAGCTGACGCCGTCACTGCTGCCACGAACGCATATGCCACCAACACGGACCATGCACTGCTGGCTTCGTAAGTGTCGTTGCATCGTCCCTGCGCGATTTGCCGCCAACAGTAGCTGGAGTGCGGCGCAGACCGAAGCGTTCTACGGTGATGGTAATAATGACAACTATGTTGAAGATGTCGAGATGCTATTCAGTGTTGTTCCTGTCTCACCGTTGCTGCAGCTATTGTACTATGGAACTAGCATTCAAAGACCACCTTGTACCGCTGTAGAGTGGCGTGTAATCGGTGAGTTTCAGTGACAAAGCCCCACACACATACGCTCGACTTCTGCCTTTTCTGTCCGGCTTCTTTCATTGTCACTTTTCACGATTTGTCTCAGTCTATGACAAGGCACAGTGGCATAGAAATAAAACACACAGAGAAGATGCAAGGCCTAAAGTCCTGTCGAACTTGCGATTTTCGCAATACGGCTGGCTCGCTGTTGGCTATTTACTGGGTGCTACGGGTACTACTTCGAGACCTGTTGCACCGTCTGCTCAACTGTTTGGCGCTACTAGAGATCCGATAAAGCTTAGTAAGCTACACAGAAGGTGACTGAAATACGAGTGCAATAATCAAAGCGAATAGAGACTGGTGCCGTTCTACTGATCGGAGATACTTATTTCCTTTCTTATCCTCTTAGCAAAACTCTTTCTGTACAGCTGTATCCTCTCCCTCTGTCCCTTATTTACCTCGACACTGCCGCATGTTTCACATTCAGATACATACGTATATATATATATATATATATATATATATATATATATATATATGCACGCTCTCTAGTTCATACGTTTTTTACATCTAGATTGTTCAGACCTCGTCCACAGTCTGTGGTTTTAAAAACGGTAATATATGAAAACGATGACGACGAAGATGACGGGCATTTTAGGGCCCTCGAAAATCTACGCTCACTCCTCGAACGAAGACGTAAATTGTAAAAATTAGATAGAGGGATGGACAGACAGGGCACGACGACCCGTGGCGCTATATTTGATCTGCGACAGGGAAGGGAGGACAGCAGTAAGAAAAGGCAAAGGGATCACAAAGAGGACAAATAGAACCGCGTTAACGTTTGCTGGCAAAAAATGTAGGTTATCTGCGTACAGGAACTGACCCAGCTCAAAATGACCACGTCATGGGTATGGCCCAATTATTGTACATATATTGTATTATCATTAAGTGAATTTAACCAATTACAAAGTCATGATTATCTATTTGTAGCTGGCAGATAAATACGTCCTTGCTAACCGATGTTTATACCACATGTCACGACTACAGCTCCAACGATGGCAGGGGTTTTTCCATCCATTCGACAAAACATCAATCTGTTCCATTGAAACGACACACAGCTCACAGCTGAATTCAAATAGTAATAGAAATCAACAATTGGCAGAAGACAACTATTGTGACAGCCAAAAGAACAACGACTATACTTGCAGCACCATTATCATAAATCTAAAATAGTCTATCTATGATAAGAAAACACTCTAATGCAGGCAAATATAGAATCTTCTGTTAGCTGCCAATGGAACAGGCACATTGGGCCTATGCAACTGACCGAGGCACGTTAGGTGTTAAAGGAGATGGCCAAAGTTAGGTCCAAAGCTAATGTCACTAGATAAAAGTATACATTTCTATATGCACCTACAGGTATTGGAAAACTGCTACAACAAGCACCACCAGAGCAAAAAAGACAACTGCGTCCCATCGTAGCAGACTCGGGCGATCATTTTGCTGACCGTAGTCGCTGCGCACCGTATCGACGTATACTTCTATTCACTGCGACGATAAATAAATCCATTGTGCTGTTTACTAGGCTGTCAACGGCACTAGTGACATACGTAAATATTGATGAAAAAAAAACAAACAGAAATGTACGATAGGATTATTTGTAGTTAACCGATTTATATGTTATATACAACTAAATGCTATAGTTACTGGACTAGATACGGAGTTTAACACTTCACTGTTATTGAAATGTCTGTGTCCAGTCGTCTACCTACCGAAGAAATCTCCTCTTCGAAGTGTCCTAAGGAACTTCTCTTCTCCATTTTCATCCTTTCGTATCACCCTCACGGTGCCGCTGAAAAAATACAGAAATTCAATATTTTAGATGCGTCTTAGCCAAGTCTTTCTGGCTCACCTGAGAATCAAGCTTTGAGACTTTTTTTTTTATTTGATATTATTATGATATTACAAATAGTTCCAATGGCAGACAGTCAGCTGATTGTACTATCTCATAGAATTAGGTATATATATGAAGGTTATTTTTCTCTTATCGGTTAAATGTACAAAAAAAATGATCCCTTATTACATATAAACTAAACCTACAATTTTCTTATATCGTTCACAAAACTACCCTATTTTAATTCCTGCACCAATAGCGACGAAACAGCTTTTCGCTATAGGAAGCTTTCAGCTCAATTAGCTATGCACCGGCTCATTATTGAAAAAGCTTTTGGAGTAAAAATGTTTGACCTTTACGTCGACAATGGAGCAGACCATTTAACCGTGATTATGTACTCAGTTTAGTAGTAGCTGCGAGTTGCCCGTTGCTTAATTTTCCCCTGAGTTTCTCTCTTCTCCATTGGTTAACTTTCATTCCAGCTGTTCTCCCTAGCTAAGACAAAAGAAGGCGGATCGCCAACTCAGCAGTTAAAGATAGACGCCGCTGCAGTTCTTCTTCCCTCACACAGTGTTCGTAAAGCGTGTACATCACTATAAAACAATAGAATTTTTATTTTGTTTCCAATTACGAATGTTTATTTTACCTTATGCATTTCTGATTTAGTAAACAGCACTCGATAAACAAGCATACACATATATACGATCAAGTACGCACACCATGCTCCAAAAAGCCTCGACAAGGCACCATGTTACAAAAAGAAATCGACGGCTGACGACAGCGACGTCGTTCTCGTCGACAGTGGTTCTACAAAACACAGCACAAAAGGAGATGCCGTCTATTTGAACAATAGAATACAATAGACGCGGGAAACGGTAGAGAGAGAATGAATCTCTAGCGCGAGTGAAGCATTTGATCTAGCCGACCAGTGGCCTGCAGTTTCTGGCCTCCCAAACGTCTCACGCAGAATCCTGTTCAGACGTTCTATTATACAGAGATTTATTCGTCTGGTTACTTATTCTATCGTATTATATCTCGAATCAATGTTAATATATGCTCCTTTTGACGGTAGCGGCCCGGCTCGAAATAGATTCTCGGTTAGTCCGTCTGCCAACTGACTCAGTCGCTATCATCATTACCATGCCAACCAGTATCGTCATCATCATGCCCGCCGAGACGATTACCACCATTATGAGGTAAATGATGCATTCAAGCAGAGAATCAATGTCTGGGTCGCCGTTGGAGAATATGAGCAGGTGAAAGCAGTTACATTGCTCTTTGCGGCAGCTATACTGGCTGCGATCGAAACAGTAGAAAAAGACGCAATTGCTCTGTGATAGTTGTGGACGTTGATCACTGCCATAAGCAGCGGCCGTAACAACATCTACGGTCTCATTTGAAAGCGAGCGTCCGGCTAGCCGAAGATTTCACCAAAGGCAACTCGAAAACGGCCGGTACATACGAATGAATTAATGTTTGTTTGAAAGAATATTAGCTCAGCGAGTAATAGGAACGGCAGAATGGACGCGTTGCTATGACAATCAGTACAACCTATTGATAGTAGCACAACCACGTACACTATCTACGGAAGAAGGTCAACTCGGCTGTTACCACAGACGGCACTACAGGCAGACAAACGCCAAAAGAAGCGCCAGAGTATATAAACGAAGAAATACAATTATTACTGTATCACTTACAACCGACAACAGAAACTTCGAGAGACATTTCCTCTATGTCAAGGCTTATGGCACGATGAATGCTTGTGAATGTCTATGATGTGTTTGTATGACGACTGTGTGTTCTACCCCTACGCAACTGGCCTATCTGTTAATATAGCTGACAAGGTCGTCCGTCAAAAGGCGAAAGATCTAATCTGCAGCACCGTACATTCAACAGTACGATGCAGATTTTCAAAAGTACATATTTGAATGTCGACTACGAACAAGCCGATCATTGAACATGCCACTTGAAAGCACCTCAAATATGGCGTCATAATTTCTAGCTAATGTTACATATTTTAGCGTTCTATTTAGCTTTGAAAATGTCTTTCGCATGCTATAACAGTTTTTGTATAACTAACCGTTGGAAACTGTTCTAGCGTTTTTCTATCTGCTGCTGAAAGTCCGATTATATGGTTCATATATACATGGATATACATATATGGATGCATCTATATATACATGCGATTATATTGGCACAGAGAGCAACAATTGTCTCGAGTTGCCTGAGGAGGTCCTATAGATTAATAATTTATAGCTATGTGACTATATATACGAAGAGCTATGATCTAACAAAATCAAAATCGTGTTAGCAAGACAAGGTCATCATTATAAAAAATATGAACTACGTCATAGGCGGTTTAGGCACGTTATAGGGCTAATGTGAGATACGCTATGTTGCTTTGATAGACGCTAAATGGGTAGATAGTGATGACTGATCGATGGTATCAACTGAAGTTATCATCCTGAGTTATATCACCAGCACACATTTTGCATCGCCGAATGAGGCCTTTGCTCCGGCCGCGGTGAAACGTCTAGTTCACAGATAGCTATAACAATAACTATCAGTAAAAAGCTGTAACCGTTTTCTGTACGACAGTATGCTTCACTTACTCCAGATTAGCTGAGCTTACTACTATTGCCAGCTATAGCCGGCATATCACAGCCCGTAAAGACGCATCGAACGCCGTAGTGAGCCGCAGACAGATGAAGCAGCGACCCCCTGTTCATCGAAAGCAGCAATGACGTTGCCCCGGATGCACGTCCTTGCCTCTTTTTTTCGGCTGTTATTAACTAGTTCTTGAGCAGATATGGAATCGATTCCATTTTCTGCTCGTATTATATTAACATGATATATATACATATATGTGATAGGTGGCAAAATTACCACATATCATGAGCGTACTATGCAAGCAAGCCATTTATAAGTTAAGCCCAGTAGAGAACAACATACCGACTAATGATGAAGAACGTATCACCCTTGGCACCTTGACGAATGATGTACTCGCCACGTTTGTATGTTGCGTCTTCCAAAACATCTGAGATCTTCAGCAGAGTCTCCTCAGGCAGATTATTAAACGCCGGTACACTGTAGACAAATGACAACCAACCATATATAGTAACAATGGCATCAATCAAAATAATATCAATCTGCCTTACTGCACATTTCTCACAAGTAACAGGTTAATTCAAGGAGGATATAATTACTAGCAAAGTAAACGGCAAGTGATATAATCTTTTTACTCGTGGCCTGATGGCCTAGGTCGCTCGGTAGATTCCCACCGTCTTGTGCTTAAACAAGATGTTCGTATTTACTTTTACGTGCGAAGGTATGTTAACCCTTTGAAAATCAGTGGCTGCCATTCAACGAAACAGCGAAAAATGAAAGTCGTCGGTCATGTCGACTCTTCCAAGAAAATCTTCGAACAGCTGCTTGAATGAACGCTTAGTCATGCCGCTAGTTGTATGATATAATCTTTCACTTTCAAACCTGGTACACTTAACAAAGAAACGCTTATAAAAACTACGACCGCTATTCTCGTAGCCATGTTTAGAACTGCGTGGTATATGGGAATCGACCAACTCAGTACGGTTAGCATTTTCAGAGAACGCTAAATTTTAAATAGTGCCAAAATCCGTTCATTTGATATTTGTTTCGAAACAAAAAATGCGACGCAGCTGATTATTAATCAAAGCAGTTAAAACATTTACATTCATGCCTAATACGAATCACCAAGATGTATGGTTTTGTCCTGTCGTCTCAGAGTCAGTCAGCGGTCAGAGCTCAGTGTGTGTGACGGGGTCAGTCAGTCGGACGATATAAAAAACTAAATCATAAATACTGTGCATGCTGTTTGATAACTTACTCGGCCACAAGACTAGTTTTCATTTAATCGTCTAAGAGTCGATATATCGTCGAATACGTCAAAAAAATCGAGCAGGTATAATCGCCCCCGCGTCGCAATTGTACACGCGTATAGTACCTATAGAGAATATATCTGTCGTTATTGTGAAGATACATAAGCGCAAGAAGCGCAAACGGGAAGCATTGATCTTTAGAACGAGCTACTATTCAGATTGAATCATTATTCCTCTAATACCTGACTGATCGTAATGCCTTAAATCCAGACCGTTCCGAGTATATCATTTAGAGATAAAAGCCTATCGTGATATGATCCCCTGAAGAGTATTTTTGGTAAATCTTAAATATACCGCTGTAAAAACCTCATCCTGCTATCTTTATTAGCTGAGAACAGGTGCAAGATTGTCTGATGTACTACTCAACCCTTCGAGATCAAGGTTTCATCCAGTTTAACCCTTGAAACTGCAAACTTCAAAAGACCGACACATTCATAGTTAACAAATGAGTGATTTTAGCAGTCTGTCTGAATTTGCTTGCACTACATCTTCCTTTAAACGAGCTTGAAGTAAGCGCTCTTTTCCATTATATCTGCAGTCGCTGGGATCGACTGTATGATATGTTGTTAAATCAAAGGTGTGAACCAACTGGAAGTCAGCAACGTGCCATATATTGAATAGCAAATTTTAAACCCGTGCAGCTCAGCACTTCTGTAAAGTCTTCTTCGCTACACAGCAATAGCCGTCCCATTGTCGTTCCATCGTTCAAAACGACAAGGGAAAGTTTCCACGGTATAAGCTTAAGAGGAAAACCAGATCGACTATACCGGGACTGGTTAAACAGTGAGCGGCAGTAGATATTCGGTTTGCTAAATTTTACTAACTGCATTTACTACATAGCTTTGGTATGGGTATGACACTACCTACGTGGGAATTAAGTGAGTGGAATCCACCCTTACCCGCCGAAGACAGCCCTCGACTGGAAGCCAGTACTCTCGCACGCCAGTCTCCATATGGGCAGGACCATTTATAAGCTCGTCTATTTGAATCTTACTACTCGTTATACTAGTTCAAGCGCTGTTTCACAATCAACACTACCGAACGGTGTCCTTTACATACGAAGCGTGCATGATAATCACAACAAGTTCGGAAGATAGCAGCGCACGACTAATTTGGAAAGTGTACATTTATGGATGAAAAAAGACGAGTTACAGTCATCACCTGAGCAGCCTAAAAACGCTATAATATAAAAAGAATAAAAATTATTTTAATGACCAAAATTTACCATGAAAAATTACAAAAAAAAATGCCTTCAGTTTTAGTAAAAATGTGACCTTGCGGTAAAAATTTTCGCCTCGACTTATTTTAATTAATTAATTATTATATAATTATAGTAAAATAAACGAAATTGACAAAAATAAGAGAAGGAAAATATTCATCGAAAAATAAACGACAGGAAAGATATACACGCATACATCGTCGCGCGCTTGTGACGTACCTTTTAAGGAAGTCTGCATATTCGGCTTGGCGTGTGAGACCACTTTTCATCATAATTGTTTGGAAACATTGACGTTCGATAGCCCATAGCTTGCAGTCTTCCACCGCTTTAACGGTAGCGGTCCTCGTGCAGTTGTACAGAATAGCAAGTTCACCGAACAGCTGTCACCGTTTAGAATAGGAGTACTTATTATGTAGAGTGGTTTTTTTTAGAGGAATTTCTACTCTTTCTATTAATCCTAGTCGCGAACTTTGCTACGGGCGAAAGGATTCGATCTTTTGTGCGTCTGTACTAATCGTGCAGCGTTACATAGTGTAGAAAAAAAAACGACACCGCTGGTCGCTTTTCTCTACTAACCTAATGAAAATTTGACAATTTATAGATTAAGAGTAAGTTTCTTTCCACCTGAAACAAATCAATCAGCAACAAGTCATAGGGTGGGAAGAAGTCTCCAATAAAAATACCTTGAACAGGGTCAAGTACTGTATATCTAAATGAAAGTTTAAAGTTCTTATGTGACAGTTACCAAGCAACTTAATAAATTATTCGCCTCTTTTGCAATTAAAAGGACCTGCATAGAGGTCAGCAACGTAGATACGAAAACTACATTCTTCCTCAATTTCGCATTTTTATGCTCGCTAGCAATAAGCTCAACGTAGAAAACGCCGTTTCAGGCGTCGGAGGCCATGTCCTAAATGGGCACTTCCAATAGTAAAATCAGCAAAGTAAATTGAGCCTTGAAAGCTAAACCCTGCGAGCGGAACGTCGCAAAATAAGACGGTAAGTGAATAGCTTGTTGTGGTGATTTTTATAGTCGTCTTTGGGTTACTATGATAGCTCTGATGGTTACACGAGCATTAGCGACCCAGAGCCGTCAAAACCCGAATACGGTTCCTGATCTCCTAACGGATTTGCCTGTTGTGGAAACACATTAATTATATCACTCAGCATTTCTCTGTGCTTACGTAAGAGAGTCACTTCGCTACGTTTATAGATTTCGTTAAAAATTAAATAATCTAATACACTAATACGCACCTTTCCGACTCCCATATGGCTCAAAAACCGACCCTCTTTCGTTACCTCGAGTCGACCCTCTGAAACGAGGAATTTTGGCAAGAATCAATTAAAAACCGCTAGGCAAACTCCAACCGTTGGTCAATAATTCTAGTATTAGACCTAAAGTGGACGTAGTCAAAATAACGCTACCAAATATTTGTGATTCACTGTTAAAACAGAGCCATGGATTACCACCTGATATAGCGATACTTTATCCTCTGCGCGTTAGTCGTATCACATCGAAAAGCGCCGTGGCGTGAGAGTGCAATTTCTGTGTAGCACTTGGTGCCAGCCCAACAAAGTAACTATAAACACTAAACATTATTGTGAAGATCGTCGTGTTAGCTCGGCCAAACATAATAACATCCCGCTAGAACAATAGCCATCCGAAGTGCGTTTGAGTCTTTCAGACAGCAGACCGATTTAGCCCATCTAGCGATGTGCCGCTAATTCGACATTTCAATTCAAACAAATTCAAGTAACTGAGGAAAATCTATACGAACCGATGCACGCACCTGTGTTCGTGTGTATATATAGGCTCAACGTGTGGGTGATTTGGGTCATTGACCAGTCTCGATTTGCGGTTAGCGTAGCACCAACTTATCGAACCAACTACTTTTTTATACTATATAAATCTGTAGCAGGTTTTTACCTACAAAATTAAATAGAATGAACAGAGAACTGATAAAAGGGTAACTGCAAATGAATACGTACAGATATATACCCGAAAAACGCTGCTAAATAATGTACTGTTCCTCTACATCAGGCGCTTCCACCAAAATGTCTTCTTATTGTTTGACTGTCTAGCCCGGAAGCTTATTTCTTCTCATGGGTATGTGAACATTTTTTCTGGAATCTTTTCTTGGAGACCAAGAGACGTACTGCTGGCTATGCATCCATTGGTGCCCGTCGTATCTCCATAGATGCTGCACGTTTTTTACGTGAAGACAACAGACTCCACAGTCTTGGATTGGAATCTTCACAGGAAAAGTAGTTTATATTGACCAACTATCTCTTCTAATCTATAATTCAGCTCATCAAGCCGATAGCCCAATGGCAAGCATGTTAGTCACGAATCCATCTGCGCTGCATTAACAACATAATTTTGATGTCGCTGATGTCGATAACGGCAACGTCAACACGAACACCAACAACAAGAACAACAATGGAAGCTGCATCAACAACAGCAAAAACTAGACAAACAAGTTGTTTCTGCCGTTGCTGTTGTCGTCCGTATCGGCGTCACTGTGGTCGCCAGAGATCACCACCCCTGTGCCCCTATCCCAGCTAAGCAGAGTCTTGTAATCGTTACTTTTTTTAGCTGCATTGCTTTACGTATTACGTATCAGCGTGTGAGTGCATTTGTGCCATTGATCGACAGCGAAAGCAACAACACAGTATAATATAATGCCGTATCATTAGGCTGGGAGTCGATCAAGAGCGATGCTGAGCCAACGTTCGCTAGCTCTCGCATTGTTGCCCTTCACACCAGAGCGTCCCGGCGAACTTTTCAGAGTGCCTAGAATCTGTAACAGTGATTACACACTGTGGCTAGCCAATGGTTTCGTCATATCGCAGCGAATTAAATGCCTTAAGCCCGTACGACAGAACAGAAAATCAAGGCACAGTGGATAGCATAGAACGTTTATATGCGTTCGAGACCACCTGTCTGTGCTGTAGCTTGTGCAGTAGCGCACGGAAGGAAAAGGTAAAATCTGCAGAATAAGTGAAACTTGCTTGACGTTTATGCTGTTCTGCCGAGCGGTCATCTTCTATCTCAACGAAATCTAGGTTATTTAAAATACGTAAACACTGTTGCCCTGTGTGGTGCTCTGCTCCATCTTGTATTTGTTTACTCCAGCAACAGTAATAGATTCGTATAAGCAAAAAACCTCAGGCCGATCCGTATTTTTGAAGGGCGCAGAATGTGCGCCTGTTGCCAAGTAGCTCACTATGAAAAAGTAAGCCCCTTAACATAAACAAAGAAGTTTGAAAAATATGCGCAGACTTGCGAAGTTCAACAGCATCGAACCTATGTTGTGTCAGTGATAAATGTGTTACTTTTTTTTTTTTTTTTTTTTTTTTATAGAAGATTTGGCTCATGAGACGAGGGTCAATCTGCGCAAATGAAAACACAAGGAAAAACAGGCATTTTGCTAGCCATAAATGCCCAGGATACCTACGTTACGTGCTCACTGACTATAGCAGTTTATGTGCAACTTAGCAACTAACTACTAACTTACCTTGAATGACGTAAACCACACTGCCGGCTTCACCCTCTTTAATGACCAGATCACCTGCGATAACACAAAAACACGGAACTCTTGTTAAACAAATAGTGAAATAAACATGTCGCAATAATTCAAGAGTGCTTAATTGATTGTCACGTATATTTATAGGAAAGGGTGACTAACTGAAATTCAGACTTCTGCCGATCTGTACAGGTAGAAGTGTCAAAATCATCATACACTTAATTACCCAGAACTATCACATGTACAATAAAAATAGGATTGCACTTTTAAATTCAGCGTAACGTTGACTGAAAAATACGAGCTAAGTTGTTTGCGAAAATATCCTCTAGCTGGCTTTTCAACAAGAAGTTACCCCCTATCCCTTGAGAACAATTGTTCATCAAACTAACCACCTAGATGTAAACTTGAACGTGCATAAACACAACATCTTTTATAGCCTATGCCTCGAAAGAGAATCACTATTTCAGAGCGAATATATATCTTATGCAAATATACGCATTTACTCTGTCTATAATTTCCATAAATATTGATGCCGATATTGGCATTGGTCTTAGCCCGTAACAGCCAATTAAACCCGGGTGTAGGTTAAGGCCCATGACTCAATGCTCAATTTTTACTCGACATCATCACCCCAATGTCCAATAGTCGCATTCGGTCGTTTCTCATCGAAGCAGTGAAATGTAACGACGACGCAGCGGCAACGATAACGAATTAGATGTCACGACGACCGAACAACCCCACTATTGACAGTAAGGGACGTGGATAATTAAATAAACCATTGACTGAATGAAACTATTACGTAGTTTTCAGGGAGCAGGCGAAGGCAAAGTTAACGGTCACTTTTTCTTTTTTATGCGTTCGGGTCCATGAAGGCAAAATCCAAATTGTTCCACAGTAAATACCGTCCACGTCAGCTACGAGCCCAGTCAAACACAAAACGTGACGAATTACTATAAATCAATTGAGCTAATTAATGTAATATCATAGTATGGGACACATCCCACTAGTACATTTCGCCATTAGTCCACAATTAACATGGACATGATGGACGAATTCGGAAGACAGACCTCATCATCATTCCAATATGAAGGTAAACTTCAATTGACTCTTTGTCTGTTCCTGACGGTCTTTAACTATTCCATGTACAAGATACTACTTGAAACTACTGTATAAGAGCACTTTTACTAACTTCAGTAACACCTATTACTAGGTATTTGTATTGAAATATACAGAGTTGTTACATTGTTCACTATGGGGCCTAACAGTGCAGCCTGCGGACAAAAGGGGGTTACCTTTTGTAAGCGATAGAGAAAATGGATTTAAAATGAAAATGAAAAAGCCTTTGTTTTCAAACCTAGACGTAGATTTTTCGTCGTTTACATTCGTTCGCCTGTATTTGTCATCACCTGACCATTTTACTGCATTCATTAGATGTCAAAGTTCAGCAACACCATTATAGTAAATTGAACGACTAGAGCTCACTGTGCCATGTACCTTTAGGATGAGTACACGGTGACATGCAGTCTGTGATCTGTTCGATTTGCGCAGTTTCTAGATGTTTCATAAAATCGTTATCTAAGATGGCATTCTGGATCAAGTCTCGTACCCTGAAATAAAAACATGTATTAGATAAGCCTTACCCTACAACTGAGAAAAGTATTTTCATCTGGTTTTCAATGGTGAATCCGATGAAATCGACGATTTTCAACGTTTTTACAAGAATAAATACACTTCAAATTGCTTCCAAATTTTACATGTATTTTTTTTTATCTTATAAGTGTATGTATATGCATTTATTATCTTGCGTTCCGGCCGCCTCGTTCAGTTTCGCTCTTTTTTAGTGATAGCGTGTATAAGGCTTCAGGAACGAATAATGGCCGATATATTTTGCAAATTATGACCAGAAAAACTATGATGTTTATCTTTTTATAAGTATGAACGCGGATTTTATTGTTTTTAAAAGAAACCGATTTCGTGCCAATTTCTTGAGATACACTACTAGCTCTCTTCTAATTCGAGAACTTTCACTTTTAAGCCCTTGTCATCATCATATCCAGTTGCTCTTGTTTTTATGTATTCAATTCCAACCACGTACGTCTACTGAATGTGATATACTTACGCCTTATCTTTCGGATAAGCTTGGAACGTGACATTAATATCTGCTACCGAAATAACACTCTGAGGTTCAGCAGATATACCTGGTTGTCGCTTCCGTTCTCGGCGAGAATACCTGTTGGTATATAGTCAGATCTAGGTTATAGCGTTGAAGATCACCATCCATGCGAAAAGTCACGTGTCGCAGATCGTAAGTCTTATATCTCAATGCTGCCTTAGGTTGGTGTACAATAGCTCTAACCTGATCCACGCCATTTGCCTTAATGACGACGACTGGAGGGGGTAACAGATACCCTATGAAATTTAATACACGATCACCTAAGCTAGCGCTCTTGCCTGATGAAAATCTAACTATGGAGTGATCGATGCTTGATGAAAGCTTGATCAAAACTAATTTAAAGAAAAACAGACGTCCCTACAGGTAATAATGTGCTTAAGCGTACGAAACTACGAAATAACTCGATCAATACTGTTGAAAACGCGATATAAAAATAGCACCAAGCGCCAAAATGAATCTGAAAGCATTGCTATGTTCGCGCTCTGATTACCTTGGCGGCATAAGTACACTCTGGTACTTGTCCAGTTGTGATCGGAGCTGTTGTATTTGTTGATCGCGGGCAGCGAGTAATCTTTGGAGCTCCTGCGAGATTGGAGCCATACATCAGGCAAAATATATACGTTTTAGTGTTACTATCATGCGCCGCCGATGTTTCGGCTTTTTTACAGGTCAAACGCGAAAGTAGTTCATGGACGTATAATATCTATATACACATAGCGACCTCACAAGCGTTTACATGATAGAGCATTTGTCCTTCACAGTCTGTTTTTTCGAATTACACATGGCTCACAGGACAGCTATTAAAAAAGACTGCTTTGTTATTTATCTATAACGAGTGAACATGCGTGATAGGCCACAGACTACGATTAAAATCTGTAATTAACTTAAAAAATAGCTTGTTGACGACTGAGCTCGCACGTAACACCGCCTACGACGCACCTGTATATTCGGGATACTTCGAATTTTGAAATACTCTCGAATGATTTGAATCTAGTTAAGAGGCGACAAAAATTGCGCAGGATGAATAGAAATTATTATTTATTTCTCTATTTTTCCTTTATACCTCACAGCTATCCTTAGATATAACCATAGTTTTTCTTCTTTCTAGCTTTAATTTGACACATTTTAAACGTCTATAGTAGACCACTGTGGTTTTCTGAACCAATAGTTTGTGTGCACATACACAAACTCACCGACGCCTATTGACTGTCATTATCAGCATCTGTTCTTTTGTGTTGCAATAATCCAGCTTCATCGGCCGATTTGTATCATCCAGTCTGACCAACGGCATAGTAACACCTCGCATGGCACACTGAAATGCTTCTTTGACTTCGCACAATGAGAAGCGAAGTGAAAACTTTGGCCAGAACAACAAATAGTAATAGCGGCAAAACGACCTGCTACATCCAAACAACAGCAGGAAAAGAGCAATCGATAGAACTGTTGAAGCACCAGCCACAGTTCAGTACAAGCCAGTAACTCATCCTATATATAACCCTGTATATATAATCGTAATAGTAAAAGCAATGACCTGCATTTGTCTGAACTTGCCAACAGATTGATGTAAATTTTGTTCAGGATCATCAATAACCTGGTTTGCATCATCAGTAGAAGAACTAATAACACCAGTGTAACAAAAGTATACTTTAAATAAACAAGGCTCAAGCGAGAGCCCCAAAAACTTCTAAGATAATGCTCACGAGCGGAACTCATATACAATAACAATAGCGGCGACAATCACCAGAGCATTGGCTGCTGCTGGCCAATGGAAACATTGGGCTGGGAAAGCCCCTCCATGGGCTTGACTTTTAGAGTCTTCTTTACATATATAATTCCCTTCAGAGGTAGGAATTTGTGGGCCGGGTAATTATGAAATGTTGAAAAATTATGAAATGAAAGTAAGGAAGCCTTAAGAGGGTTGCAGAATTGAAGTAGTACGCAGGTACGCCCTATTTGGCCCTGCTTGTCTTATGTTGCTCCAGGGTTGGGCTCAATGTCACAACACGCGCATCCTAGCAAACCGCTAATAATCACTTGAAAAAATGCCCATTTATGACTCAAATTTCGACATACAAATCAGAATCAGTCTCCTGCTTTTTTTTCTTGAGCTGCTCCATGAATGCAGTGAATAATTAGCTGTAGTGGAAATTCAACAGCTTCTTTAGACAAATCTTGCCCAATAAAAGCAGCATATTAACTGATTTTTACCTTCATTTTCAGTCTCTCAGTTGCGCGGAGCTGATCAATGGAGCCGGTAGTGTTCTATTATATTTATAAACATGTTGAAAAAAACAAAATGTTCAGGGTGATCTTCTGCACTTCAATTACTTTATTTATATAACATATGTGATTTTTCACGAAATGAGCTTACCACTTCTTTGCTAATAGATAGAAAGGTTTCAAATCATATATTAATATACTATTTATATCTAAACAAGGTTTGTGATAAATATATTAAATATCTAGGTATTAACAGGAGATGATAAGCAAATTGAGATTTTCCAGATCTATTCTCGTATTTGAGAAATTTGATAATGATTGGTTAAATTCAGCAATTCAGCATCAGTGCAGCACTATGGCCATTACCTACGGTGAATTTTAGATGTAGAGCTGGCACTAATGACAGAAAACTGAGCAATATATAAAGAATTACCGTTCACGTCAACAAAAAGTGGGCATCCCCAGAAACTATAAATATTGGTTGCGATAAGTAAAGGAGAAGACTACATAGCTTTAACAGAAACTCTGCATGGAAACCGTACGAGTTCCTTAATCCAAAAACGTCTTAAATTTCGACTGCATATAAATGAAAGGATAGGTTCGATTATTTATAACAAGGAAAAAAACTCCTTTATATGGCTATAAATAAAAAGGACTTTTACCTCGATCGTTCGCTGTTGTTGTTGGATCACCTGTAAGGGATCCCCGGCCTCGCCAGACCCCAGCTCAAACATCTGGGGCGGTGCCGGGGTCGGCTGCTCGGGTTCAGAGATGTCCATTTTCTGACCCAGGGTGAAATGCGAAAAGTGTGGCTACAAACAGACAAAAAACGTTATATTTAAAACAAGCAAAACGAATATAACAACGAAAAAAAAGTTTTTTTTTTTTGTCACATTTAGCGACACATTTCAACTTATCTCTCGTCAGTAATCAAGTTTTTTTCAATGAAAGAATATATTCGCACTTAGTATTTTCTGAGAACTAAGAACTTCCAGGGACAATACGAGAAAAAAATGCTCATGGAATGCATATATTGCAGTTTGTTTTTCTATTGACGTTTACTTCGTAGCTTTTATATCGACCTTGGGCTCAGTGTATGCGTAGGGAACTAACCAAATGTAAATATAGGAATTTATTAGCGTGGATTCCCTTGGTTCGTGACTTGGCGACATCTTCAGGACGAAGCGAGATGCGCTTCAGCTTAGAGTTCGGTCAGAGGCAAGTTTACAGCGAAACTATATGTTGCCATAATTGTGTGCGCCTTTCTAGACCGTAGCACTAACTCTTCTCAGCAGTAATCCTACTTCACCTTATTCCTTCAGGGCCTTATAGAAAAGCTTTACTGTCGCGCTAATCCCATGGCAATTTCTCTTGAATATGGCTTGAGTACACTAGCGCTCATGTCCAAGTAAGTAGACTGATAGCGGCTCGCTGTTTTCGTAATAACTATCAGACACTTGAGCTAGAGTTCAACATCTATAACATGCACACGCCGATACACTATCCCCCACACAGTCGAGCAGAGAATTAGCTTGTATCCAATGAAGCGTTACTTTTAACCTGAGCTCAACGGTAGTGTAATATAATTTATGCCATTATTGGCGTCGCAACGTAAGCGGTGCAGGTTTACGATTTATAACATTGATCAGACACGTGTTAGGTAGTATCACCCCGTCCCCTTTCCATTCAGATGACCACAACCATCGTTATTATCGCCATGTTCATCAGCATCATTCTTCGGTGCCCGTTGACAAATCGGTACGACTAGTTTTCAAAACCTTATGACCCACATGGCTAATAACAGCATTCGCGTACATAGTCATGTATGGGCGTCAACAGCCACCTTTAGCCTTTCCCGTTTTAGCAGCAGCAGCAACAACAACAATTGAATATCCGAAATGCTTCCAGCAAACCTTATTTTTGTGTACAGCTGGCAGTCATCCCAGCCTGCCCAGCGTACATTGGTCCGCTACGAGGATAAAATTGCTGTTTCTAATCGTCGTTCTAAATCAAACGGTAACTCTGTGCGTATGTGCAAATCTAAACCGAAACAAAATAGTCCATAACGCTACTGAAAGACTGTAGTATTAGTAACCTGCATGCCCATGTCGCTGTACGGCTGTACGTGGGTGTCTGTGTGTGTGTGTGGGGGTCTGAGTCAGCACATTTCGCGGCGGCACTAAGAACGGTAAAGTGGGTGCCAGTCGGAAGGTAATAGCCAACGTTTTCTTTGAGATCGACATAAAGAGATACATGGATATCTAGATAGGCGAAAGCGAAACAGTCTTTGATAGGGTCATTGATACAGATGGCATCGGAATGAAATTAATCAACAATCCCTATTACTAGGATGACTTTCACTGCCACGATGATCATTTATCCTTATATTACCCGAACATTAACTGACAGGTTTTCAACGTTGGAGGCACCCAGGAGTAGCCAAGTATAATCTGTAGTAAAGGGGGACACAAACGGAAGTACACAGCGTACTCAAAAATATAACCCAGAGACCCCATTCTCTATATGAAAAACTGCTTTCTTCATCGAAGTTAGTTACCACTGGTAGAAAAAGCCGGCATCACTGAAAGCGAGGTGATGATAACGGTCAGTTGAGAGTAAACAGACATACGACAGGAAGTTAGTTTAACAAGTCGTTGTTTTCTTTTCGTTTTAGGTAGACAGACGGCGGATAGATAGACCCGTTATGTTGGCCTATACACGACCTTTTACCAATAACCGACTACCAATACGAAACATTTTTGAGCAGTTTCCATCAAACTGTCGCTAGAATCGAAAATCCTAACTAGCTAATGCAACGATAAAGTTAGAGCGAGCGAGCGAGCGAGCGAGAGAGAGAGAGAGAGAGAGAGAGAGAACATTAACGGATATTGTCGTCGACACGCCTCATCATCTCAGTAGCACTAATGTACGATGTACACGCGTGTCAGACACTATAAAAGTATCCTTATCGACCCGATAAGATCTGACGACCACCGAAAGATACATATGTATGTAATGAGTGAATTCAGCAAGCAAATCACGAGTGCATGAGAATCAAGAGCTGGGCCGCTAGCCATCAGTCGACATACGGCCTACCCCGTTTCTCTGTCAGCTGCAGGAGACCTGTGGCTGGTGTAGCAATGCGGATGCAACCATTATTCCTATTGGGTAAAGAAGACAAACTCTATTAGTTCGCCAAGCAATGCACAGAGGCTCTCAGCTAAGGACTTAGGGTCGCTTAAAGCCATCAGCGATAGAGTGATGCAAAGAGTGCGCATACATACATATCTATGGCATGTACGTATTAGCACGTTCTAAAAACGGTTATGGCAGTCAAATAACGGTAGAAACGCAACAGTGACGTGAAGCGGATTGTGCACCAGCTAATAGCAATATCTTTTTTGTTATACAATTTCGCTTGTAAATCAATTATTCGCCGTGGTAGTCATGGAGTTCTAAACTAAATGCCTTGTGTGTGCATCGAAGAAGACCCCTGTTCATATGTTATGTTAACGCCAACTCTCTAACATGGGCTGAACGCTTAAAGGTACATCGTTATCGAAACTTACAAGCAATACATCCGACACAAATAACGATATATCTCCCAAAATTGACTTTATAACGAACGGATGACACTGTTATGCCTACTTATAAAAAGTACTTAGTGACGATACGGTCATCCTCATAAAAGAGATAATAAGACAGATTATAAGCTTTTTTTTTTAACTGTATGTGCCTGTTTGACCCTTTTCGGCTTTTCGGTGCTTTAAAATCTTGGAGCTTACGAGACTTTTAACTTAGAATCAACCTAGAATTTAAACCCTAAGATTATTTGCGTCTGCTATGTTTGAGCAATACAAGAAGGCGGTTACACATATTAATATCGGCGGCTTATTTATAGGTATTATTGAAAAGTATTTACAAACTATAAGAAGAATTTTCAAAAAGAAATTGTGACCAGTTTAGAACCTGACCTGAGGCCATGGTGATCGAATGGCAGCAACATACAGTGGACACTGCACGAGAGATGTCCTTTTCAGTTAATGGAAAAACCTTATTTAAGTACCTGTTTCTGAGTTGATGCGGCTAATTAACAAACTACAAACAAGCTATTTTTTTCTAAACTTCTAAATATGAGGCGAGCCTATAAAAACTGACAAGCGAACACAAGATACTAGTGTTGGAAAATACCACCTAGGACTGAGGATATAGGTTTGGCCTAAATACTTTCTCAAAGTTTCTCCTCACTTAAGTTGCCATCAGGGTCTGCCGTCACAAAAAGATTCATAATAAATAAATAACTGTAGTCACAAAAAACAATCGTTTCAATACTATCGTCAGCAAAGACCTCGCCATTTCTGATGCTGTAAATTGTACTCACACGATGCGTCGTCCACGGAGGCTGGAACGGCTATGCGGTAATTGAACGTAGGCTGCTACGCAAAGGGTGATAGGCCAGGGGTATAGGCACAAGGCGCCGACCACATAGGGCTTCTGTAATCAGAGTCACGGCACATCGAGACGATGTCGGGTTAGACCAATATACACCCCCACATGCGCAGATCGTATAAATACACACATAGAAGTATAATGAACAGCAAAACGCCACGAAATGCTCTACGCTAATAGCAGCACCTTGATTGCTCTAGTGCTCATGAGCCTTACCTAAATAACCTTTCTATCGTTTCTCTTGCGCTCTGCCGTTGTTGTTGCCCCCCTTTCGTATCTCAAGCTTTCTTTTCCTCTCTGCGCTCCTTCTGTCTTTCTTGCCCCTTCGTACCGGACGAACAAGGTCCCCCACATATACAGATTCGTACGTAATAAAACGAGCTGAATACGCCAGCTCCGCGTGGTGACTGAGACGAATCACATATAAAAAGCACGTTATATATATTCACTGACAGCCTATAATTACTGTATAAAAACATCCATATGAGAATAGGCGTGTACACATAGCACATAGAACGCTTTGTGTAATGATAATAACGCCCGTAGAGCAATAATACGATTTTAGTAGAAACAATTTCGTGCCGTATTTATACAACCGAGGGCACTTTCGGTTATGACATGAAAATCCTGATGAGGGACCGCGTACCTGCGTATTAAAAAGACTAGATCAGCTGAAGTGCAGTGAGATGTAGAAGCTCGCACCTACAGTTTAATAAGGGGGACAACCGCCGAGAAATGACCGTCAGACCATGGCGAAGCGTACTAAATGAGGTGAAGGGAGACGGCCTATCGCTGAACGCGTGGGAAGAAAGCGTTTGGCATTCGATTTCTACAGCGTTGTCACAGCTTTGTCCTTTCAGCTTTCTTTCATCGAACTGTTTCTAATGGAGGGAGTGGTTACCAAGATAAAGATATTACTGTTTCCACCGCCACGACGATGCAGCCGTATGGTTTGCCATCATCCCCTCCCGGAAAACACCAGCAGGTAAAGAGCAAAACTTTCCATCTGTACTTTGCCAATAGAGCTCACCTTATCAGCCGATGTTTGCATATTCATATATACGCACGTATATCACTTGAATAAGTTTCATACGGTAAATTAGACACACGAATTCTTTTCAATATTTCGACAATGATGCGTATTGCCGAAACGCGCCACTTGGAAAGGGTAGGTAACTTAAGATCAGCTCTCATTGCAGATTATCCGGTTTGTGAGCCTTTGATTATCGTTCACAGCATTTAGGATCATAGTTGATAGAATAATAATAGACATAAAATAAAAGTGCTAGACGTAAAATAACAATGGCTCGGCATTAATAATCGTTTCATAATTGACTTCAGCCTCCTTACGTCAACCGGAGCTATGCGGGTTTATGGTAGCTATGAAACTGTGCTTACAATACGCTCTCAATCACTACAAATACCGTACGTTCAATCATCGCTTCAACTGATAAACGTCTCATCTAAAAGACCTATTCAAGCGCCATACAATCAAAGCTCTTTCTTCCTTCATTGATTGTACTTACGGTGAAGCCGGTCAATATTCCGAAGACTAAAGGCGCCGTTGCTGCTTAAATAAATCCATCAAATTCGCTAGAAACTAGCAACAATTACCGGTTGTTATTATGATTTCTTTTAAACTAACATGCATATTTGCCTAAAGTCACGTTGCCTATCTGGATGACGATAAGCAGCATCACGATTTCGCCTATCGCGTTGTCATGCAAGGCCTCCCGCGTCCCGCAAGCATCAGCTATCAATAGGGTGACGTAACCGTAATATACAACGAATGCGAGATAATAAATGGATCAAGTAGCAATCTCAGAAACAATTATATATATACATATAATTGTTTTTTTCCAAATATAATTTTATAAACGTTAAGACTTAGTTTCATGGAGAAAAAAGCAAAACAATCTATGCCACTTGGCGCAAAGCTGTCTTCCATAACTTGCAAGAATTATTTTTAGGACATTATTACTGGATTGAGCACAAATGTACCTTGGACTTGAATATACTATCTAGTGGGGGATGCCGTTAATCTTAGGAAACTTCGAATCGGCGTAAACAAATCAATGTCGAGATACGCAACACACCCCATAAATTATCGCAGAAATGTCCTGAGAAATAAATTATACTGAAAGCCAGATAGAGACCTTGCTACACAAATATAATATATACGCTTTACAACGTGTCTCGATAAAGGTAGCGGCGTCCCACATAGTCTTCTCCGTCATTGCTGAGTGTTATTTCATCTTTTTTTTTTTTACTATAACTGTTATAACAGCTAAGCTTTATTGACAGCTTCCTTGTAGATGAATGACTTCATTGTTGATGATATGATTTAACGTTTACGATGTGTGGCAAAAAGTGTTCTGCCATTGCAAAGAGTTATCGTAGCGTAAAAACGTCGAGAAGAAATTTATCGCTTATAGCCTTCATCTATAATGACAAAATAAGGGATCCTCGTAGATCGTGGTGTGATTAACGTGCTGGTGTGCTTATCAGGAGTAGGTGGGACGTTCAGCAGTAAAGAAATAGTTAAAAATTCACTTTACGTTTTTTCGAACATTTATTGTTGATGTTGCGGTACGCAGGCCAATCATTTTATAATTAAGCCTTTCCTAACGAATACCTACATATAGTATTGGAGAGAGTTTAAATTATTCTTCGGTTGACGTTTTCTTTAATTTTTATAATTACTTTATTTGCCCATTACATTTTCAGTTTCAGAGACCGATATCACCTCGAATCGTCGCTATTCAAATCGAGTTGTTCGAGAGACCACTCAATCCGATACCTATGCATTTAACTTTCTCGTTTCATCTGTCACTTCTGCTCCGATTGATCGTCATCATTTTGCAACCACCTTTTCCGTACACTAAATACATTCACAAATCATGTCGATAAATGCTTAGGATAAAAACATAATAATAATAAATAGCACCCTTACAATGCTAGATACAGCAGATCAAGGGTGTTTGTAGTTCCATGAATTGCGGGCATTAGCTAGAGGTCAGAAATCGTTTTATCATATTACCTATAGGCCGTAAACGAATTTGAGGCTAAATAAAATGGGTATATATTTATGACCAAACTCACAATGCTAACGAATGTTTCAACTTCTCGATCAATTTGCGTATTCGCTTTCAGCTATAACGAGGACTTGCAACTGATGTTTGGCAAAAGTCCACCGAAGAGAAGCAACAGAATGAAGGGTCTCGTTTCTGTGGCCTTAAGGCGTGGATTCTGAGGAAAGAAGATGCTTCGCTTTTAATACAGTATTTAATTCGACTGAGGCAGAAAATGGCATATCAGCGTTAAGGCTGACTGCTAACTTAAATGCTTTGTGAAGACTTCATTTCGCTAGAACTAGAGCCCGTATCTTTCTAACATAGACGAAAACCATAGCCAGAAAACACGTGGCGAATCTATTCTAAACCGTCCGATTCCTTAATGTCCGATTTAATTTGGGTGAATATAAAAAATTAACGATTGTGTTTTACCGCTTTAGGTGGAGACATTAACTATGTCTAGTTTAACTACCAGATGAGCGATCGACAATTGTATCAGACGATTAAAGTCTTCTTCAAGGGTGGGTTCTGGTCTGGCAAAAGAAGGTCGTTGTTTTGCCCTCGACCGTAATGTGTTCCGCTATAATATGAGTAAAAAAAATGCACTACAATACAAAATAATCCTAATTCGTAACATTCTGAATCATGGAATGGATGAATGCTTTGTATCATCAACAAACCAGAAACGGTTAAATCGCTAGCTAGGCAACACAAAAACCTATGTATCATACCGAAATCGTACAAATAGCGGTCCATTAGAGGTTGGGCGTTTTGCATAAATGTTTTACATTACTAATACGTTTTATCAGAAACGCTCATTTCTGTAGCATATTACCAGCTCACAATGTAATTCAATACCTTACCCTTACGCTGGCCACAAATAGATCAACGGAAATGTCGCGTAATCAATTAAATCAAGCTTTTCATATAACGTTCTGAGTCTGGAATAACGTCGCAGTAGCGACTGATCCCTGGCAGTTTATGAGCGAATCCTCACTCAGTTGTTACTGTCTGTACTTGCCGTTGTTGTCGCACTGCAACGTATGATTTTTACAAAAAAAAACTTGAGAATATGTCGATATCATTTTCAAAGCATACCAGGTCTAAAGGCAAACGACCAGACATAGCGACGATGGTATACTTAAGATCTTTTCCAAAATAAAAAACACTATAAGAGACTCTGTAGCGAATCAGTTACTACTTCATCTGCCTCTAAATTATTATTATATAGGAGCATATTCCGCACTACTATGTTAAAATGTCTGCTCCAGCTTGGCTATAACATTGCAAAAGACTTTTACAAAAATTAACACATACATTCATATTTTATAGCACAAACAAAGTGGTTTGTTAAGCTATTAAAACAACAGCACCTGAGTCTAAATAATTCTGAGTAATACCACTAAAGCCTGTTTATCTGAACCAACACGGAATTAATCCTTCTAAGAAGCGCTTTTTCAACTTATAATTAATCCCTTTGTTTTCTCTATACCGGAATGCGATATTTGCATTCCTTTGAATGTATAGTATACTTTTGTCAGTTTCGAACATCGCTCATATGAACAAATAAATTAAATGGTCAGACAAAGACAATCTATTCACTACCCTCAAAGTAGGATAAGTATGATAAAAATTAACAAAAAAAAACATATAAGAAGATTTTTCTTTCAAAACGTCAAATCAGATAAAAACGAAACAACATCCACGCGCCTGTAGCGTATTCTTCAATAACAGTCATACTCAAACGGTTCAATTGACTAACTGCCTGATTAATACAACAAAATCACAGGACAGCCATTTAATCCCGTCCTATAAATTGGTTCTCACGATTAAATGGCGACCAGGTGACATAAAAGTGACCTCATTTTATTATAGATCTGTCTGTCTGTCTGCCTGCCTGCTAGCTATGGCTACTGCACAACAAGTACATACACAAATCTAACAACGATTTCGATGGTGCTTATACCGTTGCTTAATGATGACAAAGACAGTGGCGGCTGGTTGTTTGGATCTGAGAGAGTTGGAACAGCCGTGATACTGTATTAACAATGGCTTAGCAATAAAATTCAAACAGCTGACAACAGTCGGGATTTAAGATTTCAAGGAACACTGCTCCGGTCTTGGGCCAGATAATGATAGACAAAAGAACTCTGTAAGTGACAACTATCTGTTTTTGGCATTAGCTGGTTGCCGCTACAGGATGCGTGAACTTAAATGCGTAGCGGGGGAATTCATATTGGTAGAATTATGAATAAATCATTTGACAATAAAGGGCTGATTATAGAATTAGTAATTTTAGACGGTACAAGTTGAAAATTGTGTTACTGCACATTATCGGTTCCAGTGGACAGTTAAATAGCGTAGCGAACATAATAATTTGCGATAATGTGCAATGCACGTAGCTGGTTGTTTAAGGTGTCGTTACAGATTACCACACTTTCGGAATCTACCTTGATACGCACAAGCGACACTTAAACTTGCAGTGGAAAAAACTATATTCCTTCTGGATACTGGACAGGCATAAGCTGTATAAGAAAACTCTTTGATTAAACTACTTGTCTAACTGTAACGTTATTTAACTCGAAGTAAGCAGGCATCATAACAGGATTATCTATGTGGTTCTTTCGTTGTAGTTTATCTCCACTTGACGAAGTTAGTGCGAACCTTATAGAAGGCCCAGCCTAGAGACTGAAAGGGCTTGGTCGTATAGTAGCACATTTTACCAAAGCGTACGACTGAACAATGTTAATAGAGGAATCTGATTATGATCTCTTAATATTCATTTTCCGACATACGTTAGAGCGAATTCCTGACTACGCTATATCCCAAATTTAAACCAGATTCGTCTGACTTGAGCCTTCGCTTGCAAAGGTTTCTAGCCTTTCAACACGCTTTTACACGCAGGTATACTAATATCCTTCCAAAATAATAATAATGGAAAACGCCACTCGTGACACAGGCTATTGTCCTTGTCTGCTATTGACCGTAGATTAAGAACAAGTAAACTCGAAATCAAATCGTTACACCACGACGTACAGCAAGCGGTTGCGAGGCATTTTCAACTGGCTCATAGGAGAGACAGAGACGGTACTGGCAACAAAATCATCTTTTCAAAGATAGTAGTGTCTGCTTCCTTTCCGCTGTTAGATAGTAGTACTGGTAATGAGGATAACATCGTCGTATGAGCTTGTTGCTCTACAGTGACGGTCATATCAACTGCGAGGACGGGGTGAGGAAATAACTAGAGTGCGGAGCGGTCATGACTATCACCCATGTGGCTGTCGCGCGTACTGCTATCACGCCATCCATCCCGAGAAGGGAGGTTGCATTGGCCACTACGTAGCTATAAACAGACCGACATATGGGTCCTGTTTAGTTCAATTTAACACAGTCCTATTTTCTTTACACGCCATTTCCTAACAAGCCCTTGTCGCCCACGGTCGGCCATTTTCGTATGCACAGCGCGGCCGTCACTATCATCGTCTAGCTTCGAAAAGAACACTAAAAATAAAACCGGATGGACTCGGTTCAACGATACCAACATCGAAGATCGGGGCTTCAAGATGAGTTGTGGCAGTGGTCGTTGTTCGATAGTGTCAAGTACAACGGCGAGCTCGGTCTGCATTGGTGTTCTCAGGTTCTCTGAACGCGCCGATACGTCAGGCGACGCCACTGAGTGGTTAGGACCGACATCGAGAGAATCAGGCGCGTTAGCGATCACACCTCAGGGAACAGATACAGAGACGTGCGACCTTCAGCAACGCAGTACGTGAAACGCAAGATTTTTCGATGATTCGAAACATCCCCCAATAGCTCACGACGGCCTCGACGTAAACAGACCGAGACGGCTATGGCTTACCGTTAAGCCATGACAACGTTCACAACTCTGCTAATACGCTAGCTGTATTCAACTGCCGCTGTATGTGGCATTCGCCGTAAAAAGAGCGAAACAGAGATGGCACAAAAGCAAGAGTTCGGCATCCTGAGTTCCTCGTTCGTGCCGCCGCTCGTTGTCATGTGAGCATTTATCAGGCGATAATGAATCAGCCACTGAAGACCGATCAGCGACCGGCTTACGGACCATCCGGCCTCTACCTATAACAGCATTATCCCCGTCGCTGCCTTTACACTAATTTCTCTCTTGATCTGTAATACTTATCTTCTAATCCAATAACCGGCAAACAACAAGAACAAAGTACCGAACACAGCACCGATGTATTACTATTCCGGCAATGGCCGATGCTCGAGCGCGATGACAAGAAGCGGCGGCGGTGAGTGAACCCAGGCGAAGGAGTGTACGACGACCACTCGCTGGCTGGCTACCGGCAGCACTGATGCTACCTCTGTAGCGGCCCTCAAGGTTGTTCGTTTGTAGAGCAACGAGGCAGCACTACCGACAGACAATACTGAAGAATAATGGCGGTTTGCCCCCCGACCTAAACGTTCGACTGCCAGTCCACACCATTTTGTTGGCTTTGCTTGGTTCTGCTTTTGGCGTGGTAGCTTCTTCCCTATCTAACGTCATCGCCTAACCTCCGTGATCCTTAGATGCAGCGACAACGTGATGCCTGTCGGCTGGTTAAACGCAACGAGCGCATGAGCAACTAGCAACAGCGTACACGACGATTTTATCGCGGTAACAGCACCTTAATATCACGCCGTACGAACTATGCCTAGCGCAACACGATGTATAGACAATGACAGTCGTTTAGCAGCCACTATAAGCTCAAATTAATTAATTTATTTCAAGCAGTCACCACGTACAGTAATAATTAAGTTCTCATAATTTTCCGTAGACTTATTTATTTTACAGTCCACTTTTTTTGATCCATAAAGCGAACGATCAGAACAGACTTCTATGGCTGTTGACTCGTGGGACACGTATTAACTCATAGTAACATAAAAAATAAAAATACGATACACAACTCGCACGAGTTAGGTACGATGTTTCTGTAATCGATATCGTCAATTTCTACTAAAATCCTGGAAACATAATAATATAATGATGTTCTGGAGAATAGATTTAGTCATAGCTCGTCGTCCGCAATTTTCAAGAAAAAATCTAGCTTACGAAGGATTTTCTCAAAAACTTCTATAAGCAAATTAGCACTATAGGTAGAATAAATCAACGTAAGAAATACTACCATCTTGCGCAGAAGGAACGCTGAAACGTCTGCTTTCACTTTAAACAAAACGAAAAATGCAACAATTTGCAACCGATGGCCGAACAGGCTTGTAGCCTAAATGATTTTTCGGGGTTTTTACATCTAGGGTAAATCCATATAAAGCAAATGACGTGTTTGAAACCAAATGGAGTTCGTGCCAACGATAGCCTAACATTTTTACCATAGACTCTGATGCTGGTAGCTGAATAGTGAGAGCAACGGTTTTTTGTTGACCCTAACGCTGAATAATAGAAATATCAATATAATGACAACTATGCTGTTAGGATAGAAATGGTAGTGAGCTATACTTGAATATTACTAGGTGAGAGTGGATATGAAGGCCAAAGACAGTAATAGCAACCACATCCTGTTGTATAATGCCGGCGCGAGCCGTTTTCGTTTCTTTCTCAACGCGTTCCAGCGTTTAAAGGCAAGCTATTTATACTTTTCTCTTTTGCCCGTCTATGTACAGATTGTGCGTATATCTATTTATCCACTGATCTCGCTTTTGTCTTCCGCACTTATTTGATTTAAACGACTGACTCAACCCGATAATATACTTGTTTGTATCCTCGTAACCTCGTTCCTTAACACATCATTCCTGAATATAGTCCTAAGTGTAACATATTTTATGAAAACATAATTACTGCTATTGATATATAAATGAGATATACGAAAAATATTCATATTCATTGTCCTTATGCAAATACTGACATAAAGTTCGCTTACTGGCATTACACACTTTTTCCCTATGCTAGTGTGGTGATCTGAGACAACTTAACAATTCGCGATCATTTGCTTTCATATAACACTGTACCATTTGCATAGTTGGGTTAGTGCCACCCATCCTCAATCTATACAGGTAAACGCCTCAAGGTTTCTCCCCCACATTTAAACCCCTCACATCTAGACCTTACCATTTGAACCTCCTACTTCACATGAACGTTTACTAGACTCCCGTTTCTCATCGACTTTGGGCGTTTGTTGTTGTGTTAGACTCTACGCGTCCAAGGACTGACCTCGGATGGAGTCCTTTTTTACCGAGAACGTCTCGGCACGAACGCCAGTGCTACAACTGCACCGTGCCGACCACCAACTGCCGCTGTTAATCTGACTAGCAGCCGTGCTTCTACTTGTCGGTCGCTTTCGAGAACCCTACTTCCCCAATAGCGCTACCTGACTACTATTAATTAAAATATTCGGTACAATTATGTTTGTTGTTGCGGTTATTTTAGTTTTATCTTTGCCACTAACATCATAGCAACCGCGACGATCACTTGCAACATTGACGCGCGTCCATGATTTGTCTCCATAGGCCACAGCGAAAGCTGGAACCAACAAACAAACCGGTCCTATTGAGAGTGGGGATTGGCTGCAGCAGGGCGCTGCGTGTTCATTCGTCAGCCGGGCCTGCCGCTTTTCTCGTTCGCTTGCGGTGGTCCCTCCATCATGATGTCTTCGCGTATCGTCGATCCATAAGTGGCAGCGCCAATGGTCACAGCTTGTTCCTGGCCGATGGCTGCTCACTCTCGCGGACTTTGCACCCGCACGGTGGAGATTGTTACCGCTGCTGTCGTTCTACAGCAGCCTCAGCAGCGCATTCGTCGTCAAGAACAACGAAAAATCAGCAAACAACACGGCCTTTCGCTTCCGTGTAGTCTTGCAACATTATCTTACCTCATCTGCTTTACATTTCTGCTCTAGCTGGCTTCGAGCCTCAAACCTAGTTCAAGGAAACATGCATAGATACGATCCTAATATTCGTTTACTATGCATGCTCTCAAACACTCCCAGCATAAGCTATCCGTGGTATCCGAATCGCTCTCGTTTTATCTGACCCGTTGTACTCTACTTCCATTGAATACACTTACTTACCCGAGTCCGTAACTTATTTCCACTACTGGGTCAGAGCCCTGCTCTTTTGTACGAATTGAAAGAACTCCTCTATGTGATTGTACTAATAAGATCTCGTAAGATTCGTTTATGATCCCGCTGACACTCGTCGTCGTTTACAATGACACTGCGCACAGCCTCGTATGACTAAAAAGCTGTACTCTTTCTTTTCTCGATGTCAACTACGACATGAATAAATCTCCCTTCTGTTCTCGTCGTTGGCCGTCGTCGTTTTTGTCGAGTTACACCTTAAGGTATTCGAAAACACGCTACCTCGTCTGCTTTATTTCTGTTGCTGCCTTCTGTATGTTGTTTCCGTTTCATCATCAACAACGACAATAGCGGCAGCAGCGCCTACGGCAGTAGCAGCACGAACGAAGAAGACATAAAACGGGCAGGTGTTGTAGATACACAAAATGCACGCATTCACACACACACACACAGAAAAGCGGAGGTTCACGCGCTCTTGTTCCTGTTGCTGTTAGATAGGCACATCTACCTTTTTTTGTTGACTTTAATGCAGTCAAAACTGGCAATGGCGATGTCGATTTCTCTGGTTGCTTGTCCGTTTCCTTTACGTTGTCGCCGTCGACGACGACGACGAGCACTGCCGCGACGTTGGCCAGCGGCTCGAAGATCAATACCAACACGAAGACGACGATGCGAGCCTAATGCAACAACAACAACATCATCGACAATAACAACAACAAAACAGTGTTTGTGTTGTTCGTTCAGTCGTAGATCTCTCCCCCTCCCAGAAAATGTGCAGCAGCGGTGGCACGCACGCACCAACAGCAATTGCCTGCCAGCCAGTCAGAATCAGCAGGAGGAAAGCGCAAAGAGCCGAGGGCCTGTTTGGCCCACAATATCAACAGACAGCCACAGCAAATCAGCTCGGACTGATAATCTGCTGCTGCTGCTGCTGTTGTTGTCCTCCGTACGAACGAACGACGGTGACGTCGACTATAACTAGAAAAACTATAAGCATTACTGCAGCGTTTAATGCGGTGCCAGCTCCACTGTAATGACGGCGACAGCAGCAGCAGCAGCAAAAGTTGTTGTAGCTTGGAACTATGCTGCTGCCACCAACCGCCCTCAGTTCTGCGCCGTCCGATGATTCGACCGTTGCCGCAACGCTATGACGGCGGGGTAGTGCGGTCAGACAGAACAAGACGGACAGCCGAACGTACAGAGCCGACTAACGGATAGGAGAGACACAGACGAATGGATGAATAATAACATGTATTACCAGCAGTCCTCCTCTCGTTGCCGGTCCAGCCCCGCCAGAAAGTAAACGATGTCTGCGCGGCCAGAAACCAGCAGCAGCGGCTGCAGCAGCAATGAGGCTTTTCTGCACGACGGTTTCTTCTTGCACTTTTTCTTTTTCTTCATGCTTAACGGGCCGGACCCGGTCAAGTCGGCCAACCAGACAATAAACAACTACTACTGCAGCGCTGTAGGTGTTGTTGCCGCCGCCACCGCCGTAGCGGCTACCGGCTGCTGCTCTCCAGTTAGTGTCACCAGTAGCAATGCAACAATCACATAGCACTGCTATCGTCAAGGCAATTGTCTGCCTATAGACTATCACTAAGAGCTAGAGCGAACAAAAAAATGAACGCTAAAGCTCTCTTTGTCGAAACGACCACTACTGCGAGCCGTTGCTACCGCTGCTGTCGTTACAGCGCAGTTGCTTCTATTGATATCTTCGGAAACCGTCGTTGCCTAAAACCATTGCGTTGTTGCTTCAGCCCGGTTCGCAGTTTCTGCGCTCTCTGGGTGAGGTCCAACGGTTAGTGCGTGGCTGGCTGCCAGTTCGACAATAAATCTACCATGGCAGGAAGGGCGACACGCATCGCAAACAAAAACAACACACACCACGGTTGGAGCGGAAGGTAGACAGAGTCGTCACAACGCGCCACCACGGTACGCAGTAAGCCCTGCTTTATCTCGAGACAGCTATGCAGCCCAAGAGTCTGGAAAGTGTTTACGCCGTATAAGGCAAACTAGCAGCGCATCTAGCGAAATTTATTTCTGGAAGGAGCTCCGAAGCACTAATATTAATTATCGCTGAAAAGATATCAGGTCGCGTAGATCAGAAACGAAATGAAAAAATAAACATAAGAACTGCATAATCTCTCGTACCGTCGAACTGCCGCCGGCAGATTCTTCGAACCGTTCGCTTCCGCTCGCTACTCACTCACAGGTGCTGCTGATATAATAGTACATAGGCAGCATGACCAGTTCACATTAGTGATACTTGAATCAAAGCCAAATCCGGATTAACACTTGCACCAGTCCTCACCAATAATTTTACACTAAACACAAAACTATAGATCTACAACTATCAAGTAGCGTCCGCTAATTCATTTGTTGGCATTGTATCGCCCGCTTTTGTTCGTACCCGCTAGTCTTCGTTCCTGCAGCAGTCAACGAGTAAAGTCGGCGAACCCTCCTTTTGAAGACAACATGGCATCACCTCGTAACACCAGGTCACGCATACGCTGACGCATGGGAGAGTGCTGGTAATATCAAGCGCGGAATTTATCCGGTTACCTATCCAAGGTAACTGACAGCTACTACGTCCCGAGACCGCAAGCGGTAACGGTAGCAGTAGCTAGAGCATTATTAGAAACTAGCAAACTTACATATACGTTATATTCTCTTTATGTGACATTGTCAACAGGCTGTGCAAGACATGAGTGTTGATGAGAATGCCAAGTAGGGGGAGGCAGGGGGGCGGGGGTTTATAATACTGCCTCCTCACTTTGATATCACAGTGCTCTGCAGAAGCTCTACGGAGGGTCAAAGCAGTATTTTTCCTTGTCGAAGGTATTTTTCAGGTTGCTCATGCACTCACTGCTCTGACAAGCAGTTGACAGAGGCAGCAGCGGTAATATTTCCGCTGCTACCTCTGCCTATGGAAGAGAACCGGCTGTCTTACCTAATATTGTTCTATAACTATTATTAAACATTTATTTCTCTGTGATATAAATGAGACAGACAGACAGACAGACAGACAAGCAGAAAAATGAAGAACACACTTACAGTCAGTCTGAGAGGCAGCCAAAGCGTTAGTCGGTGAATCGCGGCATAGCCGCTGCGTCAGCAGCAGTAATGGAGCAACGCGAAGACGACGTGAATCGAGGAAAAGGGTTGATGCTATTTTTGGAAAGCAAACAGAGTGAGCAGCCGGTGCCTCTATAGCCGGGGCAGTAGCTGCTTTTACGGAGACTAGAGTAACGATTGCAATCGCTCGTTCCATGTTGCTCTCTACCGTTGTTGCTTCAGTAGCTGAAGCAGAGCTAGTCGCGGACGTACGCCACCGGTGCTGCCGGGCGAAGCCCTTATAGAGGACGCCACAAAACGAACAGCGAACGCTGCTGCGGCGGCTCCACTACCGCCTGCGAACGCTAACGACAGTGATAATATAAAACGTACATAAATAACGTTTATTGAGTTGGACTCGCCTGACCCAGTGGTATATCATCATGGGACGGACCCCTGAAGCAGTAATTGCAGCTAGCAAAGGTAGCAAAAGCTGCTGCAATTATAGCAGCGGTAAAAAGCGAGTTAGCTTAGCTGCAACCGTTGGTGTTGCCATAGGCGCTAACGGACTTTAGTAAACCCGTGCGGAGTTCAGTAAAACGACTTATAGGAAAGCCATGCTTAGACTCATACAAACACTCATGCAAACAAGCAAACACAATCTTGAGCATTTCGACACAACACCCAAAGAAGGCTTACGGGGCCGTGCGCTCTAATGCCTACAACATCGATATCGGCAAAAAGATTACTTTATTTAATCACAGCTGTCGTGTTATATGCTGTTGACCGGACTTGAGCCAGCGGCCTCTGGTTTCTCTGCCAGAAAGCTAACCATCCAAACCACAATGCTGACAGTTCAAAAATAGCGATGATGCGACAGGAAAAGATAGAAAGGGAGAGATAGACTCTGTGTATGAGAACGAACATGAGAGAAAACATAAGTGTAATCGACAGGAATGAAAAAAAAGATGTGTCCAAAAATATTCCCTCTTAAGAAGCGTTTAGCGGTTCGATTGGATGCATGTGATGTCCGTTAAGATTTTGTGCCTGTAGCGAAGTTTTGTTTCAACAGTCAATTACAATTGGAACACCAATTGTAGTTGACTGTTAAAACAGTAACTGCGTTACAAGGTGTACACCACAAAGTCATCTCCTTGCTCGACGATAATCCGTGGATAAAAATGGGACCCGTTTGAGACGATTCGGCTGATGATAATGGCCAGGACGCTGTCAGGCTGAATGGAGGAACAGCTGATAAAGCCGGAGGGTGGCGATCTTCAGATGCACTGTTGACAAAACGTTATACCTAAATGGTGTCAACAACGAACGCACTGGATTTATACTTAGAAATATTTGTGACCTATATCTCAAATAGTAGGCATATTTAAGTTACTTATAATTCGTACTCAGCTATACTTCATGGTACGTTCGTCAAGTTCAACTTTCTCAAATGTCTGATATTGTGCTCGTTTATCATCTACCCTATTGTGTAATACTTCGTGTTCAAGGAAGCTTCAGATTAGTCGATTTACACAGGTATCTCTCGTGATAAACTTACTCGTAAGTATTTTAACATCTAAACCAAATTGATTTTAATTATTTGGGTAACAATGATGGTAGATTACAACGGCTTGGATCGACTAAATCTATATTTTTCTGGCACTAGCTTCATGATGTAAAGCTCTACTAAGATGATTTATTTCATTGACGTTTGTTAACCCACGACTAAATGGCAAACTGCTGGAAATAATGTATCATCGAATTTCAATGTCGGTAAATTAACGTCACTAAGTTATCAATGCAAACTCTTGAAACAACTAGTCGTTGCGTCGCCACTTAAAAATGTTCGCAATGCTGTATTACCCTATTGTGATATAGTCACAAAAAAGTTACAGTATAGAAGTTGTAATAGACTAACTAATATGGTGCAAATACACATGTCAAGAGTTATACAAGCTTGTTGTCTGATGGGATGCCTAACGGCGATGTTGGACATTAGCTTAAAACAATTTTTGGATATACAAGCGCAGAGCAAGTAACTGTGAAGTAGATGTCGCTGCCGGCCAAGGATAAAGCTAAACAAGCTCGTTTCATTTTGGGGGCAGCGATGGCATGGTTGGCGATATGAACACGTTTCGGAGCCGACTTGTCAAGTACCTAGGTGACTGGATGGCGTTGCCAGAAGTCCGAGCAAAGAAATAAATCGAAAGCTTGAGCGCCTACGTAACGATCGCGAACAGTCAACCGACCAAATGATATCAAAAGTGCGACTACACCTGCAAAATATCGTTCGAGTGTAATTCGACTCGCAGGCATGAGAAGCGACTACATGAAACGGCTTCAGGAATGAACTATAAGACTACTTTTCTCCAAAGAAAACCGGGTTGCCTAAATCGTTCTTTCGTCATAACAGAGAGGACGTTTAAACGTTCCAAAGATTTGTGTGTTGACCGAGACGTGCCGCGTAAGCTGGGAGTCAAGCTTGAGTTCATTGTTTTTGGCTAACTTTCAAGGCATCGCGAAATTAACTACTTTCGCTAGCTTTGTTACAGCAGCAAGAGTAAATACCTACGTCAAGTTGGTCGAGTAGTTTCATACTATACGACGTAGAAACCCGATGCCTGCATCCAGAACCATACTCAGCAAGAGGCGAACACGTGTAGCTGTTTCGAAAGAGGGTATGTAAACGAGTAACGTCCGTAAACAAACCAGAATGGAAGACATTAGCTACGTTAGCCTATAATCATCGTGATAGATTACCGGGTGACGTATTTGCCTGCTCTGATACAATGTCTAACGGCAACACCGGACGTAAAAACTTGAAACAGAAGCTGGAATGCCTAAAGGCCGTACCACGGACCGGCCAACCTATGTGTCCGCCATTAAAAATGCCACTTTGTGCCTCAATAATGTGCTGGCATGGTAAGCCACGATAGTGCAGGTAGGTGGTTTGCCCTTAATTAAGGCACACTATACCGGACTATTAAAACCTGCCGAAGTGTTATTTAGTAGTAGCATTTCCAATATGTCACCAAAACCACCGAGACGTGAACATGATTGTACACTGTTCAATGAGGTACAATTTTCTGGACAGAAAGCACGTTAGTTTCACAGCGGGTGCCATGTGTGTCGGATCCGCAGTTATCGCAAAAAATGTGGAAATCGACTCTGTTGGATAGTGTGCACAGTCGCAATCACAACGGACGCTGGGAAACACAAACTGTGCTTCAAAACGGCGAAAAATCTGGTTGTGAGCTTGCTGTCTGGTGAGCTTGGTAGAGCGCCACTAATGGCTTCCAATACAGAAACTTGTGAAAGGATATAAGCGCAAAGCGAGTGGATGTAATTCCTGCCAACTAATAACAATCTAAGTCAGTCCGCTTGAGCATATATAAAAGTGAATGACGTGTTCTGGTCGGGCTTGTTTTAAATATATGAAATTGTAAATATACGAAAAAGGCGAGAAGACAGAATTTGGCTTCTACAATCTCTCTACAAATGCAGATCAATCATGATAAAAAAAGCACCATCCTATCACAGCTAAAAAGAAGTACGAGTACAGAACAATAAACCAAAATTTAATGTTTCCATTTTTATTGAAATTTCCAACTGAGTTCATCTATAAGAATTAATTAACTCCGATTAACTTCGGTGACTTAAATGTCCATAGGTTCAGCTTCCGAAGTCGTTCGAACGACGTTGCTCTCTATGTCGAATGGAATCACCTATAATAAAACTCGACACATAGCTCTTTTCATTATAGAGACTGATAAGGCGGGAATACAACAAAAAATCGCAGTAAATACACACACGAAGTTTTTTGACATGTCATTTGTCACTTAACGTCGGTTACTCGAAGCAAGCGATCTACAAAGCTTTCGACATTCATTCGGTCGAAATGGTCACTCAAATTCAATTCACGTAGTACTGAACCTAATACAGGCTCAGTACTACGTGAATTGAATTTTATTAAATTATTAAATTTTATTAAAAACAGTTACATTGCCGTGCTTTAATATTCTATCGTAGGTCGAACATTGTTACAGTAGATTTCAGCTGTCCAATTTGTCAAACGATACTGAGCACCTAAGGACACGGTACACGACAAAGTTCACTGAGTGTAACCATAATCGCTTTACGTGACATCTGCCATGCACCGCATCGGTAAACGCTCAATATTGTTATGTAAAACCAACAAGTAACCGAAGTCTACCGCCCGTTGTTAGATATCAACTGATTCTGCTTGAATGATCAGATATGATGAAGGCAAGCACGGAAATCAACGTCACAAAAAACAAGTGTGACGTTGAGGCCCCAAAGTAAAGGCTTTCAAAGAGAAAATGAAAACTTGCCTTAGTTTCAATAACTCTAGTCGTCCCCTTCGCATAGCTGTAAATTCCGGCGTGCTCGCCCTTTTCCTGAATAACCTCATACGGGCGCAGGATCTGAGCGCCTGCCTGCGTAATCACTACAAGATCAGCATTTGAACCCGAAGCCAAGTCATTCATTATGCCAGATGCCAAGGCGTCACGGCATAACTTTTTTGCTGCTTCTAGCTCTGTAATGGGACAGTAAACACGCAATTATTCGCAGAACTCCGAACTCTATTTTCCCCTTCCTTTTTCACGAGGGGAAGCTTAGAGGAACCGATTCGCGTTGATAATGATGCTAAGTGAAAACAGTCCTCGTTCACTGTGCTATGTGCATATTAGGCATTCCGCATAGCGTTACACAGTTCGAACAACATTTCACCACATTACCACACATTAGCCACCGTCAATTAATCACTTCAGAAATAACATACCCTATGCTTTACACCACCAAAATTACTAAACGTTCAACCGTACCCATGTCAGGTTGCCACCCCAGCTCGAGGACGGTGATTGCGTTTAGACATCCGGAGCCCATTGTCAAGTACGGTAGCTCCATCGTAAAGCCGTGAGGACTGATCGAGTGCAGATGGGGTCCCGTTGAATCAACGCCTCCAATAATCAGGGCACATCCGACATGACCTGCACAAACGAGACAGGTTATCAAACATTAAGCTCAACATTGTCTGCAATGGTCTTACTAATTGAAATATAGGATCTACTCGAATAATCTTAAACAACCGGTTTTTTTTTTATAGTCCAATCATGTAACGTAAAACTGCGCTCATGCATATTTGAGCCGTGCAATCTAGCATAACAAAAATAACAACGTCCTTCTTGTACATCTAGCCTCTTGTAATTCAATAGTTATTAATAACTAGGTTTACCCCAGACTACTCATATCCGGCAATCTGAACGATTGCGCGCACATTAAGCAGCACGAAATCGTAGCTGCTGTCTTAAGAATTAAAGAAAACTAGACAGACACCTTCTGTCTAATCTAACATAATTTTTTCCAGGAACTAGAATCTTGGAAATCATGAATATGTCCTCTTTTAAGACCCGAAGCAGCCTCTTTACGCAAACCTTTAAGCATTGTACCCCTTACGAGCTTGTACTTCGTATTATTTAAGTACTCTGCGACACGCTAGCGAGTTATTAGGTTAAATTTATTAACTGGCCATTGAATATTGTTGTAGAGTCGACTAAGAACAATTCAGTGGAAAGGTTTATCCCTACCTTGGTATCGGAAGAGATACTGCTTGAGAATTCGAACCAAGGTGCAAACACGCGGTTCACGTCCAGTGTTCAACGCGTGAAGCGCTAACTGAGAGCTGATCATTTTGTTCACCATACTGCAGTCTGCAGCGGTACCTGCGCCTGCACAACTAGAAGAAATAATAATTTCGGTTAAACACAATTCCAATTTCTGTAACGTAAAAGTTAAAATTGACTAAAGGAATTCGATTATTCGAGACATGTGCTAAACGAAACTTCGAGAATTTATACCAATTTCGTAGTCAAACCAAAATTGTAGAGCCGACATTTACTGCTATGTGCATCACTCACAGAAGATACCTTTATGTTGGTACTCATATTCAATTTCAAATGATTCAACCATTTCTGGTGGCAAACAAACTACTAATCGTGAACCATCCGACCAGAAGCGAAAAGTTCCGATGTCTAACCGAATATATTCAACACAATTTCAGGCCAAGTATTAGGAAACCATTGATCAAAAACGCATGGTGAATAAATTAATAGGGAAAGTTAAATCGCAGTTCAGCTCTTCCGCAAGCACTTACTATATCTTCTTATGCATATAGTGCAGCTTTTTGCAATTTTTCGTGGCCACAATGTTGCCAGATGTCGCACGCGTATCAGAACCCAGAATCACGCCGTCCTTGTAGACAACACCTGTAGCAACAAAAGCTAATAGTAAGCAGTTTTCTGATGATTAAATTAGTATTAAACCAACAGTAAACTCCATTACAACCTCGCAATTGGTGCAGCCTACATCGAACTTAAACATTAAATAAAAATCATCGCTGTTTGGGCAAGTTCGTCCAGTTCTCCTTATGCAACTTCAAGCACATCACGTGCTATTTAACTATAGATAAATAAAATGGTCACCGAAAGGTCAGTTAGGAATCAAACTTACACACTTTTGTTTTAATTTAGTGCAAATTGTGTCAACTATAATACACAGTTACCGTCCCGTTTATTTCCACTTGTCAGGGATTGCATGTTAGCGTATCTCTTACCGAACCGCGTAACATCCTGGCATAAACAGCGCGTTGCATTGTAAATGATGTAAGTATTTCTATTTCTAACTTGTTATTGTCAGGTGAGCGACGCAGCTAAACACGCTATTCGTATCGTGCTAAATACATTAAACCTAAATAGAGCTGAGTTAATAATTTTCAAGAAACTTTACCCGTTGCCAAGCAAGCGATTTGTTTTCATCGTAAAAGGACTGAATTCGAGTTCTAGTCAAAACGTACACATTCCAGGACATAAAATATTAAACAAAAAAAAGCAACAGACTTGTGTTTCGCGGCTGACATAACGCGTGTGTGCGCGTGCGCATGAATAATTACAGCAGCGCCGAAAAACCTTAAATTTCGCCCATTCGTCAACGGTACACATTCACGAATTGAATTACGAGACCCGCAAGTAAATCCGTGGAATAATTTTAAAAGCCAGAAAAGCAACAGTTTAAATACTTGAGGACTAGTTTTTTTTTACAACTAAGCCGCATCAGCTCGTCGCATCTTTTAGTGATTAACTCACAACTTATTATACTTAAATATACGTGACTAACAATGCTACCACTCCAACATATAAGTTCTAATAATACCAATACACGCTAGTTACAGACCGACAATCGTAGTTCCTGTTTTCATCGCTTTGGGTATAGAAGTGCCTTTCGCTGCAAGGAACTCATTGCTGAAAGCCAAATAATGTCTAAATTAGATGATGCTCATAGAGTTGAAAAGCAGCTGTTCAGTTTAAACCTATTCCCATGATACAATTTCGACTTTTTTTTCAACACGTTCCCACCAGGCATCAAGGGCTTTAAACTACATAAACATCGACATTCTAAAAATAAACCAGTTTCTAAGGATAATTGATCTTCTATAAACAGGATCTTCTAACAAGCATACAAAAGACAAACAAAAAAAAAAGGCTTCCTTTACTGACGTTAAAACTAACCACGTCGGCAGAACTACTTAATAAACTCTGGCAACTTTGCGAAGACTGTGCGAACCTTACCGTTTGCAATTTTCGAAGGAAAAGCCTCTTGGGGGTAACTCTGGGGCCAAAACTGAAGCCATTCCAACACTTCGATTTCGAGTTTATCACGGACAAGCGACTCACACCCAAGCACAAACACAGCTGAATCGCACCGTCACTGGCAAGTCGTCTGCTGCTGCTGTGGGTAAACAAGGATGAATGATGGCATGATTATTCAAGTCACAGCGCGCGAAAATTCGTATATTCCATGTTAGAAACATTGCTCCATATTCGCGGGAAATAGCGAAGTCATAAAACTCATAGTGCCGCTATGCAAATGCTTAGCACATTCGTCACGGAACGATATGGCATCGATGTGAACAGACAAAACAAGCTATAACAATCCATACATGGTCAATCACTCGCTCCCGAATTACTGCCGTAAATCCAGTCTATGTAGTGGCGGTTACTCGTAAAGAAACGCTGATATGGGCACGTCACTATCTTTTCAATTGAATCGCTTTCAGGTCTATGAACTGCTGACAGCTGGTACCGTTACATCAAAAGCTTCAACAGATTAATTGCGTCTATGGCATCACCATCTTAAGGCAAATAATGACGATTTTTCAAAAAAAGCAAATACTGGGGAGAACGAAAGCAAATGGCAAGTCATTTAGGTTCTGGACAGCTGTCAGAATTACCAACTAGTTTTTAGGGGAATCAAGAGAATCTGTACGAGGGCAGCGTTCTGTGAGGTTCCCCGTTGCTTCATTACGATGATCTAACTTGTCCCACGGCGCTTACTTGCTAACATCGCTTTATGATTATCGCTGTAGAAATATTAGCCTTCGTTGTCTACATTGTTTCACTATTCACTTGTTTGTTTATCACAAATGTCAGTACTCTTTCAAGGTTGGTTGCTTCGGCTAAGTGAATGACAGCTGGCCATAAGACAAGTAAGGCTTTATTTTTAATACTTACTCAAAAACCACTAACTGAGATAAATGCACTCTTAAAGGCATTACGATATCTGTGCTTCAGAAGTTTTTAGTGGAACTAAATATACACGTAAAAGTTTATATGTGTTTGTTTAGAAATGGCCTGGTGAAGCGGAAATACTGTAACGTTAAATGAGACATATTTGGTTATTGTCTCGATGCGAGTCCATGATTTCGAAAGCATTGAATTGTAAACATCGTCTTATTTGTCAAACATTTCACAACTCTCATGAAACGGGTGCCTTTCTATGACTGAATGAAATTTCATTGTTGCAGCTATTGCTTTGATATTGTATAATACGATATATGCCTTAGGGCATTATGTCTTCTACTTTACTTTTAGAAAATAGGTTTTTCAACGGGAAATTTTTTGAAGACTGGTGCAATGCATCAAACGTAAACAGAAATCGTTACGTTTGATTTAGTTTCGAGTATAGCTGTCCACAGTTTAACTGAAATTCGATATAAAAGACAAGTGTTCACCGAAGTCACACCGAAACTGTAGGTGTTTTCAGATGCGGTAGTTAATTCGGTTTTTACCTGCCTCGATTCAATCTATCCTTGTGTTTGCAATTACAGACAGCAAGGGCCTTATATTCCAATGCGTGAGAACGTTTCAAAGCATGCTTTCCCATCAATCATTCGATTTTCAGTCTTTGTAGGTACTCAATCATCTAGATGATTGCCTTCTGCTTAACAAAGAGTATTCAATTGATTCGGTTTTCCGCAATACATCATATTCGTTCCGACTGGCTTGCTTCGTCACTCTGCTTGTGTACATTCTTTGAACTCAAGTGACACTTGAACGTGCGCTTAGTATTCATATGATGATGTGATGTAACGGAGTTGCCCCATTCCTATCTCTCTAATCCTAGGGCTCGTACTAAAGCTTATGAATTTCACCAATTCGATGCGATAGTAGAGATTCCTCTTCGTAACGAAGCAGAAATAGTAGCATAAGCACTACATCGCAACTCTTTGTACGCAGCACTTTGGAGGGCTTCGTCAAAAAAAAAAAAAAAAAAAAGGAAAGGAAAGAAAATAATGCAATGAAGGCTAGCATAGGAGCGCCCTCATGGAAGATGTGAGATTTGAGACTACTCCATATCCAAACACTAAAATACAAACGCAAATAGTTCAGTGGTTGCGACCCCCTACTATTGACAATGTAAGAGAAAGTAAGGATCAAAGGCAAAAAACACCTGAGTATCCCTATTAGAAGGGCTTTAGTACCTTTAGGTGTATACGGAAAACCTTTTTATCAAACGAAATCACGGATGCTGGCTCGTCGGGATGTGTGAGAAACATAGGTACCTTTCATTCTTTACGAAGTCTGCTTTAATTTTCTCCGTGCTTGGCAACGCAGACATCGTTAAGACGCAGAACTACGCTGTCGAAAGCTAATCTCGATAAAAAGAAAAACTAGACGTGCCACGATCTGCCATACTTTCCCAGTAATTTATCGAATTATATTTCGTTTCCGCTGTTTAGCCGCACTGGCGCATTTAAAGGTATTTGAATTCTCGGCTTCAGTGTCTAACCATTTGGTATTGTATGTCTGCTCCCCCACAGCCCTCTTGGCAAGGAAACTTGTAATTAAACTTTGAGACAATTGCCATAATTTGGCGTTCGCCACTGAATACACACATTTTATGTTTTTATCGCTATTGTGATGAGTTTTGATATAGAAAAGAAAAATATCGAGGAGGACGAATCCGATGTTTGTGCAATTCGAGTTCAGGTGTATCTGCTTGTTGAGAGACAAGTTGGTATATCATATAACGAAAAGCTGCAAATGACTCGCGAGGTCTCATGTCTTTTTTACTCTCGGCATTATTGACAATATATTAGAGCTTAATCTGTTCTGACTAAAGACATCTGAAAATCATATGTAAGGCAACATATTATATATCATGAATTTTTCCTTTTTGTTGTTAATATCCCAGCTTACCGAGTTTCAAAGTTAGTTACTTCCGTGAAAAGAGCTGAGCCCACCTCTGATAGTTTCCACCGAACATTAATGTCGCCGGTTTATGAAAAAGAATACGCGGTTTTTCATTCAAATACTGCATTTAGTCATCGCATTTTTTTTTATTATGTTTTCCCAGATCTTCGATACCTAATGAAAGTCAATGGGATGTATTGAATTATAGGGTTATTACGTACGACACAAGCGTTTTATGATCGCGTAAAGACGGGTAAATCTTATGTTACAAAAAAACGTTACATCATACATTCGTTCTACATATTTCCCTAATATAGAAAGAATTCCCTAGTCATCGACTGAGTCATTTACTTTCATATGAAATTGCTTTGCATAAGGTATGGACACTTAATTTAACGAACATTTGAGACTGTGCTTCTTTGAACAATAAACTGGCCGTCAAACGTTACGCGACAAGCGCCAATGCCGCCTCAGACGACCCTGCCAAAGCGCGAAGTACGGTCGAACACATTTCGATAGGTACTAACGATATCACCTGAAACGTAACCAAAATATCATTGAATACTACCAGGACTATACTCTCGAATAGCTAACTCGGCCATTGAACGGTTAGTTTGCGACGGCACCTATATATGACAGATGTTTTTTGAATGAAAGCGACACGAATGCTACGTAGTTTGTATCGTACTCGATATGCGCTCTCAAAAATATATCATCACATTATACAGTACACTAACATAATAAGAATTATTATTCTCTAAACCCGAATCGAGGGTCAAACGTGTATACTCACATCCGCAACGGATCCATCGGCGTTAATAATAAACGGACAGTTCGTGCGAGCTAGTTCTACCCTGAGGAACTTGTGATCCGGAACTCGGCCGGATAAGAACTTCATGTCTTGCGGATCCAATCCACATTCGGCAAGCTCTTCGAGCACCTGATCCGAAGCCATGCCGGCTAATGCTGCCAAGCATGCTGTTGGCACCAGTAAGTTTCTATTTAGTTCAACAATAAATAGATCACCGTAGGGCGTTGTCTCTTTAAATACTAATGAATTATGTTTTTCTGGAGGCTGCTGCTGTGGGGCTTTCGTACGACTCTGTTTAGCTGTTAGAACAGCAGCTGTTGTCTCTAGTTGGAGAGCAGCAGCATTAACCGGTTTTGACCGTAAACGTTGTGTGTCATTTAGTTGCTGTCGACAACGGCCTACTTTTATATCGAAAGACTTTGTCAGCGGCTCTTGATTATTCGTTGAATAAGAAACGTCAGCCGACAAATCTCTCTTAACCAATTCAAAATTTGTATGTTGTGAATCTTTAATTATATACTTGTAAGGTGTCCACGGATCTGCGTCGTTGGTGCTACTCTCTATCGAAGGAGTGTTAACCGTCTCCCTAAGTTTACTTCCCTCTGGCAGGCTTCCGAAAGGACTCACTGGATACAGCGTATGTTCTCCGTTGGTTCCCGTCTCTACTCTGAAAACACCATCGAGGTCTCGGAACATGGACAGGTGTCCCGGATATCCGTACATTGCATAATTTAATGGAGCTCCAGATTTCATATAAAACATTTCAACAAAAGCTTTTGCTGAAATTCCGGTGGGGTAGCTTTTCAAAAGCCGAGTCAGGTATGTTTGAAACTGCACGGGGACCGGCTTTTTGAGGATGTGGTCTTTCGTCATTTTGATCTGTCGCAATGCGTCTGGACAACTGCTTGGTATACTCGACGTTAAACTCGTCCGGGATACGATAGAGGCGGATCCGGCTCCAAACCCCGAATGGTCGTCTGTTCCGTTAAGGCCATCGCTATTGCTGACTCGTCCTGCCCGTTGCGGTTCTTTTTTTAAGGTCACTAAATGCACTCCCTTATGAACGGGACTCTCATGAACTGTTAGCAGATCGGGGAAATTTTCACGAAGAAACGTGGCTGGCTCGCTGTAACCGTAGGATTCCCACGGTACTTCCATGCCTTTATGTATCCGGTAGCCTCGTAGAAGAACCTGGAAAGGGTCGTCACAGATACAAGCTCTGCTAAGGAGTCCGCACTGACGATACATAGAACCAGCGCAATCGATTTTTGATTACAACAAAACCAACTCCAATTAACGATTTGAAGCGAACAGTTTACAGAACTTATCTCCAACGTATGTGGTATTCTGCTCTTTGCCGTCTGACTATTGATGTTCCCTAAGTTTAGAATTAGGAGAAATACTGTTTCCAGTGTGCACTAAAGGGCACATTAGACAAGTATCTATCTCTAAGCAATTACCAACTCAACAAACCGTTTAACACCCTATGCATTGGAAGCTAAGGGATTTAGTCAACCCATACGTAGCATGCAATTTTTAGTTAAGCGCTCTCCTCACTAAACACTACTAAAGTCAGAACAGGTAGATCAATATGACGATACGAATAATCAAAAAGTATTACGACAATAAGATAGAATCGGACGGCTTGTTTCCGCATACTTTAGATCTATATGAGTTACCTGGGTGCTTGTACATCTTTGGCCTCTTTTCAAAATATATTTGGTAAAATCGACTACATACGCCAAGAGGTGTCTTACTTAGAGAAGTTATCGTTTTCACAAATGAATAGCACGACGCAAAGAAACTGGGTCCCGGAATCGTAGCCGTAGGAGATACGACGTTTATTTCTATAATATGAGCGTTGCAGAGGTTTGAATTACGTACATAGAATATGACAAAATTGCCAGCAAACCTTTTGAAAGGTGCAGAAGAACGAAAAGACATTAAGGAATTGGAGTTTTTCAAAACCAACACAGGCGGTAGCAAACATTCAAAGACCGTTTGCGCAGTCCCTCGTGCATCTTCTAGTAAATGCATATGAAACAGTCTCACGCCATGGATGCCACGTCTTGGAATGAAAAAAAAAATGACAATTGACAGCACGAACGACTGCAACATATCGCGAGAAATTATAATAAAGCCTATCAAGGACCCTTTATTATTGCTATTATTATTATTTTTGAGTAAGCAAGCTCTTACATGAAGGTTAACAGGTGGAGTGTATTGGTCGAGTAAGCTCTGCAGCGCCGCACCGAGCTCGTCTAAATCGATCATTTTTTCACGCAAAAGTTTCGCCAGCGACTTTGTCAACAAACTGATGGTTATGTATAGAGATCTCAGAGAGAACTTATACCAATGGCGATAGAACGATTAGACAAATAGGTGAACGTTGTTCCTCGGCGTTCCACTAACGTACAAACAAATACAACCTACCTAAAGTCTGCAAGGCGCGACAGCTATGCTTCAGTCGAACTATAGACGACACATTGTATTGTAAAAAATCCAGCTTCTTCAATTGGAGTGTTGTTACAAAATATCCGGCGTCCCATAGCAGACAGTCTGTTCTGGTCCTATTTTCGATCTATGTGTCTTTAGCGCATTATGATTTAGAAATTCATCTAACCCAAAGTTGGCCGAAATCAGCGTGGTATCATCCGAAGGCTTTATTTATTTTCGATTAAAGGTCATCATATTATTAAACAATAGACGTTCTACTCTGATCTACCTCTCTTGCTGGAAGAATTCATAACAGAAATTGTAACGGCATCAGCTGGTATTCGCTATTCCCTAGATGTTGGTTTTCACCGAATCTAGTTAGCAATATTGAAAAACTACAGTATAGTCTTTCAGTTTCAACAACATTGCGGGACAGTATGTTTGCAGTACGTGTGAGGGTGCATTCTTTCACAAAAATGGCTAATTTCATGCAACATTTGACACCGGTTCCTACAGACGAAACATCAAGACATTATGTTTAAATGAACAAAAACGATTTTTAATCAAACGCTTATCATGTAGGCATCACGATTAACATATGTGATGAAATAGACGAAGACTCCATTCGTGTGATAACTCACGTCCACCATTTTGCCCGTCCACCGTAGAAGCTATAACACTAAAACAGAAGATTAATGAGCCGGATTGAGCAGCGTGGTCATGAACGAGCCGAACATCGTCAGACTCAATCATTTTCTACCATATTCCGAAGCAAATGCTGATCGATTAGATGAGATTTGTTAACACTGTGTAGCTCTATTGCTACAGGATAAAACGAAAGATTTCTATTATGTTAATGAAGTGATTAAATGGGAAGGATTTTGCGTTTGCTCTTAAACTACAATTGCAGAGATAAGGTAAGGCCAGCTAGGTCAGTGTTAAAGAAGGCCTACAATATTGAATAAATTATAAAATTTTTTGTTCGTGAAGAAGACTGGAAATAAAGAAGGTTCCATGTCACATGTATATTGACAGAAGTTAGTCACGAGATTCGAGTATTTGCAACAATAAAACAATAACGATAGAACCAACAAAGAAAGACGCAATTAACGATTAAGCGAGGGCTGTACTTGATGCGCTAAGCTTGCTACGTATTAACTTCAGGCATAACTTAATCAACCATAGTACTCGTATTGCCTGTGTGTGTTTATCCGATTACCTCTAACTCGAAAAAAATAATCGATTTGATTGAGCTGTTTGTTAGTGTTCTGTGGGTATGAAACGAGTATTTAGCTAGCAAAATTAACGCTTGATTTTTTTAAAGGAAAGGCTACACAAGTTCAGGCTTGCAAGTTTTTCCACACTGAAGGTGTCGTCTTTAATTCCATAAAATATTTATGACAAATATATACGACTATGGTATCTGTCCTACTCTAGAGTGGATTGTATGGAATTTTGCGCAGTCGTAAGCTGTAAACCTGTACTGTCAGTGAGCAATAGGTTGACGAGTAGAATATATAATATATGTCTATTTACATATACATAATAAATGTAAATGTATGTCGCTGAATGATCTTAAAAAGGATATACAGTGCTAAAAAAGATAAGTCGAGATATGTATGAACTGTGTACTTTTTATTTTGACTTCTGTGCTCTTTGAAGAACGGTTTTCTGAATGAAGAAGGAGGTTTTCCGAAGAATTCAAAATACGCGCATTTGATGTTTGCAAATCTCATGCATTTGTATCTAGACAAGTTTTATAGCCGTTCGTGGAGCTATCCCCCTAGTTTAAGTTTCCATTTATTTGCATAAATGATTGTTTTATACATGGAAAAATAAGAGAAATTATTTTTTTTATAGCCAGATAGTGTCAGTGCTTTCTAGGGAATGCATCCAGTCCCGGTGATGGTGTGACGGTTTGTGCTGGAGAACAAGTAGTGGTCTGGGGTCGAATCCGAGCTTAGACCCACTTCGTTTCGTGATGGGAGCCAGCAGTCTAAGGCAATGTCTAACGGCGATAGCGGGCGTCCAGCCCGAAATACATAATTAGATATCGCATCTTGACCTATGTAATAGTGAGCTGGCAACGAGTTTGTCTATTGCACACGTGGTAACCTATGTTCGAAACTGAACGTTGACACATATTGTTTTGCCCTGGTAGCCGCTTGTGTGATGCAATACTTAATAGAAGTACGGTGGACACATTTATTATGGTATCGAGACCCGAAAATTCTGGAAAAAAGAATTCTGGTTTAAAGGGGGTTTTTTAGGCTGAGGAAAGTTGTGCCATTGTAGCCATATACGTGACTTCAAATAAGATTGTCATATCGCACATATAGTTCACTGTACAAAGGGTAGTTGATTTTTCTACAAGTCGTTTAACGCGGGATATATTCCCTAATGATGTATAATAATGCAGAACCGGTTGCGTATTTTCTATACACTTAGAATATGGAGATGTCATTCAAGCTTGATATATTGTTTTTAAATACATATATATTTATTGATTTCTTCTATGTGCGGGCAATCATACTCATTCTTTTTGTTGGATTTACGGAGGATACAACAGCATAGCATGATTTCTCCTGTTATTATCAGCGGTTTCCGAAATAAGCTTATCTATTCGGGTTTTAACTATTGCGGTCGTCTCCGCCCTTAGTTCACCATATAATGCCCTAGACTGTATATCTATATAAATACATTTTTCTGAATGTTTTGTCGGTTCTCAATTTGTTCCTGTAGTTTATGCATTTTTTTCTATTCAGGTGTTCGCGACTAAATTTAAATATACCCTTTAATGTTTACCCTCTTATCTAATATACTTTAGGCTAGACTAGGAGGAGTACAGAGTTTTCTAGATAGTCTGTATGTGCTCTCTATTTTAAGCTTAAAACTTGCAATATTCCTTAGAATTCAGAATGATTATAATACTAACCTTTCCGTTCACTTTATCAAATTGTCTAACTATGGTCATTAAGTTAACTTTTTATGGAATCGGTTATTCCGGAATAGGGTTTTTACTTTGGTGCGAAGAATATGATAAGTGCTAGGAAAATTCGGATCCTTTATGTACTTTACTTTACAGAGAGCACGGTCACTTAGCGAACTGCTTTTATGTCTAGTGACTTTTCAACAGCTCCGTTCAAATACGCTCGTGTTCAGGCCTTTAATCTGTTCGTCTGAATTGTTTTCTCTTATATTTATGTTAATATTTTCCAAAATCGAGCTATTTAGGTTGCCATTATGAATGTTACATATTAAATAAGTATAGAACAACTCGGGGAGCCGAAATAAAATTCATTTTAAGTAAGTTACTATTATTTAAGTTGATTAATGCTTTAAACTATTCCGAATTTCTTTCTCACCTGAAATTTGAATTATATATAACCATTAAACAGACTATCTATTCACACGGGCTGCGCAGTATAATATTTGTGAAATGACAATTTCTAGTTTCTTTAGCCAGATGAAGCCATCTGGCCAAGAAGCAAGCCATTTTTTTTTATCTTGTTATATGTACATATTGTATTTGCCGGTTTTTCATCAAGCCTCAATGGGCCTTTTATTGGGTGTACATGAATTTCGTCGTCCATAGTCCATATTTTGTCTAAACAGGCTGTATTAAAATGATAACTGTAATTTAAGGGTTTAACCTTCTGTTTCGCCAATTGTATTTATAAGACTGCACACGTTTAGAGAAGTGTTTAAAGGATGATAGGGTTCAATGAACACGACACTTTTATCAGTAGAACAATGAGGCGCCATTACTTCTCGTTTGTTGAAATTGATAGCAAAAGCGTCCTGGCATATATCGCTTCAGAAAATCCATATTTGTACGAAAAATCGTTCGACAAGAAAAGGGATGCGTGTAGAAGGAAGCCTACTATAGTTTTCTAGTGTGGACCATCCTTTGAGAGCGATCACCCTACTTCATTAATATTAACACGTAACGCTAATGGATCCAAGGAGGTAGTCAAGAAAATGTCCGTTGTGGAGAATAGTAGCACAAGTAATAAGCGTTTGAGATAGATGCCACTGAGTCACGTTTCAGAAATATTTCGCAAAAAAATTCGAAATTATCGAAACTTCTTTCAGATTCATTTAACGCAATATAAGCTGAGCGGCCGACTATTTCATCATATGTTGATGCAAGTCTACCTGCCTATTCGAACTCATTTGGCGGGCATTATTTGATTGCCCTGGAGGCTCATTGCTTAATTGCTGTCATTGCCCGACTTTCTTTTTCTTGTTATTGTAAAGACAAATAAAATGTTTAAACTATTTGACTTCTGATTTTCTGTTAATGAGAATGTTTTCCTGGGAGTTACATCGGCCGGAAGCGTCAGATATTCTCAAACACACGTGTCACCTGGTTCTCGGCAGTGTCAAGGTTGTTTTATGGTTAACATTCGGTTAACATCCGACAACCGATTGTGATATCGAAAGAAAAACTGTCTCAGAAATGAACTATCTATCTCTTAAATTGTGCTTCAAGGATGCGTCTCAGAGTTGCTTTCTTATATAATACTAGGCAGATTAGTTTTTTACGCCAACTTTTAGTGATAAAATAACTCTCGGCGCCTATTGAACTGATCGAAAAAATGTTGTATCTGCTGGGATTTATCACATCCAGCCAAAATTAACGTTGAGCTTTAAACAACGCTACACGTATTGTTCAATGATCATTGCCTATTTTTGTTTCTTTTTATATCAAAATGAATAGAGGAAAGGCTCGGATCACGCTTAAGCAGTGGCGAACCCACAAAAAAACATGACCCTGTGTGTAAAAGTACACTCATACTGGTGTTACAGGAAAGAATCAAAAGCCAAAATGTATCTTTCTTATTTCCTAGCAATCCATAGTAAATTTGTAGTTCGAAGTACAAAGCGAAAGTATAAGGTATTAATCATTGCTTTATTACGGAAGTGGACATCTAAATCACTGTATGTGTTCCTAACGTTAACAAGCCAAGACGTTACCGCTGACCCAGCGCGGGAGCATAGCAGTTGAAGCCTTGCAGCGATCTGTGAATATTTAATGAATTTAACGAAAGTTCGGCACAACACAGACAGAATCTGCTCATCCCGAAACATAAATGCGTCTTCTCAATGGACATTTGTAGTTAGACATCTAGCAAACAAGGTGCCCTACTAGAGAAATCGAGTTGACAATGTACAAAGACTAGAATTCTATCTTTTCGAGTATTGTGCCCTTATGGCATTCTCCGAAAGTGCGCATGAAGTCTCTCTAGATGCCAGAGCGGTAACGATAATGTTGTCCGTCAATTGGGCAACTTACGTTTGAAAAACGAGATAGCAAAAGTCTGTGAGAATAAGTCACTCATAGGCAAAGTAATGGAATTGGGCATACACCATGAGCTATAGCGTGTGTACGTTGTCCTTACGAAGAAGTAAAACATTCGCAAAGCGATTAGGTATATTTTTTTATTGATGTCACGGGGAAGAGTATGTCTTGAAGGGTACAAAGGATGTATTCGAGTTGGTTTATGAGAAATCGAACAGAAATAGACACTGAAACATCAAAGAAGAAAAATGCTAAGTCAAATTAATGTAAATTGTTTACTTGAGAAAGCTGAATATGGCTCTGACCGTGTCATCAGCAGACTTTAATTGATTACAGATTCGATAATATTATAGAGAAACGCATAGTACTCGTGACAATGTGGAACTAATTGTTTTAGCCGTTTTGCCATTTGTCTAAGTAACGGCTAATTACAAGAAGAAGCTAGATAAGGTCGGTGACCAAATAAGATTCTAATAATTAGACACCATTAATAAACGCCCTAATTTTCAATAGTAATAGAAACAGTGGAGTAACTGGCTTCTTCTTACTTATTTGCGGATGATATGTTTAGCAACTCAAGCCTGTAGGTAGCTAGGAATGTAATCGCAAATGTCAGCGATCGGTATATCGGGATAGTATTGGTATGTTCAAAGTGCTTCTAACAGGAAAAATTGTTTCAGGTCATTGTATGGCAAACCGCATACAAACCCTTCTCTCGTCAAAAAAATATTTGTACAAGAGGCTATGTCATCTTCGAACCGTCAATCGTAGCTGGCACAACAATGCCTAAGCCCGGTCTTTTTTGAATTCTAATTCAAGATAGTAGGAGAAGCATGGCAATATTGAAATGTGCTCACGCTTTGGTCTGTTACACACATCGATGTGTGTAACGCTTACCCTCTTCTCCCTGATGCCTCACTGGTTATGATCGTGTAGATAGCGATCAAGTTAACATAAATGACTAAAATGTTATTGGGAGAACACTGTTGTCACGTCGGCAATAGCTGGCGATATCCTAGATTTAACTTTCCTAGTTAACAAAAATAAGATAATAATTTTCGGGCAGTACCTTTCGCTCGCAACGTGCTTCTTTCCGGCCACCAGTTTCAGGGAATGATCTCCCAGCATCGTGAGAGGTTAGAAAGGATCACTCGAGAAAGAACCATTCAAAAGTCGTTAGCCTGACAAATATTTAAATTGTTTACACTCCGGGTGATTGTCGATAACCTCCACCTATGCCTCGCTCGAGATCAGTTTGATTTATAGGCCTCACTAATTATATGGGACGGATGCCGAACGCAAACAACCAAATTTTCGTAAGACAACAAGAGTATGAAGTGGTGCTTCGAGTAGATGTGCACAGGGTCAGGGAGCACAATAGCGAAGGCTGACGTGCTAATGCGAACAATTAGGAAAAAAAGTAGTTGCATATTAAAGACAGAGGTAAATTTAAAAATAAATAATAACAGTCAAACGCGGCCGATTTTGGAGAACACATATTTGGAACATAACACATTGTCATTGACATAAATTAAATACTGATCGCTAAATATATCATACGGAGTGTCCCAAAAAAGGCAGACATGACGGGTCTGGTAAAAAAAAAAAATAACGAGAGGGTTAAAGATTTTTGAAGAAAGAACATTTAGCTTAAAATGCTATTTGAAGTACGAAAATGCGACAGAAGTATAAAAGCAAAGCTGTATGAAGTTTCAGCCAAGCCCACATGACTTGTAATTGATCAGAACGGTAATAATTTTGAACATCTGCGGTAACAGGAAAAGTTTTATATTTTATGTACGTATTTTCGCAATTTAAATATTATACGTTAATAAAAAGAAAGCATATTCAGATTTCTGAGGCATCCTATATGCATATTCATTCAAATCTTGCCGAATCGCTGCTTGATAACGTAAAGCTTTCCATTTATGAACAGTAAATTAAGGAGGCGGGAGAGATTCGTTTATGGGAGGCATAATATGAGGTCAGCAACAATCAATCATCGCTATTATAGAAACTACTTTGAATCACTAGCACAAATTGTTTTGTTGGCGTTCTGTGTATGTTACACTCCGAATGTGTTGTTTCCGATATGTTTTGACACGATCATCGGGTCTGAACTGTATCATCGTTTGAGTGAACTTTCTGCTCTCTCACGAGTTTTTCTTCAAGCGGCGTTTCCGGATAAATCTCTCATTAATGCGGTCCAAAAAGCAGGACAGAACCGTCGGGCTACTATTAGAAAGACATGCACTACAAAGATGAACAGCTGCTGTATTAGTACCAAAATTTAATATTTTTTCATTCTTATGTATTGAAGTATCTGGTAAAACAAATGTTCCCTAAGAATTTAACGTGTACTCGCCGCTTACCTCGGTTAAATCTTTTTGGTGGTACAAGGAATTCCCAGTGTAAATTTTACATATGGCAGTTTTAGTGAAGTCAACCATGGGTCAATACGTCCTCAGCCTATGCCTTACTATAACGATGTGGTATGAAATGAATTTCCGGTATTGAATCTAACTTAATTTTTTATTTAGAGGATATTTTTACCATTGCTCATTTTACGACATGCCAAGCTAATCTGAGCGAAAACTTATGTGTCTCATATTCTATAATAATTTCACATCGTTTATGTTCTTAGAAAAAAGTGCAGACAAAAAAAAATGTTTCATGGATGTATATTGTAAAAGACGAACGTTTTATTTGCTTAATTAAGCATAGTACATAATAAAATCGTTTATTTTTACAAATGCTCACATTTAAATATGATGCTGCCTGAGATCGTACGAATATATCGTCATAATAGCACAGTTCCTTGCAGGGACCCCAATATCTATGTTTTACCGTTTAACACCTTGTTGTCGTCGGAGATGATAAGTTCAGAACAGAAATAATATTCTGAGGCACAACAGAGACCATTAGTTGTTTCAACCTTGCTGTTGACGTTTGAAGGTAGGCGCCCATCAATCACTTCCCTTAAGAGAATCAGTGAGTAAAAAGGGCATAAGCATGGCTGACATAACCAGCTCCCTCGTGCCCCCTTGCGCTTGCTCCATTTCTACGATGTCTCCCGAAGTACGTCTAACGGGAGCAACCCATGCAAGGAACGGCAGCGGACAATCAGATATGGGGTCGTCTCTTACCGTTCCGCGCAAATGCTGTCAGCATTTCATTATACTTATTGAGTACTCATGGGTTGGTTGCAGGAAAGAGTTCTTGACCTCAGACTGCAAACCCTTATGATCTGCATGGCCTGCGTGAGTTCCGAGCGATTGTTTTTCCAAGTGGAAACGGAATTTCTTGGCTGCTGTACCTTTACAACAATCTGTGTATATTGCGTGCGCAAATTCTTTTAGGGATTTCCGAATTCCCGCCTTAGTTGAAGACCAGAAATCAACCTGTTTATGTGTGTGATGTATGAAATAGTATAATCTATTAGTTTTCTTTAGAAGTTAAACTGTACTTTTATTTTGACACATTTTCCTTTTGTTCGAGGGCGGCGATTGCGGGTTGTCCCAAGATATTCCCTCAGAGCTTCGGGAGCATTGAGATGATTTAAAAAAATGAATCTATCTAAACATAAAAAAAAAGATTAGGTCTGCGATCCTTAGTTATCTTCATTGATCCATAACCGAGGAGTGTCAAAAAAAATCCATATATGTCAGATGATCCAGTATAAAACGAAGTAACCATTAATCTCAAATTTCAAGATAAGCTAATTTTAGAACGGTGCGATATTTAATGATTCATTTTGTGTCTTTTCGTATTTAAGATACATTTGCACACTGAAGTGTAGAACCGCGCATTCGGATATTGTTGTCTAAGCTTTACGCAAACAAGTTTTAGAGCGGCAAAAAAAACCAAAAAGTTCCAGTGGTCTAACAATATAAGTTCCGCATTGAAGCTACAACGGTGAAGCCAGTTCTTCGTGTAAACCTTGTAGTAGGTCAAGGTTCCACTATAAAGTAACAACAGCGTGAGTTTGTCAACTCAGAAATTCCGGGAAGGAAATCGAGAACGAGTCGTGTGGAAGACGCTTGTGGACGTGAATAGCAAAAAGTCGAAATCTATGGCGAAAATCAACCCTCCTCGAAAAGCACAGTGTTAGCACTCAGGTAACTAAAAAGCGCGCCAAAGTTCTATACTTATCTACCTTCGTCAAATTAATTAAATAGAGAGACTGGAGACATATATGCTGTGTGGTCTAAGCGGGAATTGAATATAAATAAAAAAAAAACGCTACCTTCTCAGTGCCTTCACGTTACAACAGTAACCCGTGCAAGCACCCAATGATGACTTGTAATGAAAGCTAGATCCTCTGCAATAATGGCAGATGGTCACTTTAGACAGTGGACGGAAATGAACGGGCGGGACATTGCCCTAAAGCAAATGTATAGCTGAACAAGCTTACGGCATTTATTTGGCGATTTAATGGGAGTGCTATCCACTATAGCTTGATAGGTTTTGGTCCGTCTATTACGGCTGAAGTGTCCAGTCAACATCTAGAAAATAACAACAAAATACTTCGCACTAAGCAGCCAAGATCAAAAAACAAAGTTAAAATACTCTTGTTGCATGACAACGCTCGACCTCACACTGCAAGAAGCGCAGTAGCGAAAAGCAGCAGTTATATGAGCAAGCGCTGTCCATTATTGGCCGTACTTGTCAGTCATTTCGTCCACAGAAGATTATATATATATATTTCAACATGGTGTCGAAATTGCCTCTCGAGACCTCATGAACTATTGGGTTCCAGATACCTATAGTAACGACACAGACCATCAAACGGTAAAAGGTCATAGATGATAGTGGCGCATACTTCGGACTAAAAATAAAAAAACTAAGTCTAAAAAAAAGTTTTTAAATTGGAGTTCCCTACGCAACATTTCGCACTGAATTACGCGCTTTATTGACATAAAATAGTCTTGCTTCTTGCCATGCCAAACGTTAACATCCTCGCGAAACCCACGTGAAATTAGTTTACGTGAAAGACAATTTGATACTTTGAGTCTTGGCAGTGGGATTGGCAGTAGAACGGTGCCAATAAACAGCTCCCTTTGGAAACAAATATTCGGCCAGCAAGTCCTCTTCGTAGATCATGCTCAATAGCGACTCCCGTATTACGTTCTAGGCTAAAAAAAAATTGTACTATCCCACGTCACTAAACAAATGGACATTACATGCCTGAACGCCGGTAACAGCTTGCGTTTCCAAAGTCACTATTGCGAGGATTGTGATCTTAAAATTTTTTGCTGAATAGGGTCGCCCAATGTGAATCGCCAAATGAAGCGCACTTTAGGCGACCACAAGCAGAAAAGCAATAGGCCTCTGTAACTGTAGGTACTGCACAGACTAAGAACAGCCGAACTCAAGCGAGTTGGACCTCTGTACGCAGCTACTAATTAGAGAGCAGTAACGAGTCCAGAGCGAGAAAGATCAGATAGAAAGTAGGGAAAGCCGAGAAAAACAGTTAAAAATGTAGTCACTTTATGGTGATAAGCAGCATTTTTCCCTAACATCGTGCGAACGACTTTTTAATCGAACCTAAAAACAAATGCAATCTATAGAATATGCATGAGGGAAACAATACAAACTACGAATAGCTAGTAAGTATTGTTCTAATAAAGATTATCACTTATGATAACTATAGAAGCATTCGGTAGATTAACGCAGTGATCCTTTTTTTTCGGTGTGTCGGCTGCAGAAATTTGCATTGAATATCTTTCGGCGTACGTATAAGAAACACATGCTTTCGCTTATGTATTCGCTCCTGATCGCGTAGCTGTTGTCGTTACGTGAACGCTAAATTGGTACCTTCGAAAAATCGACCCGCATATCGACATCTGTCATGCTTTGGCGTCCTGTCGCTGTTGACAATTTTCAGCCAAAAATTGAATAACAAGCATTTGAAAAGCTTTCAGGCAAAGAAGAAAAGAAGACCTAGCACAGACGTTCGAAACGATGAAACCAATGCGCTTTTTATTATGATAGAAGTGGGATGCATTGCCGCTTATACCATTTCCGATGGCAATGACCTAACGTCCATTTTCTCCTGTCCACTGCAAGCTCCACTGGGTGACCCAGACTCAGGGCCAACGGCAGTCGACAGAATGCACAGCAGGCTCGCAGAGCAAACCCTAACTCCACGAGCTACTCTAAATAGGACAGAGAAGTTGTGAGCAATAAACTTCCGAGAATCTTTTTCCAGCTGGGGAAAAGCGAACATATAAAAAAATACACTGTACTTCATGCACAGCCTCAGATACTGCGAAGAAACGGGCAAGCGAGGTCAAAAGACAACTAAGGGTCCACTGTCAAAAATGCTTTTTAACGCAAGCGGCTTGAAGGAGATACTGAGTCTATAGTGCAACATTCATAGGAAATAGAAAATATTTGACGTATACGCACCACACGTAGGTGCCTGTTATTGTATGCAATAC